AGCGAAAATAGTTGCGTAGACGCACTTAGCCGACTAGGAATACCTAATAAATCACCTAAACTATAAGCTATACTCTAATAGGAAGGAGAAACTCTTACCCTTAAAAACAGAGAAATAAACGGTATTAATCGGATAACCGACACCATATTTAGAGAAGCACACGCCTTACTAATATATAGATATTAAGGAGTTTATAAGACCTACCGCCGATTACGATAATAATATAGCTATATAGGAACCAAAGAATAAGTCAGGGACTTTATTCGTAACTACGATATTTACTAGAATGTAAAGAGTAGCCGATATAAACCTTACGGACTACTAAAGCCACTACTAGTAGTAAATAGACCTTAGGAGTCGATTATAATAGACTTCGTGATAGGATTTCCGATATCTAAAGATCTAGTAATAAGAATCGCCTACGATAGCGTATTCGTAATTATCGATCGATTCACGAAATACACTCTTTATATTCTATATATTAAAAATACTATAGTAGAGGAACTAGCTAGTGTCTTTCTTAACCGCCTAATCTGGGATCACGGTATACTATACGAGATTATTATGGATAGAGATAAATTATTTACTAGTAACTTCTGGAAAGCAGTTATAAGCTAGCTAGGAGCGAAATATAAGTACTTAATAGTATTTTACCCTATAACCGACGGATAAACTAAAATCATAAACTAACTCCTAGAATAATACCTACGATACTATATAGAATATAAGTAAGATAATTAGGTGTAGTACTTACCGCTTATATAATTCGTATATAATAGCTTGTTAAACGAGTTAATAAAGAAAACACCGTTCGAAGCGAATTATGGATATAATCCGATAGTATTTAGAAAACCTTTAGAAGGACTAGATACGCTAAAAGTAATAAAAACAGTCAAGAGCATAAAAGAACTACACGAAGAACTACGAACCGACCTAGAGATAGTTAGAACACGAATAAGTAAGTACGCGAATTAATTAAGAATTAAGGGACTAACCCTTTTAAGGGGGGACCGCGTCTACCTTTTTCGTAAAAACATAAAAATATAACGACTAAGCGATAAATTAGATTTTAAAAGACTAGGACTATTCGAAATCCTAGAGAAAAAATCAGATACGAACTATATCCTATTACTGCCTCCGATAATAAGGATATATAATAATTTCTATATTTTACTACTTAAACCAGCACTAAAGAATATAAAAATAATATAAGACACGATCGTGGTTAATACTAGCGACGTATATAAAGCAGAACGAATCCTCGACTACTAAGAGACGCTAGATAGCACCGAATATTTTATTAAGTGGAAAAACTACGACTACGGCGATAATATATAGGAACCTAAAGAAAACCTAATCTATTATAAGTAACTCCTAAAGCAATACTAATAAAACACTATTAGGACCCAGAACTAAACGCCGCGGCCTACCTAAAATTAATATCCGAAAAATCACCTATATTCTACGCTATAACCTGATTCTAATTAATCACGTTAATAGCACCTACCGCCTACGTAGCCGCTATAGTCTTGGACTCCGTACGATAAGCCTCGGCTTCTTTCCGTTCCACCTCCTCTAACTCCTCTATATTCGCGAGGTCTCTACGGACTATCTTAACCCCTTTCTTACGAAGCTGCTGCCGTATAAGATAAAGACGGGAGAGCTTCGCTAAGGCCTTAGCAGCTTTTTACTACTACTCGATTAGTAACTCCTTAGCGCGCTCCTCCTCCTCTTCGAGTCGTTTAAGTTCCGTATAAACACGGCGCGCTAAAAGGAGGACTATTAGAAGGCGAGTTAGAAGAAAGAGGTCCGGGAGATATACCGGAAGATATAGGGACGCGGGAAGAATCGTAGGAGCGGGCTGCACGATAATAACACGAATAACGATCCAGGTCGTTAAGGACGAAATAACTAGTATTATGGTCGAAATAACGAGTGTAAGGGATAACCTTGTAACCTTGGTCGTTAATTAGCGTAGATTTGATTTAGCGGTTAAGGGTGGAACGGGAAGGCGAGGATTTAGCAGAGCGCTTCTGTATACGGTTAGGTATAGTGGTTAGCTATAAAGAAAAGAGAGGGAAACAGGGAATAATAAACCCGGGGAAGCGACCTACTTATACGACCGCTGGGATAGCGCTTAGGAGAGGGGAGGTAATATTATGGCTAACGAACCTAATATGCATAAAGGATACACGGGCGGTATGCTAAGGCATAACTAAAAGATAACTCAGGATAAGTATCACGTATACCGGCACGTGACGACTAAGAGAGAAGGTATATAGAGTATTAGTATGCTAGGCATACTAGTGGGAATTATTAGACGCTCACCACTATAAAGTGATTATTACGAGAGCGATTACTTAGATAAAGTGACTACGCTAGGAGCGGTCACCTAGGAGCCGTGAGCACCACCACTATATATACCAAAGTATCCTAGGTCTTGCTTCTACTAGAGAACAAGACATCGATTAATCTAAGTCTTTACCTGGACTACTGTTCTACGCTTAAACCTATCTTATAAAAAAGACGCCTAGTCTTTACGACGCAACTACGACCAGACCACTACGAACAATAGTTACTACTCTTTAGTTAACATCCTCTTCTTCTTTTAAACTAAAGCCTCGACGCCAGTCCCCTATCGTCCGCTATACTATAAAGAACCGGAAGCCGTCGTAATAGAGACTCTAGCGTAGGTAGCTACGGCGTAGCTAGCTACGGGGTAGACTACCTAGCGGACTATAAGGTTAACGCCGTAACTACGATCTTAATCCTTTTAGAGGACCGTGTTATACTCGCGGGAGAGACGACACGCTTATTATTATTATTATCTTCCTAGAAAGGTATAGTGACTATGCTATATCGCGTGGTTAGCCGGTATTATAGGCTAAAGACGTTTAGAAGCACTTATAAGACGGTAGTTATTTAATTAATAAAGACTATAAGTCGTTAGTACGCGATATCTTAGATTAAGAGGAAAACTTATAAAGAGTAGCATGATCGAAAATTTAAGTATAGAGGAGGAAGAAAAGGAATAGGAAAAGGGAGTAACGGCAGGTTATGAGATATCCCCTATAGTAGTTATATAGGCACCTATTTTTAGTATAAAGAAGGAAGCTACGAGATTACGGAAGGAGTAATATCGGGCTCTATATAATACTACGCGGGGTAGTCTTTATAGATAGATAAAAGAGATAACCTAGAAGGATAAAGAGGTAAATCCGAAGGCCCGGGAAGGAATTACCCTAGAACTTATTAGGAGCCCGGCGTGGGATATTAGCTTTAGTAGTTTAGTTAATAGAATAAAGGGAGGGGGTATATACCCGGGTTAAAGCTATAGCCGAAGAGGCTCCATGTGGGAACCCGTCGGGGACCTATTAGGGTCCCGCTAGGAGGGGGCTTTAGTTTAGAGCACCGGGGGATTTATGGACGGGCTTAGAGGTTAGGTTCTAGAGGAGCTAAGAGGCCGGCACGGATGGGGCGCTCCTGAGGATAGGAGTATCCGGGGGAGGTCGCTATATTAGGTGCCTATAGCAGTAGTTATAACGGGTCCCTAGTATAAACCTATAGGGGTCTAGGTATACCTAGTCCGAGACCCCTTAAGGCATAAATAAAGTAAGTTATTATATAGTAAATAGAATAGTCCCTCGAAGTAAATAAGGCAGCCCTTAAGGAAGTAAATAAGCAGCCCTCAAGGAAGTAAATAAGCAGCCCTTAAGGAGTAGAGCGTAGTCTTAAGGAGCGAGGGAGCCTCCCCCTTTAAAAGGGGAGGCTAGCGATTAATCTGATTCTTTAGCTACCCCTACACTTTCCTATCGTGATCCTATTATAATTATACCTGGTTCCTTACTTAACCGTACCTTTTTACTCTTTACGACTACCTATTTAATAGTATTCAAGTTCTTTTTACCCTATATCTCTAAATTTAGTACTAATAGTTAATATAACTTGTATTATAGGGTCTTCCATATTTATAACGATAATCGAAACCTTATCGGACGCTATTCCTCTACCGTCGCTCCTAAGGTATACTATACTATCGCTATATATCTCCGCGCTAAATAGACTTTACCTAACTCGATAGTGCGTATACTAATAGCTTATATAGTATAGTAGACCTAGGATCGGTGAATTCTCTATCGACTACGCCTTTTCTATATAAAATAAGGTAACTAGAGTAGAGGTTAAGGTGGATATAGGTATATTATCGGTAACGGACTTCGGTGATAGGCTTCGGTGAACTATAAGCTTAACTAGTAAGTATAATAAGGCTTGTAATAGGTGTGATAGTATATGCCTGATACTGGTTAGTAAATTTATCGTTGTAGACTTATCGTGAAATTACGATATATCGTGAAATTAAGATATATCCTGAGCCGTACTATCTTTCATACTAGATAGCTAGTAAATACACGATATACGTCCCCTATAACACACGGTACGCAGAACACCTTATATATCCTAGACTTTTATCACGTCTAGTATATCTTATTCACCTAAGGCACGTCTTTTCCTGATATACGTTAGTATATAGAAATACTGCTTACTAAATAGCTGTTAAGAGCCCAGGACTTAGTGAACTATAGAGATATATCTAACTTAGACGTAAGAACTGCTTCCGATATAGTATAAGCTCTAACACTATGAATGAAGACGACGTAGCCTCCCTATTAATATATCTTCGGTCTAATATCCGTCTTCGTTTAATATACATCTCTATATAAAATAGATATATACGAGGATAGATGCTAGGTATATATATACTTCGAACGGTGAATTAATACGGCTCTAATATATTTTAAGCTTAATTCTAAGGTTTAAGAATTATATCCCGGAATATATATCCACCCAAAACAGGCTTACGCAATGCTGCTGACATAATATCCAAACCACCCCTAAGCACGGATAGGTACTTGAGACATAAGTCATGTGACACGGAGTCGATAAGATAGTGTGATATCTGTGTCCTTGAGAGAAGGGGGAGCTTAATTCTTGAAAAGGGAGACTCGAGACCAAAACATACCTGCCCGTTCATAGCGTGCCTAGAGCCCGGTTTTGTTTTGCGCTACCGTCGTATCACATAACCATGATAGGGCTGGCTCCCAGAGACGCACGCGTGTGACGATCAGAGAAGTGCGTGCACTTTAGGGACTGCAAAGCTACCAGCCATCAACCATCATGGCCCGCTTCGCCTTCGCCATTCTTGTCAGCCTAGGCCTTTTGCACACCACAGCAGCTTCGACTCCAGAGGATGTCCTTCCGTCGTATCATTATGGAGCGCCAATTCACGTGGAGTGTTTGAACCGCAGCTCGTAAGTACCGTGTTTCTCGTCTAGCTGTTAAACTCCCCGGTGCGCCTGGCGGCATTCTGTCCTCGATGCGATAATCGTTTGGACTATTTAACACGAATTGGCCTCTCAGGGAAACTGGCGAACACATCGCAAACGAACAAGACGACCTTCAATGGGTCCCATTCCCGGCATGTAACGAGACGGGAAGGCCGCTCGAGTTCGGCTACGGCCACGAGGGCGAGCTCAACTGCACGATCCCCTTCATCGACGACCCGACGTACCATCTCCTCGAGTTCTACGTGCACAACGACGCGCCCATGGCCTGTCGCCTTCCCGCCCGCCCTGCGCCGCAGGTCCACGTGGTAGGCCAGAAGCCCTACGTGCAGGAATACATCCCCCTCGTGTTCGCATTGGCGGGCACCCTCCAGCTCTCCCACTTGCACGTCAGCACGCAGATGAACGTGCTGCTGCACGCGAAACCGAAGCACCATATCCACCACAAGGACTCCGGGGTCTTGGACTCGGGCGTGGCGTACAGCACCAGCCCGTTGAACACGAAGGCCTCGACTAGGCTGGTCATCGGCGACGCGTTGCCGCTGCGGTTATCGGTTCGGTGGTTCCCTACCCCCGCGCTGCCCAAGACGGAGGGCATGGTGGAGTGGCAGGGTATGGGGGGACATATATACGCCAGCACCGTGTTCTATTCGCTCGCGAGCTTCCTTGCGGGCATCGTGGCGTCCGGGGCCTATTTCTTTGGCATTGTATTGCCCAAACGGCTGAAGGGCCGGAGCCTCGGCGGCGCGACTCCGCTTGGGTATGGAGTGAACAGTGGGGTGGGCAATGGATGGGGTTATAAACCCTCGAAGCGCATCGATTAGTTGATTCCCTGTTGAGTGCACTGAGAGGCGTATGGGCTGGTTTGATCTTTTCTGTGTCACATTGCTACATTTGGGATATGCAGGGCCTGAACAATACCGTACCACCAAGCGTGCTTGGTTTACATCCAGATGGCCCCGTACAGGTCCAAGAGAGAGAGAGGGAGAGAGAGAGAGAGAGACAGAGACATGGCGGAGAGGCACATACTTTCCAACTATAATTACATACAGAAGTGGGAGTGCATACTCGTCACTGCGATTTCTTCTCCTCCGATGCAGCCTTATATTTCTCGCCCTCTTCAATCCGAGCAAGCAAACGCTTGCCCATATCCAAGGCCAAGACGCCCGCTAGCCGTCGCCATCAGTACACCTACACCGACACGAGACGTTGGTGAATAGGGAAGGGGATAAGGAAAACGTACGGATAACAACCCAAGGCCCATAAATGGCGAACACGAACATGGTCTTGTCGCGGACAGAGTACACGATGGGATCCCAAAAGGCGACATCCCAAACGCAGACGAGGGTGGTGAGGGCGACCTGCACGCCGAAGACGACGCAGGCAAGCTCAAAGCGGGGCGTGGTACCGCGGCGGGCGTCCTCGAAGACGCGGAACATCCACAGCACCATGGGCAGCTGGAAGCCGGCCTCGATGAAGGTGAAGAGGCGGAACCAGGGCGGCAGCTCGGCGTGCGGGGTTACGAAGTAAGGGTCGTTCGTCCATTTCGCGTACAATCCGCGCAGTCCGAGGAGGATGTGCAGGGGTGAGGCTTCGGGCTCCCAGAGGTGGGAGGGATATAGCGGGGGGAGGTCGACGACTAGATAGAGTGTGAGTGCATTGCATTTTGGGGAGAGGATCGGTCGGGGTGCTTGTGACAATGGACAATGACGCTTGAGGCGCAGAAGCTGAAATTCAGAGCGGGAAGGATCATGAGACGGAGGACGCACGGAGAATGGCACAGAGCTGAATGCTGAAGATGGCGAGGTAGATGTAGTCGCGGCCCTGCTTGGGCGACGCTCCCGAGATGGTCATGGTCTCTTAACGGCGGAATTGGTCGCGACACGCAATCGAACAGCTCACTAAATGATGAAAGGAAGGAGGAAGGCGGAACAACTGCGTTGAAAAAGATTGGGAGGTGATGAGATTGGATGTTGGTGTCGCGAAGCCCGAGATAAGAGCCGATGAGGATTCGGGACAGGGGTGTAAGGTAGGGGGAGATGACAGCTGTGACCAACTGGTTCCCCTGATCGTATTCCCCCCTGACTCCTGAGCCAGCGCCCTCGCTGTCGTTGGCAAGGGAACTGAAAGCATTTGATGTTATATTGAGATCCAACGTATACAAATATATATTCTTGCTCGTCTTGCGGCTTGGCAATGTCGGTGCTTTGGTTTAACCTAGGCTCCAGTTTCCCTGCCTTGTCTAAATTGGCCCGAAGGGAGCAAGCCGTAAAGCGTCTACGGCACTCAGCTCGTTTCTAGATTGGCGCTGAGTCTCTGAGTATTTGTGCGGATTTCGTAGCCCAGTTCCTGCGAGCGGGTGCCCATTAAATAGTCGTTGCAGGCGTTACAACGTTGATAATTATGTCCGTCCCCTGCCCGCCCCCTTCAACGGCTGGTCCTTGAATCTGATCCCTCAAGAATCAAGTAGTTCCATTCATCAATCCGAGCCCACGATTTTGTTATGTTCATAGATCATGCGCTCAGCAATCTGCTTCTCGCGGCGGTCCCTCCTCCAGAAGTACCAAGCCACGGTAGCCAATACGCCAGCCCCAGCGACAGATCCGATAACAATACCAGCGATGGCCCCCCTGGATAGTCCCGATGAGCTGTCATCCTCGTCGTCGTCGTCGTCGTCGTTGATATCGTCATCGTGGTCGTCGTCGTGATCGTCATCATGACTATGCGATTCAAAGTCGCCGGTAAAGTTGAAACACGGAATGTCGAACGTAAAGGCCTCGGCGGGGACGAGGGTGACGTCGGCGCAGGAGTAGAAGGTCTCGTTGGCAGCCATGTGGCGCTTCACCATGTCACCACGGCGGTGGTGGTGGTCCGGGTCGACGTACTCGGCGGTGTACCGGAGACGGATGGTTGCATTGGTCGAGTCGTCACCTGCACCGGCACCGGCAGGGAGGGAAATGGAAGGGAGGCCGATGCAGACGTGAGACCAGTCCATGAAACGCATGCGTTCCTGGGGAATGAGAACGTCAAAGTTGTTGTTCTCAGTGGGGTCTGGTCCGTGGTGAGTTAGTTGTGAGAACTTAAAAGCTTAACCTGCGGCGAGACGGCTGGATATGCTTCAGGAATGATGCCGGGAATCGCAGTGGGGCTAAGGTGCGGACCTCTGTCGAAGGAGATGGAGACTTGCACGTCGTAGACATTCTGCTTCTGTTCCAGAGACAGCGCACCGTTGGCTATACCCGAGGGAGTAGTGGAAATTAGCATTAATTACCAGACGTCACAAACTCGCAGGCACTCACTCAGGGGAAATTCAGTCCTGTCGGTGGGACCTTGGTTGGTACCGCAGGGCCCGGTCATGCCCATCTCATCGTCGACCCATTGGCGATCAGGAGGCCACATGAAGTCCATGGGGCCCATATTGTCAAAGTCTTCCTCGGAATGGGCGAGACATGGAGCGGGGAGGACGGTAGCGAGGATCAAAGAAGCTCCGAAGAGCAGCCGCTTCGTGGATGTCATGGTTACCGGTTCCAAGAGACGGTCACGGTCACGGATTCGTGTTAGGAAGTTGGGACTTAAGGGGTGGCTCCCAATCGCGAGGAGGGCGGCAGAAAAAAAGTGCGATGTGATAGAGGAGGGAGGAAGAGAATCTCATACAAGGTAAAGGTACAACAGCAAGACATGTGCGGGGTAAGTACCTAAGGTAGGTCGGTCTTCACATCAGAAGCTTCAATGTTATCTCATGGTCATGGTCATAGGTAAGGTAATTACTAAGACTCGGAATAAAAAAGAAGCCTCTCCACCTTCCACAACAGATACGAGCCTTTTTGCGTGGAGTGTTGTCTAGTTCAACACCCACTCTCGGATCCGGTAGCTGGCCGGCTGGGCTTTCGTTTCAAAAAGAAATCCGTGCTAATTAGTCAACTTTATCTGCTTGTCTGCGTGTAAAAGGCACAATTGATCCAGGGGTAAATGGTAAAGAAACGAAGCTTATTGGCCTCCATTCCCTCGTAGACGAGACAATTCCACTGCTCGCTTCCCCGGCTGAGCACTCGGCCGAGACGGGGAATGCTTAATTACCTTAGCTTATGAGCAAATCTCGGTCAGCATCCGTAACCCGTCTCTGTCGAGGGACTTCACTTGGTTGATATGCCCAGGTTTTGCAACCAAATACTCCAGTAGCTGCTAGCTGCATCGCGATGCTCTTCTTCAGTGCTGAATGCGAATATTTTTGCCCCAATTACATGTAGATCTTGTTGTATCACAGCTCACATGGAGTTACATAAGCCACAGTGATGATCTCCCACTCATGTAAGCAATTGACGATGACGTCAGAGACCAGCATCAAGATCACGCCGGCCAAGTTCTTGAGGATGATGGTCTCGAGGGACGTCAAGTGGCGATTTAAAAGCGCGTGATGCGCTTGGGGGACTTGGGGACGCGTACAGAGTCCCCCCGTCATTTCTGTGCGTTGAGTTGGTAATTTCACCTTTTCCGCTACGAGTCTCTCTACTCTCCTCCTCTCATTCCCTAGTTCTCTGGCTCAACTTTTCAACGAGTCAACGAATATACTAACCTACGGAGGAATGAGTTTTACGTCTTGACACTTTCACTGGAGCCTATATCTAACGACTTATCAACGACTTACCAACGACCTACGACACCCATCATGCCGTCCATGCTTGGTCTCACCACCGACCCGTCCCCGCACGGGCTCAACGCCCCTCGCCCCGGGCAGGGGCAGGGGCAGGGGCGATTCGACGAGTCCTCCACCCAAGACAAGCAACTAGCCACCCGCGGAAGCCGCGCCATGGCAGGCGGCGCACCCGACAGCAGCGAGAGTCGCAGCCCCCAGCCCCAACAACAGACACAGAAACAGCAGAATGCGCCGGACGACAACAAGGGCAAGGAGAACACCATCAAGGCGCGGAACCACGCCGCCGCCGTCGAGATGGAGAAGATCCTCTGGCAATCCCTCTGCGACAGACCGAGGTCGGCCTTGAAATACATGGGCAAAGACGCCGTCATGTCGAACTGGCCTCTCTTCGGCGACTCGGATCCGCGGGAGGGTGACGATCTGCGCGAGTCGCTCGAGAATGCCGATATTGAGTTCCTCTCCACCCGCATGGGCGATCCCCACGTCGTCGAGGTCGGTCTCATGGCTGTGGCCCTTGTCTACCCCATTACGCTGTTCCAGCCCAGTGGGAAGCCTGATGCGGATGGGAGTATCCGGGTCAAGACCATTGAGGCGTTGGTGTCGAGCTCTTGGAGGCAGGTTGCTAGCGGAGATTGGGAGATGACTTCGACCATGGTTGCGTGAGGTTGTCTGGTGATGTGTTTTACAAGGGGTTGGGGTGTTCTCGTTTTTCGAAGTTGGCTCGGCCTCTTGCTTTCTTGGAAATGATAAGCAGGTTGATTGCATTGTATTATACCATGTATGTCCAGCCAAGCTAGTTCTAGTGTCGTCCAGTAGTCAGGATTATATTCCGTAGTAACAACAATGACAGCACAAGTAATCGGTTCTCTTTTCATTAGTGGATGAATATATATATATATAAATCAGGTTAGGTTTCGTCGACTTGGAGGTCAGACAGGAGGTTGTTGCCGGCACCAACCACCGACCAACTACAGATACTCGTGCATATTCCCAAACACTGGACGACCGAGGGCATTTCCGGCCCGAAGTGCAACATGTTGTCGTGGTTCCACCATCCCGGCCAACCTCAGACTCTTCCCCGGGTTCGTCAACAACACCTTGAACGAAAACCCTAGATCGTCGCACACAGCTCGCTGCAGGCACATGACAATCTCGTACACCTTCTCCTGCCACCCGTACAGTATGGTTTCAAATTCGGATACCCCGTTGATGACACAAAACACTTGACACCCTCGGGGACTCTGCCGGAGGATCCGATCAAAACAGTACAGCAATGCGTCGACGTCGTGCCGCGCCAGCCTGCCATGCAACTCTGCGTCGACAAACGCGAGGGCCGGGGGCGGGAGGTCCGGGTAGACGAGCAACTGCATGATCAAGCTTCGGAGGAGACCCAGGGGGCCGGCGAGCGGATCGGAGGCGGCGGCCTTGTGGGCGCCGCAAAAGTGGTGCAGGACGATGGACTGCCGCGTGCTGATGAGGCTGGAGACGAACGAGGCCGCGAAAACGGAGACGGGGGACGTCTTGCCGTAGCTGGTCTCGGAGTGGCCGTCCGCCACCAGGAGGTCGGACATGGGCGACGCCAGCCAGTCCCGGAACTGGTCCGTTTTGATGAGCCAGCTTGCGCGGCCGAGGTCTTGCTCTTTCAGGCTCCTGGCCTGGCGCTGGACCCTCTCGAGGTCCTCCGCCGGGGCGAGGTGGGGGACGGCTATGGTGTCCAGAAGCTCTTCGGCTGTCACTGTCGGTCTTTCGAATCCGTACGGGGAGGGACTGCGGAAGTGCGACATGCTGGCTGGCTGTGTATCTGGGAGGTGTAGAAAAAGGTCAGCTGGCTGCTCGCAAAATAGAGGAGTTGCAAGGGCAATAATAATGGTTCTCAAGTCTCAACTGGTTCCCCGGCTCTTCATCTCCTCACCTTGCACGTATTTATGCTCAATCACGATTCGGTATATCCCTGTCTGAATCAGAGCATCCAGGTCGGGGTTACCGCTTTGTATGGCCACGTCCCTCTTGGCCCGAACCTCTTCGCGGAGGGTCTCAACGACCTTGGTCAGGGTCTGTACCTGTTGGTCAACGCCCTGCACGCCGGCACGCACGTCTTCGCTGTGCTTGACGACGGTGTCCCGGACGGTCAGCATGCCGGACTGGACATCGCGTCCCGTCGTCTGCACCTCGCTGATCTGGGCGGTAAGATGCTCGTGGCTCTTCTGGGCGGCCACGCCCATTTTGTCCAGCTGGTTCTTGGTTGCGTGGACGGTCTGGCGGACGGCTTTGGTCTGCTGGAGCCCTTCGACCACTGTCTGTTCCGTTCGGACGAGTTTGACGTCTACAATGTTTTCGCGGCACTGGCTGAGCTTGCACGTTGCTACTGAGATTTCTTGGAGAACCTCATCAAGCATGACGGCTTCTCGTTCGGGCAAGTTGTTGAGAAGCCTCCTGGGGTCTAAAGGGATTGAGGGTTCAGGTCAGACAAAATGGTACGCGTACCCTGTGCTCTTTGTCTTGACTCTTTGTCTTGACTCTTTGTCTACTTCATGTTCTTTTTTGTCCACATCACTCGACCGACGCATTTCCATGGCACCAGACACATACCTAATAATGAACCGGGATGCTTATGGAGCAAGATTTCTGCAAGCTTAGGGATGCAGTAGAGCAGAGTGCCGCAAAGCTGGTGGACGCACTGCTGGAGCTGGTTGTCTCCGGGGAATACCTTTCTCTTCTCACAAGCGTTACTGAGGACCATGGGGATCTCTTGAAAAATATTGAAGATCTTCTCGCGATTTTCCTCGCGCTTTTGGACCATCTGACGAGATGAAGATGCAGTTAGCCGGTCAACGCTTTAAGACCCGGTGCCCTGGATTCTCGAGGCATCAAATACCTTGAATATAAAGGCAAACCCGCCTCGCAACACGCTCAGTCCGTCGTCTTCGGGAATCATGTCCGCCAACGGTCCTAACGTCGCGCCAATGACCCTACCGTGCCGAAGAGTTCGTCTTACTGGATTGCCGCTGGCTCGAGCAGTGTAGACAGATTGCGCCGTCTCCATGTGTTCCATAACATCATCCCAGGTACAGTTTTTGGGGTCTTTGTCCAGCCCGATGATGCACTGATAGCGGGAAAAGACATCCTCTAGGTTGCTACGAGTTGGGCTCAACTGAATCAGTCTCAGAGGGTGCACCGGATGGATTACGGGAGCGGGCTTACTGGTGTGGTCTCTGAACCGTAAAAACAGCCCTCTGTTTCTCGAAATGAGTGGCTGTCTTCATGGCCAGAAGCATCTCGCCCCCCCAGGCGCTCTTCCACTCTTTATATACATCAAGTTCCTTGTCGTCGGTGAGGAGCGATTTCATCTCTCCTGAGACGGGAGTTGGCCGAAGAGATTCGCCCATGGTTGCTTGACGACGAGGAGGAGCGACAGCATTTACACGAGATGGCCCGTCGACCTGTGCTCGCTTGGACGGATGGAAAATGCCGCTGTATCCTTCTTAACTGAGAAATGAGGGGCTTCGAATGTAAGACGCACCGCATAAAAATTGATAGTAGCATCTGTAATAGCAACTAGATAAATGGCACATCCTCACAGGCTGCAGGCACATGCAGTGCCAGCAATGAAGGATGCTAAGTAATGCTTATATTTGCTCTATTCTTCAAGATGCAATGCATCCCGAGGCCACATGCACCCACACCGTACACGCTCATGTGTGAGTACGTATGGCGAGTCATCATGAGTTTGCCCTCACCACCTCAACCTCCAGTCCCCTACCCCCTACCCCCTACCCCCTAACCCCCTCTCCAGGGTGCTGTAGGCTGCTACCTTGCGGGCCCCCCCTGCAATCTCCAGCAGCCATAGGGCTCTACAGCTAATTACGATTCTACGAATATTCCGTACATGCATGAGGCGCGCTTTAGACCCCGTCAATTTTCGCCCCCAGCGTCTGCATGCAGTCTGACATGGTGTCCAGACACTAGAAAGCACAAATCAAATGTCGGCAGGGCGCAGCCCGGCCATCGTGGCCCCATTTCGGTTCGGGTTATACCCAATGACCGTTCGTCTCAACTCTTCCTGGACCCAGGTAATTCGCATGAAACAAAAAGAGAAAGCGACAATCTGGCAGAAGAAAGGGGGGGGGGGGGGGGGGGGGGGGGAGGCCCATGTATGGGCCATAGGCACCGGGCACTTTATCTCTGTCCGCAATTAACTTCATGTTATAAAATGAGCACGGCCTAACGTGTTGTTCAGCATCTGGGACCTGTGACCTCTGCTGTCCGATCAGCCGTCACACCGTCACACCCGAGCAAAATGTCCAACAGCCGCAATGAAGAGGTCAAAAATGGAAGTGAGGCTGGGGACATCAAGCAGGAGTCACCGTCTCCAGATCAAAACGAGGACCAAAAGGCCCTGAGAGCGTCCCGGCTCCATGCCCGCATCTCCAATCTCGAGCAGCGCGTGGGGGATATTGAAGTGCGCGGGTCCGACGAGTCGGAGACGGAAGAGAATGAAGACGAGAAAGACGTGGACCTGAAGTTCCCGGAATCCGTCATCCCCAAGGTCCGCTGGTGTAACTGGCACCAGTTCAAGAACCGATATTCCGAAGAGGAGGGATCGTACGCCATCGAAGTCCTCATGGCCCATCCCGCCTTCCCGCAGGAGGTGTTGAAGGAGTCGCACCGACGCGCCCCTACCGAGGCAAAAAAGGAGTCCATCTCGGCCCTCATGAGAGAAAATATCACCAGGCGTGAAGGGACGACCTATTCCGCGAAAGAATGGATTGCCAGGGTTCGCATCCAGTCGCCCGTCGTTCTGCAGGCCCTCAGCAAGATTTCAAGTCTTCCGAAAGCCTGGGAATCGAGGCCGCATACGTTTGCCTCGCCTTTCCGCCACCTCATGTATAACCAAGATAAGATGAAGAACGAGCTGGCGGTGGTAGAGTCTATGCAGCAACAGCAACAGCAGCAGCGGCAGCGCAAATCCGTCTCGCGATCGACGTCTTCCGCTTCGGCCTACGTGGAGCAGAAGACGACGGATAGGTCGACCACCTCGTCCGAGTCCAGTTCTGACTCGGGGTCTCAGTCGTCGGCCACAGAACCAGAAAATGAGAATGACGCCAACACTGACACCATAACCCCGATGACCGCCGACGAAGACGACGACGACGAAAGTGGAAAGAGGGATGGCACATGCAGTGACGACAAGGTGGATGGGAACGAAAAGAAGTCTGAAAAGGAAAATCAAAATCAAAATGAAGATGAAGATGAGCACCCCTGGGCTGAACACTATAGGAAGCCGGGATCCCTCGAGGAGATGCGTTGTTATGTCGACTTCGTCGAGGAGCACCTCATGCCCCTGTATCGTCGATTCGACGACGTGGACCCTACCAAGCCCTACAAGATTCGCCACAAGGAGCTGTGGAACATCTTCCGCTTTGGCGAGGTCTTGTATTACCCTCCTCCCCCCGCCGATCTTCTCACCAGTCTCAGCAAGGAGACGAGGGATGAATTGACGGGTCGTCACAAGCTGTGGAGGGTATACAAGCTGCTTCCACCTCGCATTGACTGCGATGAAGCCGGGGAATTCCAGGTAGATACGGACAGTTCCGCGTTGCCAGCCAATATGCAGGTCTGGTGCTACTATATCGACCATGATGGCAAGGACTGGGGCGCCATGACCGACATCATCCGCATCTACGAGTATCCTGGAGAGAAAGATGTCCGGGAGCTGGACATCTACCCGCTCCGCTTCCATGCCGACCGAGAAAAAATTTTGCGCGAGGCCAAGGAGCTCGGGCAGAAGGTGGTCGCGTCGACCGAGCAGAAGCACGTCGCCTACAACGGGTGGACCGTCATCAAGGACCCCCTTTCCAACCCCTACCAGACGGCTTCGGGAACCGACATGACCAGCCCGGACCACATCGATAGTCATATTGTCATCGACGCCAGGGAAGCCTTCAACGTGTTCCCCAGCTGGGCCCCCACCTTCGAGACCTACTCCGAGTACGGCATCCAGACGTCGACCGTGACGGACAAGTACGCCGTCCATACCTGGGCCGACGCCAAGCGGACGACCGCGCTGGGCAAGTTGAGCGAGATCGTGGTAGACGACGACGACACCGACTCGTTCGAGTACAACGTGAACCTCAAGGGCGACAGGTTCATCCGACAGTCCGGCAACGACAAGCCCCCGCTGAGCCCGCACGCGACCTTCGAGGGGGACGACTTTGCCCTCCTCCCGCCGCGCGTCTTCGCCTACGCCCTCCGCGAGCGCAAGTTCTTCCCCGTCGACGTGCGCAACGTCCAGCCCGTGGCCGAGCAGCTGGACGCCTTCCAGTACCTCCAGATCGAGGAGAGCCACCGCCGCATGATCACGTCCCTCACCAGCGCGCATTTCCGCAAAAAGGCCATCGAGAAGAAGACGGGCCGCATCGTCACCCAGGACATCATCCGGGGCAAAGGCCGCGGCATCGTCATCCTCCTGCACGGATCCCCCGGCATAGGCAAGACGGCCACCGCCGAGGCCGTCTCGCTCGCCCACAAGAAGCCCCTTTTCCCCATTACGTGCGGCGACCTCGGGTTCACGCCGCAGAGCGTCGAGTCGTCCCTGGGCGAGATTTTCCGCCTGGCCCATCTCTGGGACTGCGTCCTCTTGCTGGACGAGGCAGATGTCTTCCTTTCCCAGCGGACAAAGGAGGATCTGCAGCGGAATGCTCTGGTCTCTGGTACGTTAAAGTCCTCTCCCTCGTGCTCTCCATGTACATCTCTAATTCTCTGATTCTCTGATTCTCTGATGTGATCATCCCAAGAGCCCCAGGCTAACAAGAACCGACAGTCTTTCTCCGCATCCTCGAATACTACAACGGCATCCTCTTCCTCACCACCAACCGTCCGGGAACTCTCGACGAAGCCGTCAAATCTCGGGTACACGTGTCCCTCTACTACAAGCCTCTCGGCGTGCGGGAGACGGAGAACATCTTCAAAATGAACATCGACCGCCTAGAAGAGACCGAGAAGATCCTCAGCGACGCGGGAGGGGATCAGCCTCTGTACATCTTCAAGGACCAGATCCTCGCCTTCGCTCGGGAGCACTACTGGAGGCACCAACACGGCATGGGGAGGTGGAACGGCCGGCAGATCCGCAACGCCTTCCTCATCGCCGCCTCGCTGGCCCACAACGACGCCGAGGAGCACCCGGGGGCGCAAAAGCAGCTCAAGGCGTCGCATTTCCAGCTCGTCGAGGACGCCACCCTCAACTTTGACCAGTTCCGGGCCCAGGTCCTCGGTAAAGTGGACGGGGAAATCGCCCTGGAGAGAGAGGAACGCTTTGATGGGTTCCAACCGGCGCCGGTTCCTGAGCGGCAGGCGTACTACGGACCCCCTGACCACATGCATGCTTCGCGTGGCGCACCGTATGGCGCTGCCAATCGACACGAGTACCGCAGGCCGCCGATGCCGGGACACCAACAAGGATACCCTTCTCCTCCTCCTCCTTCTCACGCTCACGCTCACGGTGGCGGTGGCGGTGGCAGTGGCGGTGCTGCCACGTCTCCATACAGCGGCGCGCATACCCGGTACGGATCGCAACAGCAGCAGCTCCACGCCCCGTCGTCGTATAATCCGCAGACGCCGACGACGAGCCGTGCTGGCCTCACGCCGAGCCCTTCACATGTCTCCGGTCCGGGCACCGACGCTGCCAGCGCGGAGTACAGGTACGGGTCCTGGGGTCCCCAGGAACACGGGTACGGACAACAAGAGGCTCCGCATAATGGGCCATATCAACAACATCCTCCTTACGACCGGGACCCGGCTGCCCCGCGCGGTCCTCCTGGTGCCGATGGACCGCCTAGCCGGTATGATACGCCTTCTCATGCTCCCACCAGGGCCACCCCACACCCCGGCCCTGAGCATACACCTGGGCATAATAGGTCTGTGAGCCGGGGGCGGGAATACTTCTCACCTTCCCCTGGCATGGAGCCAACTCCACCTCAAGGCTATTAGTTTTACCAGACTGTACCGAGGAATTACTGCATGAGCACGTTTATGAGTTATGACATGTTGTCTCTCTGCCCGTGATTATGAGAGCGTTCGTTCGTATAGTCGTATAGGCATTGTGTGCCAAATAGTATTTGATTCTCATGGTGACAGCACGAAATATCAAATATCTTCATGATATCCGCCTGTTGAAACTGCATGTGCACTGCTGCTACTGAATTTGTCTCAATTCTTCGCTACCACGTCCCATGAGTTGATTCGGGTTCAAATTGGAGAAACGGCAACATCAGAAGTCCCCTCTAGTCGTCGTCTCTCCTTCTCCCGCATCTCAGCCAGCGCCTTATACCGCTCCGGTATCCTCCGCTCCCTGGGTCCCGCGATTTCCCACTCGGGCAACGAATCCTTCCCTAGAGCCCTGAGGGTTGTCTGCTCCACTAGACTGTACGTTCCGCCCGGGCGGTTGAAGCTCTGCGGCTCACTGAAGTGAACAGGCGGGTTGGTAATAATGCGCAACTGACGGCGGGGATTCGTAGACGCAGAATGCATCATCAGGGGATGCAACAGGAACACGTCGCCAACCTCCCCCGTAACCTCGACAAAGTCGTGCCGACGCAGAGACTTGACGAGGTCGACGTAGAAGCGAAGGCCAACGTCTTTGTCAAAATCGGGGTCGCCCCGCGGCGTCATGGAAGGGGAGACGCCCTCGGGGTGGTCGTACAGGTGCTTCGCGATCCTCTCCATGCCGGCGGGACAGATCATGGTGCCGCCGCCGCCGGGGTTGATATCCGAGAAGAGCGGGATGACGAGGAGGGCCTGCTCGGGCGAGTCGAGGTAGTGCACGAAGAAATCGCCGTCGACGTGCCAGTTGTCGAGGTCGCGCGGGTCGGTGTCCCTCCCTTCGTTCTCGGCCGTGCCGAGACTGACGATCAGGTTGTCCCTCCACTGCCGCGACACGTCGACGAGTTTGTCTTCGCCGCCGCAGAGCTCGGTGATGGCGGACCAGGCTTTCGGGGCGAAGACGGAGGCGTCGAAGCTGCGGTGCGAGGGCATGTTGGTCCTGCCGCGCCAGGTGGGCTTATCGTTTGGGTCGGAGCCTAGGCGAGTCCAGACGTCTTGGACTACCCAGTCGGCTTGGTCTTTGGTGAAGCAGTCGGGGATGCGGACCCAGCCGTGGGTGAGGAAATGTTGTTTTTGCTCCTCGGTTAGGGGGGTTGGTGCGTGGCGGGGGTCTCTAGACGAGGGCGCCTCGGCCCAGGTGGGTTTGAAAGGGAGTTCTGGGATGATGGTGGGCATTTTGGGCTCTGAGGGGTAGGGATGTTTGCCGGCTGGGACGTAAGATGCATGTGCTCTGTTCTTTATGAAATAGGGCAGCGAGATCTCGTGATAAATCATGAAACTGGCCTTTGAGCCCGACGAGGAATCAACGGTGATCTTTTAGGTTGTCTTTCACCGTTTCGCCGTTTCACGAATCGCAACCCTCTCCTCGTCGTCGGTTTGTGTAGTGACAACATATCTGTATGACGTGGGCTTACACAGTGAATTGGCGGGGCACTGAGAGAGGTGAGGGGCCAGGAGCCGGAGCCGGAATGTCGGATTCGGCGGTCCGTAGGTCGTCGACAAATGAGAGGCCGGAGTTGCTGGCCGAACAGTGTCCGTGTATTACGCCGACACTGTGCCATCGCCGTCCCAGAAGTTCAGGTGTGTTGGTTAACATGATCTAATTTGTCGAGGTTGGCCTCGTTATCGGTAACTGGAGAAGAAGTCTGGAAGTGCGGATAGATAGAAGGGAAGGGTCCGCGACTCCTTTAACCTGTGGTTTATCGGTTATCCCCTGGACTGATCCGCCCTGCAAAAACTGCATGTGTTCATTGGAAAATTGCTACAGACTACGGTGTATTAAGTCTCCTATCAACAGCCCTAGAAGTCATTATCAAACGTTTCTAAGATGGCTAGCTATATAATCAGAGCTTCCCCTGCCTACAATGTGAGCTTTCAGAATAACGTCAATGTTGCCAAACGTCGAATTCATCTTCTTTTTCTTAGGTCTTGCTGTTCCAACCAATGCCCCGACCTTGGACTGAGACGGTATCTAAGGTCTGAGAGGCTTCATTTTCAGTAGTGTATAACACTTCAATGTAGATCGAAGAATGGCCGTCAAAAGAGAACGTACTTGAAGTTGCTATGTTCGATTTTGAAAATATCACAGTTGGGCATTGCGATGGTGAAGTGGTGTCGTGGGCCTCATTGTCTCTTTCATGAACTGACTACATGTACTACGTACACAAATATACTGTAGAATTTTGTACGGAGTGGACGAGTATACACTATTCCTATTCCTGCGATAAAAGTTGAGGCTTCAATGCTCCTAGAGCCCACATGTGCATTCTACTTACACGTACTCCGTAGACCCTGCGGATGCGCACCATGCTCGTAACTTGTAAGCCCTCACTTGATGCGAATGCTTCGTTACTCAGGCCAGTATGAGGGAAGTAGCCGTATCATGTCCACGGCAAATTCGGGACACTGCCTCAAGGTCTCGGCATACTGGGCCGAGTCTCGCATCGTGTCAACGTTAATAGCCGCAAATGAAGCCAGCAAGGTTCGTATCCGGTCCGCTTCGCTGATGTTGCGGTACGCGTAACGAATCGTGACCGCCAAATCATCGTGGACGTGCTGATAGTCCCATATGCGGGTGAGGGTCCTGAAGAGCTTGAAGAGAGACAGACGCTCCAGCTTCTCCATCTTATGCTTGGTCGCAAGAAGATAGAGCTTGACGTGGCACTCGAAGATGGCCAAGTGTCCCTCTCCACCGGCGGGCTCCAAGTTAGGTTCCCAGTCCCGAAAACGGTCACTCGGTTCCGGATACAGCTTTGTTCCTTCCTCGATAAAACTCTTCGTGGCGGTCAGGATGGATGCCCGCGTGCCCTCCCTGAACTCTCGTCGATAGGCGCCGCCGCGAGCCTTGCCCCAGCCATAGGATTTGAGGCAGGTCATGATTGATAAGGGCTCGATTTCGAGTCCTTCCACTGCGGGTGGCTTCAGTTCCGGGACGGTATAGTCGCCGGTATTGGCGTACTCCATCAGATTTGCAAAGACGGCGGTTTCGACTTCTTTCCACTCCACAACCTTGACCTCGATGCCGCTCTCAAACCGGTCAAGATCACCGCATGCACCACCGAGCACACCGGACTTGACAATATTGGTGTGTACGTAGTGGCGCTGCTCTGATGGGCCAACTAGGAAGGTTATCATTCCTTCTTTAAGCAGGCTAGACACACAGCGTAGTTAGTTACATGTCCATATTACGGATAGGAAGGGTATACCGTATACGGAGTACAGACGGCGAATTGTTAGAGGGCGAATCGTTGGAGGGCAGATTGTTTGACCGCAAATCATTTGAATGAGAAGCGTTTGAGTGTCTTATTTTGACTTGCTCGACTTCGGCAGCCCTGGTTTTGCAAGTTATTATATTGGCTATGACACGAACAAGAAATCAAACCAACTAACCTCGCGTTATTAAGCTTCAGAGTCAAAGCAGCGATCTGGGCTGCTTTCTCACCCTCACTAGCATTCTTATAGTCTGGAGACCGTTTCAGTGCCGCCAATTTACGCGATTTCTTGGACGTATACTTGTGATGGATTGCCCAAACTTCACTTGCTTGTCCCTTTAACGTGGCGCGTCGTCTCAGTGCCCTCTGAGTATGAGGGTTAGTCGAGTATTCTCCTTCTGCCTTGCGTTCTAGAAACTAGTTATTATATATGTACTGATTGTTTCATAGAGATAGATAGACCTACTTTCAGTGAGTTTCGGCATAATTGCAGTTCGTGGCCAAAAAAGATCAAAGCACTCTCCACGATATGATTGTGTAGAGTGCTTTAGTTCTTTTGTCGGCCACTGTACCTGGAGTAGTGGAAGGAGTCAAAACCATTACAGTTTAAGTGTCGTCGTAATAAAAAGCTAGGACCAACAACTACCAAAATAACAAAGCCCGTGCACTCTGTATGGAGGTGAGACCGCCTTCGCAGTTTGTTCCCCCCAAAAAAAAGAAAAAGAAAAAAAGTTGGAAGGACTGTCCTCACAGCTTGCCAGCACCCTTCATCGCCCGTTCCCCGTCAACAAGCACACACCATCCTTCATGCCCGCGCCCACCATCCCCGGCCACAACGGCTCGGAACGCGCCCTCCTCACGCGCAAAAGCCAGGACGGCGTCGTCGAAAGACCCCGGCTGGAGCCACACGGCCGGGACGCCGAGCTCGCGCGCCTCTTTGAGAACCTGCAGCGTCGCGGCCGGTGGGGTGATGACGGAGATGGACGTATCCTTGGGGTGTGGCAGGGCCGAGACGCGGGGCACGGCGGGGTGCTCCTTGTTGAGAGCCGAGATGGTGGCCGCGGTCGGGTTGATGGGTGTTGCGGGGATGTTGTGAGCGAGGTACCATGAGAAGACTGACGGGTGTCTTAACCGGACTGGAACGAAAAATAATTCAAGTCGAAAGAAGGTGTTGGTTCTCTCTGAGCGACGTACTCTTGTGTCCAAACTTCGAGGGGTTCGAGCTGGCGCCCACAACGGCGAAGCGCGGGGAGGCGAAGAAGGCGCGGGCGGCTGCTTCGGTCGACATGATGTTGGACAACCTTCTTTGACAACTATCTTGCTGGTATGTACGACTCGGTGCGGAATTGAAACGAAGAGGGAAAAGGAAGTGGCGAAGGAGGAGTTGAGTAGACTCGAGGCTGGATTGTGAGACAAACTAAAGTATCTGTAGTTGCGACCCTTAAATCGTTTGTCACTTATTAACAATCCACCACACCGGGGCTCTCACCGAGCCAGGTGAGTGTTTGACCGACGGATTACGTATGTCATTCCGTTTCTTTAACTGAACAACTCGGCCACTTCCGGCAAGCCGAAGACAAGCGTTCGCGGCTCCGTTATGCCCGACACTGCCGACATCGCCGAGGCTCTCAGCGTGGGGATCTCGCCATTCATCGAGGCTACTCAATTGGCTGCTAGACCTCGCACGTCAACATGATGTGGATCGGCTTGGCCAGCCGGGGGTTCCCTGGAATGGGAAATGGGGAAAGGGAAACCATGGATCACTGACTGGCATTGACGTTCGATGGCGCTGTTGAATATGGGGCAACTCGACTTCTTGGAAAGCTCATTGACGGACGTGAGATGATGTGAGAGATCATCACACTCGGTCCTCACGAGCAGCATCGCTTTAGCAAGGACCCTGCCTACCTCAAGGATTTCGAGAAGCCCCAAGAGGTGTGAAGGGCGCAAAAAATGGCAACCTTCTCGTTCGTGTCCCGTCCTGTTCGGTAACCCCAGCTGTCTGTGTTTTACAAAGGGTCCAGTCCTTCGCTAACGCAAATGTCAGTCGGTCAACCTTCTCAGCTGCCAGCTACGCAGCCTTCCGGCCCTCGTACCCCCCGCCCCTCTTCAGAAGCATTCTCAAGCGTACCCGCGCCCGCGGAGCCACGGCCTCCTCACCATCCGGCACGCTCCTCGACCTAGGCTGCGGCCACGGCCTCATCGCGCGGGCGCTAAGCCCACACTTCGACCGCGTGCTCGCCATCGACCCCAGCCCCGTCATGGTACGCCAAGCCGTCTCCGCCACCCCGGACAACCCCAAGATCGCCTTCCGGCAGGGACAGGCGGAGGACCTCTCCTTCCTCGCGGACGGAACCGTCGACCTAGCGGTGGCGGGCCAGGCGGCGCACTGGTTCGACTATAGCCGCGCGTGGCCCGAGCTGGCCCGCGTGGTCCGGAGCGGCGGCGCCCTGGCCTTCTGGGGATACAAGGATAACATCCTCGTCGGGCGGCCGCGGGCCAATGCCGTTTTCGACGCCGCGTGCTACGGCGAGGACGACGTCGCTGCCGGGTTCCAGAGCATGGCGCGCTACTGGGAACAACCTGGGCGGGATATCCTCCGGGATTCCCTCCGGGCTGTGGTGCCGCCTGCGGAGCACTGGGGGGACGTCAGGAGGATCGTCTACGACCCCGACAGGGAGACGTCGGGTGTCGGGGTACAGGACGGAGAGGCGGCGTGGTTGAGGAAGAGGCTTAAACTCGGGGAGTTTGAGGGCTACTTGCGGACGTTCAGCGCGTTCCGCGCTTGGAGGGATGCGCACCCTGAGGTCAGGAGCCGGGAGGAAGGCGGACAAGGTGACATTGTAGACGTGCTTTTTGATAGGATACTGGAAGTGGAAGCGGACTGGAAGGCCGAGGGAGAGAAGTGGAGGGATGTCGAGGTGGATTCTGTTTGGGGGACGGCTCTCATTCTCGCCACGAGGAAGTGAAGGACTGGACTTTGTCCGTAATAATCACCCCCCTTACTTATGGTACTCCGTACATGTTTCGAAGCTAACATTTGTGCATACAAGGAATAGCGTCTGATGGATGAAGCGACTGAGAATTGGCCCCTTTCTGACTGTTGATTGATTGTACGATGGTGGAGAGGTGGAAACCGTGTGACGCTGCCGAGGGGGCAGGTTCTGACTGCTCCGAATCTGGGCGTCACGTGCGTAGAATGGTCCGTGCTAAATGTTTTCTCAATAGGTATCAGATCTGGGTCGTTCGTGCATAATCACGTCTGCCAGCAAAACACCTACTTCCCACTGATACCCCTCCTCCTTTCCCCGCCCAAGTCGTGACCTCTTAAACAGCACCGGTATGACAGTCTAGTAATGTCTTTGTACTTGTATGAGCCGAGGCGGGGTGTTAAGGATTACGTAAAATTACAGAGTGAAAGGTTTTCCGCTAACTCAAGATATTATTGTAGCACTCGCAAGTAGGTCTCTCTTAAGATACAGAACAAAACTCTGGCGCTTCTAACAGAGGTTGAGGCGAATGGGTCAGAGCCTCATTGTCCTGCATTTAGACTGCCCCAGCGCTCTGTGCCCCACTCCCGCAGGCAGCCACTGAGTCCCGTCTGCGCCCTTGACGCCCCTAACGGGAGATCTTGACGGGGAAGTATTACATTCGCAAGTACCTTGGATCGAAAATGTGACGAAGTGAGGTCTGTCGAGTCGGTACGGCTTGTAAGTAAGTCACACGGGGCGAGGAAGTATGCCGCGGTGCTGGCGGCCGTAATATTGAGCGAGGGCTTCGAGCCTCTGGCTATCTGAGACAGACGGAACATGTCTGTTTCACACTTTCGAGATTGCTGTTAGCGCGCATTGGCGTCACTATGTCTAGCAGGACTCACCTGTTTCTTCAGCCGCAGGTGCTCCAGCAGATGTTCGATCGGCGGGAGCTGTGCTATTACCTCTTCGTACACCTGAGTTAACATAAATTGACTTCCGAGTCTCCGTTCGAAGGGAGCGAGGGGCCTAAGACCCGGGGATTGACCCTTTCCGTTATCGTTGTCTACGAGTCACTTGAGCAGTTGCCGCTTTGAAACGCAGCCTACGGTTGGCCTGTGGTAATGAAGAGTCGGGTCCCGTGAAGGGCAGTCGTGGAGATCTGTTTTGTGGGAAGCTTGTTAATGGATCAGCGACAGTACAGTACTCTTGACAAGACATACATCTCAAGAATTCTTACTAACGTGGACCACATCTTCCATAGATCGATGATAAAGACCTGGAGGTGAAAATGATAATCTGAGCTGGATTCAGATCATGCATCGGTGTTTGCTGTTAACTTGAAGAGGGCATGGAGGGACATATGTTGATATAGTCTTGCTGCAGGAACCGAGATAGGTCAGAGTAAGGCTGTGGTTGGGAGGTCATAGACGTGAAAACCACGTGGAAGTCGGGCTCTCATGCTTCTAGATAACGTATGACCGACAGGTGGAAGTTGTGCGAGGCGAATACCGTTCAGGATCAGATGAGGGGGAACAGTGGACGCGAGACCGGAGCTGTGGGCAGCTGGAGATGTCAGTTCAAAGTTGTCAGGAGCCGCGCCCTGTTGAGTTGAAGGTGAAGGGAGCCGAGACCGGAGCCGGGGTCGGTGCTATGAGGTGAAAGATGCCGGCTACCGGGGCCGTGAGGCTAAAGTTGTGGGAGGCCGTCCCGTTGATGTCGAAGTTATGGGTGATTTGGGCGTGGGGCCTCGCCCGCTTGAGTTGAGGATGAAGGGAGTCGAAGCGGGGGCCAGGGCCAGGGTCGGGGCCTGGGCTATCAGGTGAAAGACATGTGGCCGGGACCGTGAGGCTGAAGTTGTAGGGGCCGTACCCTGATGTGTTGAAGATACAAGGGGCCGAGGCCGGGACTGTAAGCGAAAGATGTGGATGGCCGGAGCCCTGAGGCTGAAGTTGTGGGAGGCTGGGCCCTGAGGTCGAAGTGCAGGTGGTCTGGCCTATGAGGCCTAAGTGGCGAGGGTACCGTACGGGTCTAATCGCCGAATTACCGTCGTCATCTGAAGCGTCGTCTGTAGACACTTGAGAAAAGGTGGATTTCCTGACAGGACACATCTTGCTGGGAGCAAAGAATGTTGGCTAGAGATACACAACTGTTTGCTATCGTACGAGCCGGGAAATAGCGTATCCAATATGCTGAGGCTGCGATCTCATGAATGACTTTTCATGAATATTGCCGAGAACTCTGTTGCCTATTATCCTAGTGTATCTCAGACCGAAAAGGGGGAACTGAGGGTAAGTGCTCCGCCAGCGAACTATCTTGTCCAATATCAGTATGGGCAGAAGTCCTGTGCAAGGAGACAAACAAACCAATTTGTTGTGGTGCCTGAGCAGTCTTCTTCCTGAGACCGCTGATATAAACCCTTGGAAACTGTTGGCGGCAGGATGGAAAACGACGGCCGGAACCGGACCGACACAAGATGGTTGACGTTTTGCCGGTCGTGCTCAGGACGCAACAAAGTAGACGTCGATATGGTATTGGACGTAATCCAACATCGAAGATGACTTTTCTGGCCGTCCAGTTGGTGACACCGGACATGGACATCTTTCCAACTGCTCGCGAGAGAAGGAATGAGGCTGAAGTTGTGGGGGGCCTAGCTGGCAACTCCGAGAACCAGGAGGAGGCTAGGCTTGCCACATTCCCTAGCTGGCAACTCCGAGTAACAGGAGAGGCTAGGGCTTGTCTACCCCAGAAGGGGGACGGGTGAGGCTTGAGTACGGAACGCGAACTGACGAAATCGAGATGGTGGGAGGCTTTAGCTGTAGAGGTGCATTGGGATGGGCCTTCGACCGGCACGCCATGCCTGCACTAAGCCGGAGATTGTCCCATTCGAAACGCCATCCGGATCGAGGAAGCGCCTTGCCCGTTAGCACAAAGCGCTGGTCAAGCAAGCGGCGAGGAAAGCGAGCGCGAACCTTGCTGGACCACTCATAGGGAGTAGGCTGATGAGTCCCCCGATCATCGTACACAAGGGGCCTTGGACCCCTTCCAGGGTGAGAGGACCGAGGACGAAGTCGATCGCTGAGAATAAGCATGAAATAACGCTGTTCATCCTTCGGTCGTGATATAGGATTGCGGTGAAGAGGGAAAAGCTAGGACAGGCACATCACCAGCCACACGAATGATACTTGACTAGCACGTTGGGCATAATAGCTTCGCAAACGAGAAGCAGCTACCCCTTTAGCAGGAAACTGTGATCTTGAAATCCAGCAGAAATAAGCTCTCAACGGCTAGTATGTTGCCGTGTCCCTCCTGCCCTGACGTAGGACTGCAAAGATGTGCCAGTTTCGCTTCTAGCCCAATTGGTGGCCTGAGCCTGTCATATCCTCCGGCAGCCATGTTTATTTCTTCAGAGCTCTTTCTCGGAAGCATTGCTGGAATCGACCAAGACGGAATACAGAGAACGTAGATGTGCCGCTTCAGGAAGTCACTGCTGTTTTGTTCCGTAGGGAAGTTTTGGACACGTTCAAAACAGGAAACCGGAGTTAGTCATCGTTACTTCTCTGCGAGTTGGATGGCTGATGTCTACACTTTTTGGTAGGACTCGAGGTAGGTGGTTTACGCCTTCTCGCATCATCGAAGCAGCCTGCGGCAGGCGGGAACCGTACTGCGCAAGGCTTGGAAGCTACCATCGGTGCTAAACCTAGGTAGTGGGTAGATGTGGCGGGATCAATGCGAGGAGCCCGCGCTCTCGAGCATCCTGTGGTGATCTGCACATTGGCAGATATCTTCTGTCTTTGGGCGAATCCGGCCATAATACCACTAATTAGACGTTCAAGCTTCACTGGTTTGACATATTTGAATAATGGCTGCCTTTAGGCCTCGTTTTTCTTTTTCTAGTGACGGACTCGGAGCTTGTTGTACCTCGAGAGACTGCCGGGGCTAAACAAGGTGACACATATGGCTTGTCCGCGATGACACTTCGTGCTGCGCCACCGGCCGACCCCTCTTAATGTAAAGCTCCTTACGGAGTCCGATTTTCTCCCCCCATTTTACCTTAACACACCAATGCCGGCATCACCAAATAATACCATTTTGACTGCATAGTCTTCTGAAACAACATGGCATCAGAAATCACCAGCTCGATACGTACAGATCATCTTTTCTGGGCACAGTATGGTGCCACCTCGGTCGTCCCCTCCAGTATAGGCCAGAGCTGCTTAGCGCTCGCAACTATAACCCCTCTCCTCGCCTACCCTTTCCTCCCCCATCGTAACCGGGTGTCTGGGGACTATAACCCTGCAGGCTGCTTGGTTACTATTTCCAGGTGCCAGCTATTATTTCATCTTATCCTTACCTTATTCTCCGTCCGCGACGTCGCGAATAAATCGATAGCCACCCCGATCCCTACTAATACCTGGCCGCTTTTTTTAAGCATCTTCATCCACTCGGCAAGCTATCCCGCTACTTCCTTCTCAGCGAATAATCGCCTGAGGCCTTCGGATTTTAATCTGGCAGGCCACTGGGCCTGCTACTCCCTCCTATACTTCTTATTTCGAGCCTTCGATACTATCATCGGCCTGAGCCCCTCATACGCCTTCGTTATAGCGGCGCTTATTATATTTCCTATCAGCGAGAGGCTTACGAAGTATGTGACGAAACACACACATACTTATATTACGCGGAATATTTCCTCTCTTAGCTGGCTTTGGCCAACGCGTGGAGCGGATGATTTCGATCCGGGCTGGAGTGTTATACTGTTTATTGCTCTTCTCATTGAGCAGGCTATATTAATTCCTATAGCCCTCGCGGACGCGTTGAGAAATCGATAATCTTTAAGGTTGCTTCACTTTAATCTGCATCGTAAGGTACGACTCTAGCCAGCCGACCCCAGGAGAGTGCAACGTGTTTAATCAGCCTTTTGCACAGGTGTTTCGCAGCCTCGGCAATTGCCGTTGATGAGAAGCCCCAATACAATACGCGAGGGACAAAAAGCAGCACAGAAATAGGCTGCTTACTGAAGGAGGTTGGTTGCAGCAGTCTTCACATAGAGGAAATCAGAAACATGTCCGCGCAAGCAAGAACAGTCAGTTGCGGAGTCGTCATGAGCGGGAGAGTCTGCCATATTCTAGGAGGCCCGTTGCTTCAGTCTTGAGAGGCCCTGGAAGCTTCCACTTTTCCGCTTCTCCAGCATCTTAAAGGTCTAAGACCAGCAGCACCTGACGACCTGGCCAAGGCGTAATCGTCGGTAAGGCGCGTGCTCCGAGATACCAATACAAACGAGTCGACGCTGACGAAATTCAAGTCACTGAATGCATCAAAAGTTACTTTGAGGCTTGTCCTCCAGTTCCCATTCTGATCTTGGTACAAGAGTCGCCTGCGGGCGGCGGCCTTGGTCAAACGCGCCGGCCGATTGCAGTAGAAGGCCCTGGGCCATTCCGGCCCGTTGTCGATGGACGTCGACGAAACACGAGGCTCTGCGTCTGGGTATCGTGGATGGCGCCAGTTCTCCCTAGCAGGCCGGTCGTCGACTCAGGGTCGATGGATGGTACCCTTGACGATTTCCTGCGGCGGGAAATTGGCTGGTGTAAGCCAAGAGTTCGCAGACACGCCATGCGGCCGACTGCCCAGCGCTGGGCTTGCGGGTGCAACCAACGCGTGGCGTGGCATGGCCATGGACGTCAAGGCGTTGTCGTCGACAGACCACGACTCGATGAGGGGACGGGACGGGATGTCGGTGGTCAAAATGTATTCAAGTTGGTTGGTAGAATGAAGGGCACTCATTGACTGGGCGAGACAGCTCCAATCCATGCCAGCGTGACTGGAAACGCAAAAGGGTTGTCATGACTAAGCAACAGGCTGGTTAGTGCCTGCTTCGGCGCTTCCCCTCCCAGACAACATCTGTATGCAATAGTTCGAAAGTGGTTTGCGAGGTTAGCGATACACAGGAGTTGCTGTATTTTTACAGGCGGTGTGCATACAGCCCCTTTATATTTGGTACAGAGACAGGAATCGGGGGACAGGTTCCTGTATTGGTATGGGTGGGCGGCAGTGCACTGTACCAGATGGATAAGGGTACTTATTCCGGCTGTGTAGGTACATGTTCGCTTGGCGCTATGTACTTATCGAGGGTGATTTGGGGGCCGAAACCTGTCCCCACCGGCGCCCAAAAGAGGCACCTCGGGCAGCGTCACAGCACTTGTTACGGAAATCAAAAGCAAGACTTATGATTAGTTTGATTGGTCACTGTCCTTCGATGACGCTCGTTGCCCCGGCAATTAGCTTTGTCAGCATACCTATCAAGCTTGCACAAGATCCAGCTACCTTAAGTAGCTCGGCCCTCACCGCCCTAGCCCGCAGTGGTTGGGCCTTGAATTGTGCTGTGCTGGGTGCACGCACCATGGCAATGTGGGTTTGGGAGGAAATATTACATACAAAACAATGCATACGGTCGGAGCAAGGGGCGGTCTTTCAAAGGGATAGTTCAAACGTCCGAAAAACATCACCACTTCCTCAACTTCTCTGCGTTTTGGGACGTTCTATTTCGAATCCATTCCCACCAAAACAACATGGTAAGTCTCCTATTCCTCCAATGTTTACATTTCCCCTCATAGAATGTAAACAATTCCCTTTTACCCACTAGAACCAGGTTTTAGCGCCTGTTGGCGGGGCTGTTCACCCGCCAACAGGGGGCGACACAGCAGGCAGGGAAAAAAGCGTCGCTCTCAGCGGGCAAGTGCTAGAACTCGACGGCGCGGGGATGGGAACTGGCTGTAGATCCATCGCGAGCGACTCCACGTTCCGATTTCTCTCCCTTTTCTCCTGCCTCGCAACCCACCACAGCCCTTTGCATCTGTCTATCTTTCTTCCCTCCAACTTTCCTTTCCGTCTTCTTCGCATCAACTCGTTATCGCAAGCGATCAATCAAAAGAGCCACCATGTCATCTAACCATTTCGACGCCCAGGCATCTACCAACTACAAGGAGGCTTTCTCCCTGTTCGACAAGCGCGGCAACGGCCGTGTTGCCCTCGACAGTCTCGGTGACCTCCTTCGCGCCTGCGGCCAGAACCCTACTCTAGCGGAGATTCAGGAACTCGAGAAGAATGTGGGCGGTGACTGTACGTCAGATTCCCATTTCTCTGTTGCATTTGCATTTCTCCGACCGATCCCCCCCTTCTTTTTTTTTTGTCGACTTAGCACCCCGACCACGGCCACCAAGTACGATAATACAAGAGCTAACTGACAGCGGACGGCAGTTGATTTTGAGACCTTCCAGCGCGTGCTGAACCGCCCAGGCGGCTTCCGCGACCCGGGCGAACCCGATGAGTACTGCCGTGGCTTCCAGGTCTTCGATAAGGACATGACGGGCTTCATCGGGGTCGGCCAGCTCAAGTACATCCTGACCAACCTGGGCGAGAAGATGACCGATGAGGAGGTTGACGAACTGCTCAAGTCGGTCGACACCAGCTCTGGCCAAGTGAATTATACCGGTACGGATCTCCTCTTCGCTGTACCTACGTGTTTTACGTGTTCTTCTACCCTTTGGTCTTTATTGTACCGTTTCGTGCCATTTGACTGACGCTTCTTTTCCGGCAATACAGATTTGGTCCGCACCATTCTCGCCAACTAAGGCTACGTAAATTACCCACGGTTGACTTGACCACCGGGAGAACCATGACACGATACGCGGGAACGGAATCGCAGCGGGCACTCGGAATGGCCTGGCATGGCCGAAATAACATCGGGGGATATGACGGCGTTTCTTGCGTGTTAGTTTGTTTAGTATTGATTATTACTTGGCATGTTCATATCTCAATCGACGCACATTTCTCGGATTACATTCTTGGGTACTCGGTAACGTTCGCATACTCGGTCTTCTGCGTTGGAGGGGTGGCTCTGTGTTGTGCACCCTGCGCTCTGCACCCTTGTGGACACGTGCGTATCTCTGGCTGCCTACGGGGATAGAAGCCGTGTTGCCAAATGTGGAAGGCCGCAACAGTGAGAAAAGGAATCGTCTCTCTCTGCTTAAGGGGTAGGGGCCGAAAGCTTCTGTTCGTTGTGCCTGCTTTCTTTGCTCTTCAGGAAGGCGTCAAGTGGTGTTGCCAACGCAATGCCATTCCGGGACCTTGGGATATCATTATAATCCACTGCATCGCCCTTCATCATAAAATAGATTGATCGTCAGTCCCTAGCTGTCGTCTTTTCAGAACATCAAATCATTATCAAACATCTCCTAGAATTCCACCCACCTTCAACGACAACGCGCACGGACTGCCCCGAGCCAGCTTACACATGTCCCAGGCAGGCCAAGGGGGACGAAACTGCCAAGAGAAATTTGGGAGCTGGTACCGGTACCGGTCGGAACTCAGCAGCAGGCGCACAAGCACAAGTACAGGCACAAGCACAAGCACACGCCAAACATACCGGTACGTAGAGCAGCCTGCGATCTCCATCCCAGATCTGGCCCCAGGTCACGCTTCCTACCTTCGTCGCTTCTCCCCAGTCACGCCGTGATAAACTGTACGGATTTTCCTACCTTTCCTTCCTCCCCATTTCACTATCCGCTATATCCATGCCCTTCAATTCTCCCACAGACGTTTGTCTGACCCTTTTCTCACAGTAATACCCTTTTCTCACAGTAATAAGAACGCCAATTCCGTCCTCCCACTACGCGAACCCCACGTCGACAACGTTCGGGCACGTCACGCCACTGACACTGCCACTCCGACTCCCGCCCCGACTGTCACCCCGCCTCTGAGCCGAAGCCGCTCCTCCCTCCGCTTATTCCGCTCCTTCCCCTCCCGTCATCGTGCGTGCCCCTCACCAACAGCCCTGGCTCCTAAAACGTACCGTCGTCTTTCCCTTTTCTTCCTCCCCTTCCTCCTTTTCTTAGTCATTACCGTCACCCTGGCGACCCCACGGGCATTCGTACGTCTTCAATCCCTGGCTAGCCAGTTACGCTTCACTCCTGCCACCAGTGCCTTCGCCGCAGCGACGAGCAGCATCGTCGCAACCGCTTACCGACCCTTGACCACCGCCGCCATGGCCCCTCCAAAATACCAGTCGCCTCCTCAGGCGCCGCCCCTGTTCGTCGGCACCAATGACTCCATCGCCGCCGATGCGCAAAAGATATGCGATACCACGCGCAGCTTGCTCGATAAGGTCGTGGCCGAGGTCTCTCCCGAACAAGCCACCTTCCAAAATGTCATGGCGCCCATTGTCGAGGACGAGAACCTGAGCGCCCTCCAGACCCGCATCCTCGGCTTCTACCAGTACGTCGCTGCCGACGCCGACCTCCGCACCGCCTCCACCGAAGCAGATAAGATCCTGGACGACTTCGGCATCGAGTGCGCCATGCGGGAGGACGTCTTCAAGCTCGTCGATGCCGCCTACTCCCGCCGGGACAAGGAGACCGAACTCGAGCCCGAGAGCCTTCGCCTCTTGGAGAAGGACCGCAAGAACTACATCAAGTTTGGCCTCGGTCTGCCGGCCGGACCGCAGAGAGACCGCTTCAAGGAGATCAAGAAGCGTCTCAGCCAGATCCAGATCGAGTTCACCAGGAACCTCAACGAAGAGAATGGCGGCGTCTGGCTGACGCCCGAGGAGCTGGACGGCGTGCCCGAGGATGTCCTCGTGGGCCTGGAGAAGGGCAAGGACGAGAACGAGGGGAAGCTCAAGCTGTCCTTCAAGTACCCCGACCTCTTCCCGACCCTCAAGTTCGCCAAGAACCCGGAGACCCGGCGCAAGGTCTTCATGGCCAACGAGAACAAGTGCAACCAGAACGCCCCCCTCTTCCAGGAGGCCATCGTGCTGCGCGACGAAGCCGCCCGCATGCTCGGCTATCCCAACCACGCCCAGCTGCGAATCGAGGACAAGATGGCCAAGGACACCGACACGGTCAACGATTTCCTGGCCGACTTGCGCTCGCGCCTCACGGCCGGCGGTGCCAAGGAGGTCGACCATCTTCTGGAACTCAAGAAGGCCGATGCCGAGTCCCGCGGCCTCCCCTTCGACGGCAACTACTACCTCTGGGACCACAAGTTCTACGACCGGCTGATGATCGAGAAGGAGTACAGCATCGACGAGACCAAGATTGCCGAGTACTTCCCCATCAGCTCGACCATCTCCGGCATGCTCAAGATCTTCGAGGAACTTTTGGGGTTTGTCTTTGTCGAGCTGCCACCCGAGGACCGTGCTCGGCTGAGCCCCACGGGCAAGGCGGAGGACATTGTCTGGCACGAGGACGTCATCCTTTTCAGCGTCTGGGACGACGCGTCGGCGGGCGATGGCTTTGTCGGTTACCTCTACCTCGACCTTCACCCCCGTCCGGGCAAGTACGGCCACGCCGCCAACTTCAACCTGCAGCCCGGCTTCCTGTACGAGAACGGCACCAGACGGTACCCCGCCACGGCGCTCGTGTGCAACTTCAGCAAGCCCACGGCGACGAAGCCGTCTCTCCTGAAGCACGACGAGGTCGTCACCCTCTTCCACGAGCTGGGCCACGGCATTCACGACTTGGCCGGCCGCACCAAGTACTGCCGGTTCCACGGCACCAGCACGGTGCGTGATTTCGTCGAGGCCCCCTCCCAGATGCTGGAGAACTGGTGCTGGACCCCGAGCGTGCTCAAGTCCCTCTCGAACCACTACGAGAGCGGCGAGAAGATTCCCGACGACCTGATCGAGAAGCTGCTCTCTACCAAGCACGTCAACTCTGCCCTGTTCAACCTCCGCCAGCTCCATTTCGGCATTTTCGACATGACCATCCACTCGCCCAAAAGCCACGAGGAGGCCAAGGCCTTTGAGATCTCCAAGCTCTACAATGAGCTGCGCAGCCAGATTGCCGGTATCAAGGGACCAGAGGCCCAAGGCGAGAAGCCGTAGGTTTTTCTTTTCTCCCCCTTTTACCTTTTTGTTCTTTTTTCTTCTTTTTTTTTTACCTCTTCTTCTCTTTCCCCATTCTTCTCTCCACATAATGCCACCCAGACTGTATTGGCTAACCTCTCTTTCAAGGGACTGGGGTAACGGGCAAGCGTGCTTCGGCCACCTCATCGGCGGCTACGACGCCGGTTACTACGGCTACTTGTACTCCGAGGTCTACTCGACCGACATGTTCTACTCGGTCTTCAAGGCGGACCCGATGAACGGCGTCGAGGGCCGACGATACCGCCACACTGTGCTGGAGAAGGGTGGAAGCCAGGATGAGATGACTTCGCTTGAGAATTTCCTGGGTCGCAAGCCGAGCACCGACGCGTTTTACAAGGAGCTGGGCATTACTCAGTAAGACAGTATCCAAGAGGATGGAGCTCTCTCTGGCGCATTCGCGGAAGGATTATACACCTCGGACGCATGTTGAGTGTAGACGGGCCCTGGTTAAGCTATATAAGACTCAGATCCAGAAGGCTTATACTCCCCTCCCTCCCTATAACCAATAAACTTGAGAGACAGGCTTAGAAGACACAAGTACCTTAGGTACAAAAGAAGCACGAATACCTTGAGTTGCGAGTTATGTCATGCGGCCCACTGAGCTACCTGTACGAATCTACGATGCCACATGTACCTACGTACCATGTACTCCGTACTCCGTACTCTGACTGAAACTGTCTGTGTCATCAGCCACACCGGCATCCAGCCCCACAGCTGCGCCATCCCAGCCGTTATCTGGACCCACTCTGGCTGAAATGTAAACAAACGCGGTCTAACCTCTAACCGTGACCCTCTCTGCCCCGAAGTTGAGTTGCCATTGCTGCCATCTCTTCGTACATCGACATCACCTCAATCCAGATCCATTCTGCCTTATCACCTGCCACACTACACTCTGTTGACGCTCTTGAATTAACAATCACGGCTTTTTGCTCCATCTGCGTCTGCTCACCTATCCGACTCCCCTGGAATCTCGTCTCAATGGGCAATCTCTAGCACGCTTTTCTGAGCACATCACCCCCAATATACTCCTCGAATTCGATCCGCTACTTCTTCTTCCCTTGCCCAGCTGTCCGACAGGGACCACCACCGCCCCAACATGGCGCGAGATTCTTCCCTGAAGATGGTACCCGCATCAGACGGCGTCCCGCCCGAATTCACCTTCGATGGCCGGTTGGCCTCTTTCAAGAAGCCGCTTGGTGCGCCGAAGAAGCGCGGTTCCACGGCGGGTGCTCGTGCGCCGAAAGGCTCGACCTGGCCCCATGCCAAATACCTACCTGCGGACAAGGTGAGCAGGTTTTTTATGCAACAAACACCGCACCGTCTTGTTGGACGGGAGGGACTGACATTGGTTTCCATTCTCAGCTTGCCGGAGCTGGCTTCGTGTGGCAACCTCGCCCCGAAACACTCGACAACGTCCGCTGCTTTCTCTGCGACAAGTCCCTGGATGGCTGGGAAGAAGGTGACGATGCGTTGGAGGAACACCTGAAGCATTCTCCCAACTGCGGCTTCGCTATCGTGGCTGCCATTGCGGCCGGGTACGAGAAATATGCGACGGAGGATCCCAACGCACTCTACATGGTTGAGGCGCGCAAGGCGACGTTTGCGGGAATGTGGCCGCATGAGAACAAGAGAGGTTGGAAGTGCAAGACCAAACAGGTACCCCCCCCCTTCCTTTGCATTTCCCTTCTTTTTTCATCACTTGTGTGGTACGAGCTATAGCTGACTTGGGGGTTACGAAGCTGGCCGAGGCGGGATGGAAGTGGACACCACTCAGCCAATCTGACGATATGGCGACGTGCCCTTATTGTGAACTTGCCTTGGATGGGTGGGAGCAAGGCGATAAACCAATGTGAGTGCTTACCGCATCTCCACTTCCTATTTGACTTGACCTTTTGCCAACGGAAATCAGGGACGAACATTACAACCGATCGCCTGACTGCCCGTTCTTCGGGCTGACCCACCAGTATGCGACATTGAAGAAAGCATCGAAAGGCAAAGGTGGTAGGGCCTCCAAAGTCTCTCGTGCATCTGTTCAATCCGTCGCCACGGCCGTGTCCGAGCTCCCCTCGGTCATGGAAGATGTCACTGCCAACGTCGAGGATAGCGTCATGACGACTGCTTCCACGGCGGCTGGCAAGAAGGCAGGTCGCCCGAAGAAGACTACTACGGCAGCGAAGGGCCGGAAGACAAAGGCGAAGAGGGACGAACCCGTTGAAGTGGTAGAGAGCGATCCTGTGAAGGAGGAATTTCCACTGCCACCACCTCTCACCAAGCCCGCACGCGGTCGGAAGAGGAACAGCGACGCCATGGATGATTCGGTGGCCACCGTGTCGGAAGCCCCGGCGGCGAAAAAGAGGGCGACGCGAACGCGTGCTAGTCGAACGGTTGAACGTTCGGTCGTCGAGCCTTCGGAGGCTGACACGGACATGGCCGACGCACCGCCTGCCAAGGGCAAGGGCAAGGGCCGGAAGACGGCACGGGCATCGAATACGCGGAACACACGCAAGGTTTCAGGCGCGTCATCAGTCCGGGCTGCTGCCTCCACTGCGTCCTTGCGAGCTGCTCCGGGCGCATTCCCCGACGACGACGACAACAACGACGACGACGACGACGAAATTGAGCGGCAGCTTGAGGCGGATCTCGAGCGGCCATTAACGGACGACGAAGACGTCATGCATGACTCCGATTCGGAGCGCCGAAGGGTCCCTGCTAAGGGCAAGGGAGCCAAGACGGCAAAGGGACGGGCACAGAAGAACGAGGCGGCGGAAAAGCTTCCTGAATTTTCTTTTGACCCGTACCCAGCAGAGGATGAAGATGAGGTGGAGGCGGAACTGCAGAGACTGCAGGAACAATTAGACGCAGAAGAGGCTGCTGCTGCGGCGGCGGCGGCGGCAGCGTCAGCGTCAGCTGAAAAGGCCGACGAAGAAGAAGAAGAAGAGTGCTTGGTAGTTCCTAAGAAGGGCCGTAAGGCGGCGGGAACTCGCAAGGTGTCGAAGCCAACCAAGGCTCAGATGGCGAAAGAGGCACGAGAGGCCAAAGCCGCCGCCGAAGTTGCTGCGGAACGGGAACGGGAGGAGCAAGAGCAGGATGAGAACCAGGATGAGAACCAGGGCGATGACTTGCCCGTTCGAGAGGACACTATTCCCGCCGCGGAAGAGGACAACAACAGCAGCAGCACGGCTACGATCGTCAACAGGATATCCGCCGACTCCTCTGCGGATCGCACTAGCAACACGGGAAGGAAGCCGGGTCGACAGTCTAAGAAGTCAGCGACGTCCCGCTTGTCAGCCCAAGCCCAGCAAAGGGAGCTGGATGAAGATGAACTTGCGGTTCACGAGGATGAGCCACTCGCTGAAGCGGTAGCAGAAGCACCTGTGGAGGAAACCGAAGAACCCGAGGGACTCGAGGAAATCCATCAAGATCCCGTCGTAGTTGGCGTTCCCGAGACTCCAGCCGAGCCCGAGGTGTGGGAATCTCCCGCCTCGAATCACCAGACGCCAGAGCCAGGAACAACAAAGAGGGCGGGCACGCCAAAGGCCGCATCGTCGTCGCCCGAAGCTCCTCCGTCGCCCTCGCCCCTGCCTAGGAACCTCCAACTGCCACCAGCAACGCCCCGGGCGGCACACATCTCCCCCGCGGCGTCGGCCCGCCAACCGGCGATATCGCCGTCTCCCTCGCCCCAGGCGTCCGACGCCGAGAACCAACCGCCGTCGTCGGTGCGGCCGGCCAACATACTCACGCAGAAGCGAGTGGCTCTGGCGCCCATTGCGGCGGCGGCGGCGGCGGCGACGCCCAGGCGACCGGCGGGAGGGTCACCGTCGAAGCGCAACAACAACAACAACGTGGTGGCGGGGCTCCGTACCACGACGCCCTGGACGGCGGTTGACCTCGACGCAATATTCGGCACGCCGCAGAAGAAGAATGCGCATGGGGGGGAGGAGGTCGACGAGACGGATAAGGAGAACAACAACTACGAGGGGGCGATGGCGCGGTTGGTGGCGCGCGGGGCGGAGCTCACGAGCCCGGAGAAGCGGATGACGGTGGAGGAATGGATCTATTTTAACGCGGAGCAGGCGGAGGAGCAGCTGAAGCATGAGTCTGAGAAGATGGTTAGCCGGTTTGAAAACGAGGGGACGCGAGCTATGCGTGTCCTGGAGGGGTTGATTGTGGACTGAGTGTCGGCTTGGTTCTGGGCTTTTCCCCCCTTTTTTTTTTCCTTTTCCTTTTCCTTTTGGGCATTTCATGATGATGTTGGGATTGGATGGCACGCGGATCGGGGGAGTTTGTTTGGTTTTACGGGTCCAGGATATAGGGCCTGGATGGTTCACAAGCACTCCCTATTATGCCTAGACATGGCTGCTAGAGGAAAGCTGTCTAGAGTCGTGGGATATCGGATATGATGATGGGCATTTGTCCTGTCGTAGTATGTTCTATTTGGTATGCCGGCGCAGTGACCACCCCAGGACATTACTCTGCAACGAATAACACAAGGTGCCCCGTTAAAAGAACAACCGGCGTTTGTAATGTAGGGTGTCTCCCTTGAAGGATGTCTGTCTTGTGCGACAGACATGGTGACAATTTCGGACTTGTGAACCTGATTCATGTCCCGTGGCGTGTGGCGTGATGGGACGGAGTACGGGGATGAGTTGGACAAATAGCTGGTTATGAGCTGTTACTTGGATCTCGAAGAGAGGGGGACCTTAAATACTAATCACAGATCATCCGATAACTGGCAACCCGTGGACCCGTGAATTTTTCAACATCTCAGAATATCTCGGCACTTCAGATATTGGAGGTCTCGGTGAGACTCGGCGTCTTCCGGTCCGGCCCTTACCGTTACGGGGTCACCGAGGACCTCCTTTCGGTGTGGCCCCACTATGCCCCTCTCGTCATGATGCCCAAACCGTGACCGTGACCGCGACATCACCGTACTCCGCACTCCGCACGTCCGTACTTCGTATTTGTACATCCCCCTCGAGCCATCCAAAGCAATACCCAACCAATTCCCGGTCATCTATCAACATCTATCATTTCTCTTACCCTCTCACAAGCCGATCCTATAATCCCATCTCCCCATCTCATCCGATAACGTCGACTGGGTCGTCGACCGTCATCTCGGATCGGGATCCTCCGCTCAACTTAATTACACTGCGGCGCCTCCGCGATCGAAATGACTATTCTTCCGAATTGTTTCTGAGCTCGCATCACGGCCGAGGCAGCTAGTTATTAAACATGGTCACCTCGCTCGGCACGAGCTTTTCGACTTTTTGATCTTTAGTGTCCTGGACAAAGATCCTATCATTTCTTGAATCGATATATCTTTACCGTCTCATATCGCCGATATCTTTTATATCATCATGTCAAGGCTTTCTCTCATCGAGGAATTGCCGAACGAGGTACGTGTTGCTTCCCGGCCTGCTCAGGGACACTTCAGTCCTAACTAACATCTAACTCGTTCCAAAGCTCCTCCTCTCCATCTTCGAACGTCTCCCGACGCTCTCCCTGGTCGGCCTGACTCTCGTCTCGCACCGCATTCACGCGGTAGCGACCGAAGCCCTCAAGCTCCGACTCCTAGCCACCGCTCATCTCGGTCGCCACGAGATACTCCTAGAATGCTACCACCCGGTCGCCAAGGTCACGACTCCGTCGCTCGCCTGCCATGCCCGCTCCATCCGACCCCTGGGCTCGTCGCCGCCTCCGTCCCCATCTCAGTCCCCATTGGGATCGTCGCTTCGGCCCCTCGAATCGGCGGACTGGGGCCTCGCGGACCTCGGCAGCCTCTACTCACACTTCCAACTCGAAGTGACCGATACCCATGGCGCCAGCGGGGCAGCTGACGCCGACGCCGACGCCGACGCCGACGCCGGCCGGAGGGCACCCAAGCCCACACATCGCGTGTTCATGGACGACGCGGACTGGTTCTCCCAGCTCTGCGCGTCCACGAGCATCGTCCGGCAGGGGCCGCGTCCGGGTATCTTCCTGAGCCACCAGGCCATCGGCGAAGGCGTGGTGCGGGTGTGGCGCGATTGGGCGGCCGAGGCGGCGGAGAGGAGCGCGTCCGGGACAACGGGCGGTGCTGCGGCGGAGGGCCTGGACGTCTTGTGGGCTGACGTGCACCAAACCGTGGGTTTGCGGTTTACGGTGCAGAAGACGGACACGGAGACTGCACTGGAGGAGTGGGGGCATATTCTCGTTTCGACGGAGAACCCGCCTGTCGAGTATATTCTTCATTATGAAGGTATGTGTGTCACCGTGACAGGCCATGATGGAAGAGGTTTGATGGCGAAGGAGTGGCAGGGCTGACTGTGAATTCTAGAGTTGCTGGTCCGCACGACCAAAATCCTCCTTGCCATGGACAAGCTAGCCGTGCAAGAAGTCGCCAATTCAGGTAAAGCTATTGTCATCGCCTCTTATCAGGTTTGAGAGGGTGGAAAGAGGGAAAGGGGAATGGAAACATTGTTCCTCGGCTCGATGATTCCGAGTTGCGAAACGTCAACCCCCAATAGCAAACATGAACACACTACGGGATACATGACCTGTGGCGAACGTCAGTCATGCCGTATACAACTCGATGGCACCTAGGGAATCGCATTGCCGTCTACAGCTACCGACAACGAGGAAGAAAACGAGGAGCATGGAGCGCCGATTATTATCGCCCTGTTTTCACGCCATTGACCAACCCGGTTCTAATATCGTCCAGATACAGATTTCTACGTGCGCCTCGACGGAGAGGCTTGCGTTGCTCCCACCAAGGCACTTTTCTGGTTTACGAGGCCTCCCCTCGCCTCTGGACAGCCTATTATTACGGTCGTGTCATGATGTCATGGAGATGGTTTGGTAGACAGCGACACGCACAAACGTCCAGTTTGCGGTACTATATGCCATTTGAAGACCTGAATAGCTGGACTCGACACAAACCCGTTTGATCGGCCGACCAGTCACTCGGCCCTATGCGTGCGCGCACAGGACGCTGTGCATTATTGTGCCGTAACAGCCGAGAGGCGCCACCCATACAACGTACATACCTACATATATCATGCATCTTATATCTGGTCAAACCGGTAGTGGAAGAGGGGAGGGAGATGTTTGCGATCATGATCTGGTTCGGATACTCGGATGGTCCCAGCGCCGGATTGTTTTGTGTTGTGGCGGCCGTCGCGTCAGAGCGAGAGGACCAAGTGAAGCGGGTAGGGGACCTGTCATGATCTGTCAAGATCTGTCAAGATCTGTCATCGAAGACATGTCTCTATCGGCATCCGTCCTACCTGCCACTAGCAGTCCTACGACTGACTTTGTGCTTGATAGAATGAGAAGCTGAACATTCCAAGATTCCATATCGATCGCAGGCCCCGGGAACTCAGGGGTCAGGGGTCAGACAGGGGTCAGGGGTTGAGGTTACATCTGTAACAGGTGATACGACCTTTCCACTTCGTACTGCACGTACGTTGTATAATAGCTCACTTATATGGTCTGTCACTAGGAGGTACGAATTCATTCTTCTTTCTTTTTAGCCCTATGCGGAGGGGGCGGGCTGAGGTCTCTCCCTGACTTTGCGATGAATCAGTCTTACATGTTATTTCGCAGTACGTTCGGGCATGGGCCTGGTCGTATCACACTACACGGCCTTCAAGACATCCCACATCTTCCCTTGCTTCTCGTCTTTTTCTCTGCTTCGTAATTACTTTCGGACCTCTTGGCCTCTCAAGCCGTTGTTTCGGAACGTTCTACCGAGTCCTTGCTTGCGCTCAGCCACCCCATGCCCGAGGTCACCGCCGACGTCAAAGCGTAGTGTGCATCTGTCTGTGCGTGTCTCTGTGCACGCAGCCAGTTCAGTCTGTCTGCGTGTGATCATCCGTCTGATTTACGTCCTCTCACAAAAAAGAACAGGCTCTGTTTCTGTTCCCACTGCTCCCTCGAAGCCGCCATACCACTGTACCCACCTCTCGGCAAGCATGCGGTCCGAATCGCGACACACTACGGAGTCGTTGGCGACAAGGCAGGGCGTTACATGGCGTACGAAAGTCGCGTCCGAAAGTGCGAAGGACAGATGATTCGTAACGCGTACGATGTAGCTCCAGTAGGGCCGAAGCCGAAGATGTCTCGGTCTTTCTCGTCTTTCCCAGCTTCTTGATCACATCCACATGATTCATTCAGCCTCCCTCTCACTTGACATTCTCTGAAAGGACGTGCGCTTTCCTTTCTTTTTCTTTTTTTTTTTTTTTTGCAGCTGGGCTGCTATTTTCGCTTCTTTCCTAATAATTTATTATTATTATTTCTGTTCTGTTCTTGGGACTATCTAATTTGGCTTAATTATAATTCGTTTTTGTTTCCCATTTCTTTGATTTCTTCTGAGAAAACCTCCTGGGCAACCTCCTGGGAAACGAACCTCCTGGCCCGACCACTACACGAGCTTCCTTCCCATCGCGGTGTGGTGTGAAGACCGGTGCCTGGTAGGTGAGCTCAACATCGCGAAGGCTGGTCCTCCGTGTTTAGCTGGGAGAACAGAGACAGACAATCACCAATTCGAACCGACCAGGTCTCTTTCACTTCGATTTATTCATTTTATTATTTATTTTATTTTCATCTATTGCTCTGTTTACTCCGAGAGGGCGACGAGTCAAGGCAGGATAACCGAGTCAAATGGAACAAGACCAACCGAGAGACGACGACGGCGCCGCAGAGCTAGGGAAGAGCCTCGTGACAGTGACAGCGACAGTGACAGCAACACAAAACACGACACACACAGCCCCGGGACTCTTGTCGACAGGCCTCGACGTCCCTCCGCCTGTGCCCCCGAAAGATGACCTACCTCTGTCGCGCCCCGGGACGGCCCCGACCTCGACCTCGACCTCGACCTCGACCTCGGCTACGAACGATGCGACACTCAGCGGAACCAAGATCGGGCCCAAGCCCGGGACGGCGGGGACCGGCAGGAGCGCCACGGGCCCCAGCATAGCGGGCACCATGTCGACGTCCCGGTCTCGCGCCCACTCCCGCGCCCACTCCCGCGCCCAGCCCAGCACGAGTACGCTGGCGAGCAGCTACTTCGGTCCTCCCGCCGCGCCGCCTCCCGCGAGAGAACTGCCGCCGCCACCGACGTTGGCGAGCCTTTCGAGACCCAGCACGGCGGGGGTCAGCAGCAGGCCTAGGCACCACACAGCGGGAGAAGAGGGTGAGGCGCCTGTGCCCGTACCCGTGCCTGTTCAGCCTCTTCCGCAATTGCCTCCACCCTCCAATTCCAAGTGGGACGAGGCGAGAGTGACTGTCGAGATGGCCTTGTCCAGGGCGAGGAGTGTTACTTCTGCGGCAGGCAGGAAGTTGTCTGATTCGACGTCCAACATGGCGACAGGCGTGAAGATGAAGAGTAAATCCTGCAAGGCGATGTGGTATGGCGCCGAGAAGGAGCAGGAGCAGGAGCACCAGGCCGATGGTCCCACGGCGTTGGTACCGCAACCTTCGGACGACGAGGAGGATCCTCTGGTATGTCGGCTCCCCCCCCCTTTTCTCTACCCCCCCCAACAGACCCGACCTGACTGACAACTCCCCAGAACTGGCCCCTCTGGAAAAAGGACCTCACCCTCTTCGCCCTGCTAACCGCCCTCGCAACAACCTCGGCAACAAAGACAATCCTCCTCCCGCTCGCCTCCCCGCTCGCCTCCCACCTCGCGGCATCCCCCACCTCCGTCGCCGCCCTCACAGCCGCCCCGCTCCTCTTCTCCACCGTCGCGGTGCACGCCAGCGTCGTCGCCTCAAGGCTCTACGGCAAGAGACCCGTCTACATCGCCTCCCTCGTCCTCCTCCTCTGCGGCTGCGCAGCCACCGCCTCCACCTCGACGCGCGCCACCTACGGCGGCTTCCTCGCCGCCCGCATCGTCCAGGGCCTGGGCTGGGGCGCCTTCGACGCGCTGCCGCTGGGTTCCGTGTACGACCTGTACTTCGAGCACGAGCGCCGCCCCCGCCTCGCCCTCCTGGACGCGGTGACCGCCATCGCCACCTGGGGGTCCCCGCTCTTCACGGGCGTCGCGGCACGGGACGCGGGAGGGGAGGGAAACCGCGCTTTCGCCGTGCCGTTCCAGATAGCGACTGGATTCCTCGCTGTTTCGATCCTCCTCGCCCTCTTTGCGGCCCCGGAAACTGCTTTTGATCGCTGGTTCAGCGGAACGGGTACCGGTACTACCACCGCCAGCAAGTCGCCTGCGCCGTCGCGGCGCCGGTCATCCGTCGGCACAACGTCCACCAGGACAACCACGACCATGACGACGAGGCGGATCGAATTCGGCCACTACTGCCGCGTCAACGTCCGCGTCCCGACCTCCGAGACAACGAGGTACTACCTAGACCGCATCAACCCGGTCTCCGATTTCCGCGGGTACCGCGACACCCGGACCCTGCTCCAAGGGCCTCGCGCCGTCATCACGCCCACGACCCTCCTTCTCGCCCTCCTCACCCTCCTCCCCACCTCGGCCCTCTGGGGCTTGACCCACGTCACCTCCACCCTCTTCGCCCCTCGACGGGCCGCGGCTCTCGATCCCGCTCAGGTCGGGTCTCTCCTGGCCGCCCCTTTCGTGCTCGCCACCGCCTCGGTGCTTTCGTTCGCCGCCCTGTCGGACCGTCTGGGACTGTCGCCTACCGCCGTCTCCACCTCCACCATGACGGCCCGGAGCCTCTTGGCCGTCACCTCGGCAGGTACACTGCTGATGATGACAGGAACCCTAGCCTTCGGTCTAGAAACCCACGCCCGCGCGGGGGTGCCCGGTGCGCTCTCGTTCCCCCTCCTCTCCGTCCTGCTCGGCTTCCTCGCGGCGGGGACGTACGGTCTCGGCGGTCTGGTGCGGCCGCTTTCCTGGCGGTTGGCGCGGAGCAAGACGGCCAACCCGCACGTCTGTCTCCGGGTCGTGGCCGACATGGAGGCCGGCGTGGGATGCTGGCGGGCTTTCTTCGCCGGCATCTTCGTCCTGGGAATTGCCAACGCCGTGGAGCGGTCTTCTTCGGGGGTGGGTCGTTCGGCTGGGGAGGCTGCTGGGGTGCTCGTTCAGGGGACGCGGGGACTACGGGCTATGGTGATCGGCATGTCCGTTGCGCAGGCAGTCATCGCGGCGATGGTAGGTGCCGTGTGGTGGCGCTGGGATGAGAGTGTGCTCCGGCTGGACGGACGGGTGCTGGGGCTGGTAGATTTGAGCACCTTGAAGAGGTCGAGGAGCTTCTTCGACCATTAGTGTTATCCCATCTCTCTTCTGTGCATTTGTCTTGAGAAAGGAAGGATGGTGATGTCGAATCGAAGAACTTGCTAGACAGTTTAGGTAAGGTAGAGTGCCTAATTAGGTACCTATGTACTCCGTATAGGTCACGTGCATCTCTGCGCACTAGCCACAGATGACTCAGCCTCCCGATTATAAGCCACAATATCCGACATTCCCCAAACCATCGCTATCGCCATCGCCATCGCCATCGCCATCGCATCGTTCGTCTACAGTAGTATTCGTATTTCTACAGCGGATGGTCTGGACAAAATCACGCTCCCAACTATACCACGCTAAATCAATGCGTCCATCACAACTCCCCCACTTCATCCCTCCCTTGAACGCTTCCCGTTGCCAGCGTCTTGTTGCCCTCCCAACTCCTCCTCCCCAGCCGGCCCGCTCACCCTCACACCAGCCAACGAATCCAACTCGTCTGCTATGCCCTGTCCTTCTTCCTCCGCCATCCTCTCCCCCTCCCCTTCCTTCCCCCCTACCTCCACACTCTTAACACTACTCGCCTTGCTAACATCAGCGCTGGCCGGGTTCGCCACCCGTAAGCCCAAGTCTCTCTCCGGCTGGGACGGTTCAGCCCGGTGATCCCCGCCCGTCCAATCCGCCGGCTCCATCTGCGGCACTTCGCTGCCCTCCGCCGGCTCGTACACCAACTCCCCACCCGCCTCCGTCTCCTCGACCTTGGCGCCCGCCGTCTCCGCCGCCGCCCCGGGCACCCGCCACACGACCGCCATCCGATCCAGCGCCCGAGCCCCCTTACGGCTCGACCCCTTGATGCCGTCCATGCTGTCCCAGTCGATCGCGAACACGCCGCTCGCGTCCGCCTTGCCCCCTTGCTCGGGCCCGTTGCCTTCGAAGAAGCCGTTGAACCAGACGTGCGCGACCGCCGTCACCATCGTGAGGCCTAGCGAGGTGGATGTGCGGTTGCGCCGCTCCACGGCTATGTTGACGTCGCTGTTCGGTATGCGCACCGGTGTCTCGGGGCGTAGGATGACTGCCTTGCCGCCCGGTTCTTCTTGCTCTTGCTGTTGCTGTTGCTGCTGCCGCTGCTGCTGCTGCGTCTCGCCCTCTGCTTCGCTGACGTCAGAATATGCTGCTGCGCGTCGCAATGATGACTTTTCGGAATATGGTCCACGCGAGGAGACGAGCGTTTCGTCAACTGTAGCGGCCGCCTTGTGCGTGAGGGCCGAAATATCGTTCGAGGTTTGTAGGAGGAACATCGCTGCCCGGGAGGAGAGGCCTTTGGCGGGGTCCATGTGCGGCTGGGTATCAGAGGTAGTCGTTCTTGTCGTTCTTGTCGTCGCGTTTGTCTCCGAAGCATCAAATGGTTTCGAACTAGCATCATCCCTCCCTTCGTCCTTCTTTTCTTTCCCTTCCTCCCCCTCCTCCCCCTCCTCAGGAATTGTCTCCCCCGGCTTCTTCGCATCACCCGCCACGTTATCGACAGCCTGCGACACCGAAACCCCGGCCAAATCACGCATCATCTCCCCCATACCACCCGAGTCAGGCGGATTCCCCTCCACAATATGGCGCTCGTTCCTCGTAAAGGTATGAAACACTTTAATCCTGCGCCCCCCGTCGGCGAACCCCTGGACATCAATCTTCACCCCGTCCCGCAGACCCCACACGTGCACCTCAACAATCTCGACCGGCCGCTCCACGTAGCGCTTCCCGTGGCGCGTCCAGCGGTCAACGTAGCCTATGGTGCGCAGCTGGCTGGGGATCGACACGCCGGGACCGAACTTGGGCCGCATGCGCCGCTCCGTGAACCGCGTCAGGGCCTCGTCCGGTTTCCAGCCGCATTCCGAGATGAGGTAGCTGCAGGCAACCGTGCCGCTGCGGCCCTTGCCGGCTTTGCAGTGCACCACGGCGACGCGCTGCTTCTTCTTCTCCTTCTCCATCTCCATCTCCTTCTTCTTTTTCTCCTCCTCTTCCCGCTCCTGCTCATCGTCGCCGGACCATGTTGTAGCATTGGCGGCAGCAGTGGCCTTCTCAGGCGAATCTATGCTGTGATGTAGTTCGCCGCCGTGAAGCCAGTTGCGCATGCTGGCCATGATCATAGGGACGAGCCGGAAAGGCGGCGGGTGGTGGTCCGGCCAAGGGTAGTGTCTGATGCGGCCGTAAACGGCTTCATCGGGGTACCCCGTGCCCTCGGCTCGAAACTCCCATATAGCCCAGTCTTCTCCATGTCGCTCGTCTAGAAACTGGAGCGTCTTGTCTAGGGGATTTCGGTAGGCCCGTTTCGGCCAGGTTGCTGAGGGACCGGAGCTTTAAAGAAGATGGGGGGAAACACGAGGCTGTCAGTACCCGGATGATGAAGCACGAGGGCCCCATCCAAGCGGAAAGCGCGGGGAGGCTTTACATTACGATGATATTTGACGTTACATAGCACAGATCGAGGTTTGCTTCGGGATGCGGCGCACGAGGTCCGGCCACAAGCTGACGAAGGAGCGAAGCCATGCTGTCTGAAGGACAGACAGAGACGTAGCTGTGAATCCGGATGAAATCTTCCGAAGCGAGAGAATGTGAGAGGGTGAGAGGGTGTGGCCAGGTAAGACAATGAGAACCCGATGATGGATGCGGAAAAGAAGTCCATACAGGACCGTCCTCGATGATCATATGGCAACGCTTGAAAGAAGGGGAATAAGAGAGGTACCGAGTACAACAGACTTCTGACGTCACCTGGGTACCTAAGGTAGGTACAGGTGCATATGCGTATTAGTCAGTTGATGGACCCCTAATCGTACCGACTCACCGAATCGTTGACCGAGAACTTCGCCGGACAGCCACTTACACCATGGCGTTCACCAACAAAAGCCTCCTTCCTCACATTCACGCCAATTACTCTTATAAGAAAATCAAAGCCTATTACCTCCAGTCTAAAAGGGCTCCCTGGTATAGTGGTTAAAGCTCAGCTATTTAGTGGCATATACTCGCATCTAAACTTTGGAATTGTTTGTTGGTTCGAATCTATCGCCATGTGTTGCCATTTTGCCAGTCCAACCTTTTTTTCTTCTTTTTTTCTTCTTTTCTTCTTTTTTCTTTCTTACACTTCATTATTTTTCTTCTCCCTTTCCTCTTGTCAACCCCCAGCCCCGCCCCCAGCAGCAAATGGACTCCTCTTCCTCAAAGCCTCGCCATACCACCACAGCAGTGCCGGCCCAGGCCACCCGATGACAACGCCCACCAAAGCAAGCACCGTGTTCCCCCACCCGTACCCAAGCCGGTCGTACATAGACGGCGCGAAGAGCGGGAACCCGAACCCGGCCAAGCTGCGCAGCACCGTCGCCGCCCCGACCGCGCTGGCCGCGTACCGCGGGTACGCGTCCACCAGAAACCCCTGCACGCACTGGAACCCCACCACCAACCCCGCCGCGAACACCCCGGCCCCGACATCCGGCCCGGCCCAGTGCGTCCGCGCCTGCGCCGTCCACCCGTACACCAGCAGGCCCACCGGTACCAGCACCGCCCCCGGCGCCATGGTCGGCGCCCGGAACTCCGGCCGTCCCACCCCGCCGTGCCGTCGTTTGAGAGCCGCGTAGACCCGATCCTGCGCTGGGGCCGTCAGCTGTGCGCCCAGGAAGAGGCCCACGCCCAAGGCGATGTAGTGGAGCCCTGCCAGCCCGACAGGTTGGCCGTAGACGCCGGTCCAGAGCGCCGGGAAATTCGAGAGGACGAGGTACATGAGGCCGTACAGGTACATCATATAGAGCGAGAGAAGCTGGACAATCGGTTGGGTGGCCAGGAGCCGGAAAGGCCGCGTCAGGGCTGTTGCTACCACCATCACCGTGCGGACCTCCTCCGGGCCGTCGAATTCAGTGCGCAGCGCTGCATTGCCTGTCTCGCGGACCAGCCGATCCCTACGACGGGCGAGCAGCACGGGGGCGTACGTCTCCTGCAGGACGAAGTACCCCGCAACTTGGATCGCGGCGCCGAGCATGGTCGTGCTGTGGAAGATCCAGCGCCACGTCGTTTCCTGCGCGATGAATCCTCCCGCGATCGGACCTACAGCCGGTCCGAGTAATGGCGTGAGCGTGTAGATGCTCATGGCGCGGCCGCGCTCCTCCGGCGTGAATAGGTCGCCCAGAACCCCGCCTCCGATGGCCAAGGGTGCGGAGCCCCCCATGCCGGCCAGAAAGCGGAAAGCTATCATCTGGGCTTTTGTGCGGCAGAGCCCGCAACCCAGGTTGAAGGCGACGAAGATCACATTGGCGAGCTGTAGTATGATGATGCGGCCATACACTTCCGAGAGGGGCCCAAAAAGTAGTGGCCCGACGGCATAGGCCAGCACGAAAATGGACATGGTCAACGCTTGTTCAAGAGAGCCGGGAATGTTCAGATCTCGGCCGATATCCGTAAGCGCCGGGGCTACCATGGACGAGGTCACGGGGGAGAGGAACGTAAAACATGACACTGCACCAAACAAGGTCAGTTTGAGGTTGACAAAACAGGTACATCGTTCAGAAATCACAGATTCGGGGGAAGTGATGCCGAAAAAGAAGGGGGAAAAAAAAAAAATTCAAACGTACCACAGAAGACGACTGCCCACTTCCTTCGTCTAGACCACTGCTTTGGGTTCTCCGAGTCGAAGGGCTCCTTCCACGCAACGAGATTAGGATCCTGAGACGTCTCATCACCTTCAGCCTTCGCCTTCTCGTCGTCATCGTGCCTGCTACCGCCGAGCTCGAGATCGTGGAGAACCTCAATGCCGTCTCGGACTTCAGAGTCCGATTGAGAGGGGGATTCCCGAGTCACGCTCCCATCGTCTTGCTCATGATGACGAATAGCCTGCATTGCCTTCCAAGGCAGAGTTGGATCCCTCTCTTCGGACCATGGGATGGGGAGCTCTTCGTAATATTCTCGGGTGTCAATGACAGAGACTCGAACTACAGGGTAGCGTATGGGATTCGATGGGGGACGTAGAAGCCGATACAGCAGCTGTTCGAGCGGATATATGGCACATGGAGGAGCGAGAAAAGGAAAAGAAGAACAGACGCATGCCGGCCTCTATGTCCGAAGGAGGGCCGAGACTGACCATTGGAAAATGCACGTTCGGTAATATATTCAGGTTCCCTTGTCCGGGGCTTCCCCTGAATCCACAGCTTCAGTGTGTCAACCCGAAAGGTGGGAAAGTTGATCCATGGCTATGGAAGGCTTCCCTGGTTCCTATCCAATGACATCGCTCAATGGACGCCGAAAAGTGGCGACCCGACCGATCGCTTAGCCGATGCCGGGGACCGCTAGACACCGAACTTCCGGGCAGCGGTGGATAAGAGCCGTGACAGAATGAAATCGACTAAGCTGCCAAGACCAGAACCAACGGGACTGAACTTTGATGGTATTAAAACGAGAAGAGCAGTCGGAGTTCGAGTTCGGTCGACAGACAACTGCCCCGGCAACTTCGCATCCCTTTTATAGATCATTGGCGGGGCGGTGGTGTAGGTAGAGAAAACGTCAGTTCCATTGGTCGCTTTTTGCGCGAACCCTTTGGTAACTTTTCTTTCTTTCTTTCTTCTTTTTTTTTTCTTTTGCGATTCTCGCGCGATGTGAAATACCGGACTGAACGCCGGGAGTAAAGCCCTCCTAACGCCCAGGACCGCAGAAAAAAAGAAGCAAGGGGCAACGAGAAGTAGAACGGATTCGATAGCCCATAGCCGCGCAGAACGTCCACCACATGACATCCACGTTAACACTACACATGCCGCCCGCGATCCGCATCGTCGCCCGTATCTACCCATCCCAGTCCCGTGCACAGGCTGTTGACCCGATTGATTTTGATTTTATATGTCCTCGCCGTCGTACACGGTGAATCGTCACGGTATCGGTACATACGCAGCATCTGCCTATGCAGCATCGGCCTTGGTATCGACCTTCTTCGCTTGTGGCTCGCCAATGTGGCCCTCATCCGAGCGCGGTCGCTTGTTGTTTGCGGTGGCGGGCTCGCCGCCGGCAGTCGTCGCTTGGATCATGGGTTGCGCACTGCGAGAAGAAGAAAAGAAAATGTCAGGTCAGCATAAAAGAACACCAAACACAGCAGCACAGTTGAGGGAGGGGGCGTGTCGAATCATACCCATTCCGATCGTCCTGGGCCTCCTTCTGGCCATTCTTCCTCCCTTCGTCGCGATCCCGGCCGCCGCGACCATGACCTCCTCGGCCCCGACCCCGACCGCGGCCCCGACCTCGGCCACGACCGTTTCGGAAACCGTTCTTCTGGTCGTCGTCCCGACGCTTTTTCCAGTCGTCTTTGTCAACATGACCGCCCTTGCCGCCGCGGCCGCGTGGGTGTTTGTTGCCCTTCCCTCCTTGGCCCTCCCAGAAGCGCCTGTAGCTGCTCTGGGGTTCGATCTCGCCCTTGTCGATGAGCTCCTTCTTCTCCCTGACGTAGGCCTCCTTGGACATGATCTTGAGGTCGTGGCCCTTCCACTTGGGCTTGGGGTCGAGCTCCAAAAACTTCTTGGCGCCTTCCTCGTCGTGGAACTCGACAAAGACGGAGCCCTTAAAGAGCTTCTCCTCGGTCCGGCGGAGGCGAACCGAATTGATGTGGCCGAACTGGGAGAAGAAGGCCTCGAGATCGAACTGGGTGGTGGGCTCCTCGTCGCCGAAGCCCTTGACGTAAACACTGCGCTTCATGTGCTTTGATTTGTCGGTGCTGAGGACGTAGGGGACCTTGCGCGTGATGACTTCCTCGCCCGGCTCGCCGGTGATTTTGAGCTCGGAGCTTTCCTTGAGGGCGGCGACAAGTTTCTCGTAGTCGGGGAAGCGCTGCATGCGCGAAAATGCAGCGATGTGCTTGAGCGGGACAGGCTTGTTCTCGGGCCCGCCGGTCAAGTTCCACATGTGCTCATCCATGGGCAGGTTGGCATCGTTGAAGTAAAACTCAACCTGTACGAAGAAGCCATGTACGTCAGCCGTTGGCCATCGGCCGTGAGAGGAGATAGGAGGGGGAGGGGACGGGAGGAAAGAAAAAAATGGACAAGGCATATCAAAACGTACCTGTCTGCGCATGGCGTCCGGGTCTTCAGAGGGTGGAAGCTTGGAAGCATCAAACTTGCTGTTGTTCGCGGGGTTACGACGATCGACTGAGGCGGTCGTCTTTAGGACACTGGCCGGCTTTGAGTCCTCGGTGGACTTGGCAGACTCAGTCGCCTCGGTAGATTTGGAGGGTTTAGAATCTTCTTTCTCATCGCTGGGCTCGGCTTTGGCGGGCTGCTCAGTGGGAGCCTCGGCCTCGGTCTGATCCTCGTTTTTCTCAGGCTCGACGACGTCGCCAGCATTGACGGGCTTCTCTTCGGCCTTGACAGGCTCCTCGGCAGGGCCAGTCATCGTTCCGATAAATTGATCAGATTTTGGGCGCTGATCAAGAGAAGCTTCCGAGAGGAAGATCGCGACGCGATATTGATGGGGATTTGGGTAAAGGCTGACAGATTATGGGTCAATGCGCGATGTGAGATGGTAATTCGCTCAACAGACCAAAAAATATAGTTGTGTATTTTGGGAGAGAAGGAGAATGGATGATGAAGAGAAAGAGATGAAAGGTAAGCGAAGAAAAGCAGACGAGCAGGAAGAGGAAGAGGAAGAGGAAGAGGGAAAGAACAGTGGTGGGGTAAATTTTGGCAGAGGGAGAAACGAAGAACCAGTGAAAGTCCAGTGACCTCTCCAATCCCTTCAGCTCTCACCTCGGAGAGTCGCAACAGGCCCCAAAAAATCGACGATTCGGAAACTATCAACTTACACAACGCCGCCGACTATAAACAATGTATATAAAACTCTCGAGTATGAAGACCTTTTTTCTTTTCTTTAGTTTTGTTAGAGAGCTTAAGGTAAGTAAGGTACTGATTGGGTATGTTGTATCTGTACTTTGTTTTGATACATCTGGGTGTCGTTGATTTTTTTTCTTCCTCTTTTTTCCCCTGCGCCTCTTCCCTATAAACCTCTCGCGTGCCCTTCAGGGAAAGCGCAGGGGAAGGCGGAACTAAAATCAAACAATCCACATTGCCCACTTGCCGTCCGTCTGTCTACTCCCACTACTTTCCTACGTGCATGCATGAGGTAGCAACTTCAAAACGCAGTAGCAGTTGCACCTGACTTGAGCCATTCCTACTCAATAATTGGTCATAGTTGGGGAGCATGACATGAGTCTTGTCCAGTGCGAAGCTTCGAATTCTGCCGCTCCACAACCCCAACTCTTCTGACCGCCCAAAATATTTCTCCTCTCGCCCCACAAGGGTGTAGTGGGGACCAAAGCAGAAACTTCATCAGAACGGTCGAAGAGGTTGTGCTGGGGAGGTGGTCCGAGCTTGGAACCAAACGCGCACGTGATCTCAATTCGGAGACGCGGCAACACCAAATTTTTGGACGTTCCCCAAGTTCCCTTGCCGTCTCTGGCGTGTCGGTATCGCACGCTTCCAGGTGTCCCTCTGGGTGTTGTCGAGTTCCAAACACAGCATCCTTCTGGTCCAGCATTCCCCCGTCGCCGGACCAGACCAGTTACTATCCCTTTTTTTTTTCAAGATGAGGTCACGTAGACCCAGGTTTTACAACCTGAAGCGGCCTGTATGTCCATCGGCTAAATCCCCCCCCATCATCCCCCATTCCCATCCTGTCGTCGACTCTCCTCCTATTCCGTCCAAGTCGTCTTGTGTTGTCATGTCGACCACCGCACAACTACACAACACAAGGATCACTGTCCCAAAAACAAATCCAAAACAAAAGTCGGTCTTGTAAACTGACAATCTCCTCCAGAAAGTCCGCCAGTCCTGGAACAAGTTCAACCTCTATAACCTCGCCCGCCTCACAGTCGGTCCTACTATTCGCTATAATCGTACCTTTTTCCAGCAGAAATGGATAGCCAAATCCATCGCCCGGGGCTACCACGGCCCTCACGTCCGCGAGAGGGATTGGGAGCGCATGTTCTCCCGCCGTCTCCTATCCGCCGTCGAACTTCCCCCTGCCTACCTCGCCTCACATGACGGCTCCGAACAGGCCGCCGGTCGTGGTTCCGGTCGCGAGCACGATCCCAACGATCCCGACCCGCCCATATCTGCAACCAACTTCTCCCCGACCGAGATCAAGCGTCGCAGCCGCCTCGAGCCGGAGAAGAAATTCGCGTTCCCCAACACATTTGCTCACCCCGACGCCTACTATTTCAACGTGAAGCATCGGACCCCGTCCTTCTTCGGCGACCCCGTCCGTGACATGACCCCTTATATGCAAATGACTTTTGCTCCTCTTGAGAGGCGTCTCGATGTCGCCATATTCCGTGCTTTGTTTGCCAGCAGCACTTTGCAGGCCAGGCAGTTCTGCGTTCACGGCGCCGTCAAGGTCAACGGGAAGACGGTAAGACGTAACGAGCATATGCCTCTTCCATGCTTCGTCTACCTTTTTTTTTTCGTTGTATATGACCACCCGCTGAGACGATCACTTTCATAGATGCGACACCCAGCGTACCTACTTAACCCAGGCGATATGTTCCAAGTCGACCCCGAGCGTGTCCTGTACGCCACCGGCGAACCTAAGAATCCCAAAGAAGCTGCCCGGATCGAGAGCATGCTCAAGCAACAAGAAGAGCGAGAGGCAGCACGAGAGGCCAGTGCCGCCGCCCTCCACGCCGCCAAAAAGCAACAACTCGCCGAAAAGCTGAAGAACGCCGACCAACAGGGCGGCGGCGACGGTCCTCAGGCCGAGGCCGCCTCCGCAGACACCCCCCTTGAGGCCGAGACCCAGGCTGTCGAGGAAGGGGCCGCCGCAGAGACCAAGGCGACCACCGGCCTCGACAAGGACGGCGAGCCGCTCACCGCGGAGGAACTGGCCGCAGAGCATCGCAGCCAGCTCAAGGCTCTCATCCGGGACGCCAAGCGTCTGCTCAGCGAGAAGGACAAAATGGGCGCCAAGCAGAAGCAGCGCGTCCGGCTCTTCATGTCCGAGGCCAAGCGCGCCCTCAGCCGCCTCGGCAAAAAGGACGTCGCCGACTCGCTCGAGGATCTCAACGCGGAAACCACCGCCGCCGCCGCCCGCGACGGCCTCATGAACCACCTCGCTGCCATCCTCAAGGGTCTCCACCTTGACCAGCAACCCACGCAGACCTCCGCGGAAGCCGAGAAGGAGGGGGAGGACGCCGCGGCCGCCCCTCGCACGTTCGAAGAGGAGGTCGAGGCCCTTTCGCCCGGGGAACAGGCCGCCCTCGCCCGGCTGCTGAAGGAAGACGCCGAGAACCCCGTCGACGAGTCCAAGCCCTATCTGACCCCCTGGCGGCCGCGCAAGTACCTCGCCCCCTTCGCTTTCGTCCCCCGCTACCTGGAGGTCAACCAGAACATCTGCGCCGCCGTCTACCTCCGTCACCCTGTCGCCCGCCGCGGTTCCGCCGAGGTGCCCACGCCGTTGCCTTACGAGACGAGTCAGCTCGCTTTCAACTGGTACCTCCGGAGGAGGTAAACGCGCTGCTACGATTGTGTGGGCGGGGGGGTATATAGGTTGTTGGATGAGAGAAATAGGTGTCATGAACTGTACAACACAGAAACCCAAACGAAACCACGGGCAAGATAACATGTACCATCTACTACCAAGTTGGATGCAGAAGACGGAGGGAGGTAAGGGGCTATTTGGGTCATCTTAGATGAATGTATCAATATTTCTGTTTTGACTGTCACCACACGACGTTCTCACATTGCGAATTTGTGCGTCTTTGACTCCTTGAGGGCAACGGACCTTAGTCTCTTCCAAGTGAGAACCATATCGGTATCGCCCTCATAGACCTCGCCATAGAGGATCCGGAATAACTCTTTAATGCACAACCCCTCCATCTCCCGATGCAGACGTGGTTTCCGAGAGACACAAGGGAAGCAAGCGTGCTACGCAGACGGACTTGTTGATAGCTGGCACAGATACAGGGAAACGATTTACAATTGACACAGGAAGCAAACTGAGACTAGCGAGAGAGTGGCGGAAGGGGAATACCGCAAGGAAAACCAACGTGCTAAGAAAACAAAAGGAGTCGGAAGACGCCCCAAAAAGAACCGTAGAACCGACGGAACCGACCATCAGTCAACAATGTCATCGTCCACGCCTTCGCCTCTTCCTGTCCTATCCTGTTTTTTTTTTTCGTTTTTCCCAAACCTGAATTACTCTTGCTACCTCAAGTAGGTACATTACACGCATCCATCGCTTTATTACTCGACCTTCCCACGTCATATGAAAGAAGGTTTGAAGGAGCCAAGACAGGGGCGGATGGGCAGGATACAAACAAGGTATCAAGCATGATGTCGTTGATTAAGTATAGGAAAGACGCCGTGGCCTCAGTGGTGGACCGCCCTGCGGGACGATCATCGCAACGCTGTGTTCTTTCCGATCCTCGCTTCTCGCCACGGCTTTCATGCCCCTTTTGTTCCTCCAGGTCAAGAGGTTGCAGGGGCGAAAAAAGGCCGAGCCCGACCTTAACATCGTTTTTGGTTTCTCAAACTCCATGAGCCGTCCGAGATTAGCTTCCCAGAAGCTCAAATCTCGCTTGGTAGTTTTGATTCAACGTAGGCTGCCGAGTGGAGAGAGGATATGATTAGAGGCGAAGGGTCCAGAAGCTGGTGAAAATGAAAAAGATAATAATAATAAAAACAAAGAAACGCGTTGAGCTGTAAGTGTATGGGCATCATGGGGTACTCAAACATGGTCGTAGAAAAAGAAAGGCAAATCGGGCTAGGAGCCATCGGCCGTCGCCAAAGAGGTGCCGATAATCCCTCAACGGAGTGAGAAGCCTCCCCGCTTCTTGCCCTCCTTGCCATCCATGGGCCGACCGCTTTCGATGCGCTGCTTCTTCTCCTCGAGGTCCATCCGTTGGCGTTCTAGCTGCTCCTTCATCTCGCGATGGCGGGCGTATAGCTCTTCTTCGCTCTGCTTGAGCTTGCTCTCCTTCTCGGTCACCTTCTGCTGGAACACCATCTTCATCTCGGCCTCCATCTTGGCAAGCTTCTGCTCGTGGAGGGCACGCTCCTCCTCCTGCTTGACGGCAGGGTTGACCTCCTTGAAGACGCTGGGGTCCTGAGACACGCCCATGGCGATCAGCTTGTCGGTACGGTAGTTCTCGTACAGGATGTTGTTGGTGTGCTCCTTGAGCTCCTCCATGTGGGTGCGGATAAGCATCTGGCGCAGCTTGACAAAGTCGCAGTGTTCCTCATTGTCGACCTCGATGATGCCCCAGGGGTAGGCACGACCGCGGACCTTGCGGCCATCGGGCGTGGTGACCTCGTTACCAGCACCGACAACAGCGAAGGGGACCTTAGACATGATCTCGTTGTTCTCGGCAATGGTCTCTTCGTCGTCCAGCTCGTACCGCGGACCCTCAAAGATCTGAATACCATGGTACTTGATGTCGGCCAAAATCTGCGGGGGAAGGATATCAGTTACTAAATGGTAGGTCACAAAACGCGAATCACCATCAATGACATACCCGAGCCTTGAAGCTGCTAATCTCCTCGTCGGTAAGGGTATCAGCCTTGGCAATGACGGGGATCAGGTTGACCTTGGTGTGAAGGCGACGCATAACCTCGATGTCCAGAGGCTTGAGGGAGTGGCCAGTAGGCTGAATGAAAAACACGCAGGCGTGGATACGATTGTCGACAATGTTCATCCGGTTGACCTTGTTCTCGGCGTCGAGATAGGCATCGTAGCGCTGTTCAATGTTGTCGACGATAGGGCGCCACGACTCGTCGTTGTTAACAAAATCACCGAAGCCGGGAGTGTCGACGACGGTCAGACGCAGGCGGACACCAGCCTCCTCGATATCAGCGCTGATAGACTGAATAGAGACGGTCTTCGGAACAATGTCGAGGCTAGGGCCCTTGCGCTCCTTAGGGGGGTACAGCGAAGTGTTGAAGAGCGTATTGACGAGGGTCGACTTGCCAAGGCCGGATTCACCTAGAATCCGGGTCAGATACAGGCAACCATAGCAATATGTTGCGGGATGTAGCAAACTCACCGACGACCATGACATTGAAGTTGAAGCCCTTGCGGACGCTCTTGCGGTGCCACTGGTTGGGAAGGTTGGCAAAACCAACGTACCCGGTTAGTTTGCGGCGGACAATGTTCCGCAGGTCAGTAGACGACGCAGCTATCAATTGAGGTCAGCACAGTTCAACCGGCTCGGTCGTTGAGGAGCGGATAGACAACGCACTCGGCGGGGTAGGGGCCACGGCGAGCGCCTGAGGCGGGGGGGAGCCAGCGGGAGAAGCGTCGGCGGAATCTAAGCACGGGACCAGTTAGCGGCCGCCAGCATGGGTAAGTAAAACGTCTCATGATATGACAGTGGCTTGGGAAGGCAAGAGGAGCTTGCGCCGACGATTGTCAAAATGGTTAGCACGGGGTCCGTCCGGGAGAATCCACGATAATGGTCGGAATACGGGCCACATTCTCCGGCGTGGCAGGTGAGGCAGATCCAGATGAAGTCGCATAGGATAGGGCATCCACTGTATTACGGAAGAACTCTTCGGCCGTTGGTTGTTGAGGTCCATTAAGGTACGATGCCTTCATGGGCTCAGCATGCTTTTGGAGTGTACTAGGGCATGAACTGCGAGAGGATAGGCTCCGACATCCTTCCGGTGCGGCAGACTGCTGGACCTTGGGGAGAAATACATCGAAATGGCATCCTGTTGAGTGGTCGAGGCATCGCTGTCGTTGTTTTGATCGAGGTAAAAGCTCTGACATTCGCTTGACGTATCCAGCCATGACCAAGAACCTCTGCAGATGCAGCACGACAGCCACGCGTTCGGGAACTGAATTGACGCGTTTTCTTCTCTCCGGAAAGCTTCTCGTGTATGCGAATAACGCGTGCGTCGTTCCTTGTCTGTCAAATGCCGTGATATACTCAGAGAAGATGCCAGAGCATTGGCTAGAGACCCAGAGGGATTGTAGTACGCGTCACGGATGAATGGCAGCCAGCGCAGAATCCTCTTGCCTTCCCTGTGCTCACTGTGTTGCATGAGGTTTGACGGGATATGATATCGTAGCTTACCCATTTTCCAAAAGGACGAAGGATCGGAGGTCGGATGAGAAATGGCAGTGTCTAGGAAGAGTGACGGTGACGGTTAGCAAGTACGATGGACCAGAGTCAGAGAAGGGTAAGCCAACTTGAATAAGGGGGGGAATTGAAGCCAGTGGGAAGAGCAGAATAGGGAAAGGGAAAGGGGCAATCGAATCCGCTGAGATGGCAGAAGGCACGAATACGGCCAAGGCCAAGGCACCACGACGAGGAGGTCTCGACGCAACGTGCCTTCTTTGACCTAGGGCCTTGCCGTGGGCATTGACATAGCCCCGATGAGAAACATTGATGAAAACATACCGAAGAAGAGATGACGACTAGTCGCGTATTGAGAGATGTCGCAACGATGGACAAACCCAGGGGGTTAGCAAGTAAGATTATCTGCCTGAGGGTGCAGTGTAAGTGAGCCGACGAGAAAAAGAAAAGAATAAAAATCAGTAGACGAGCGAGCGTTCTGAAGTCCCAAGGCTGGGAAGTTAGAATTAAGAGACGTCAAGTAGAGACGACGAAGGTGATGAATTGGAACGGGAGAAGGGTGACGGGTGACGGGTTGGGTCGATAGAATAGGCACGAAAAATAATTTAGTTAGGATCTAGGAGAGAGATGGGTCGCCTTAGCCAGCAACCTAATAAGTGGACACCTGGAAAAGATTCAATAAGATTGGTGCTGAACTGTGCGGTGCGACTCTGTTTCAGGGACGGGGGGGGACTTCCTGCCAGCTTCCCCTTGCCAACTGTCCGTCTTATTAAGCAGTCCCTTTCTCGCTCTGTCCTTTTTGCTCCTTTCCATTTTGTTTTCCTTTTTTTTCTCTTGTCTTTTTTTCGTTCTTTTTCTTTTTTCCCCACATCTATCTCCCAAGTCCCGCGCCTCGTAAATGGTAAAAAGGGGTACTTTAAAGGACTAATCCTAATGAGGACTAGCACTCATTTGCTTGACCCAGGACAGGGGAAACACTGGGATGATGGCCGGGTCGTGCTCCCCAGAGAACGCTTTTGATTGGTCAGGTTTCTCGCATGTCCAAATGAGACCAATTGCTCGGCTGTGAAGACTGGGGAGCAAGCAAGCTCGTGTACACTACGGATAGGTATCCGTACACACGACTGGTTGATGTCTCCCTACTTCGCACTTTGACAGACAAAGCATCAAGGTCAGTGACATCCGTTTGACTCCGCTACTCTGTACGGATACGGAATACGGAGTGTGAGGTTGTACACACACACACACACACACACACACACACACACACACACACACACAAAACACCGTACCTTATGCCGGGTGTTGGGACGAGGTTGCTCGGTACATCGTAATTGTGATGCGCCAGCTTGCATCACAACGCACGAGACTTGTCTACAGGAACCCCTGAAAGCCGGGAAAACACCACATGTCTCCCCGATTCTGTAGGTCTGGCAAGCAAAGCCCTAACTGACGCTGAAGAAGTCAATGGCGAAAACAGCAGGAATAGGCAAGAATGCCAAATCACTGCGGATAGTATGTAAGCCCAGCTCACTTGTCAACATCGTCTTCATCACGGGCTTGAAAAAAGAAATTGAAAAAAGGGGGGGCGGACCCCGTCATGATGGGCGACCCGTGGACGGGCTCTCAACCCTGCCCATTCCTTCGGCATACAGCTCGGTGTGCCTCGGTGTGAACCGGTGGGAGACAAGACTCCAAGAGGAACAAACCAAAAAAACTCGAGTGAGTTGAACAACACTCGATCCTATTTGATCAATGCGAGAAGTATATAACAAAAAAAAACACTCTAAAGAAAGTATGTTCTCTCGCACTGAACCGGGAAATTGGATACAAAGGAAAATCTTCGTCCAACTGACACCGTCGTCTCTCGCAGCCTCTCTTATACCTTGTTCTTCGCCTGCTTCTTGTCATGTTTCTTGTTCCTAGGGAACGCCCTTTCCCGTTCCTCATTGACCCGAATGATCGCGTCTCGCGCCCCGGGCCAAGCACTCCGTTTGCCTGTCTCGAAAAGCCGGTACATATGTGGCGAATAGACACCCCAACCCATCATTCCGCACACCCGTCTCTCCCGTAACCAAAACCACCAGCCGCGCCAACCCCAGCTCATATGCTCATACATGCCCGTGCCGGCTGTCCGGTGCAGAAACTTCATCCATGGGTACATCCTGCCCTTGCCGAAATACGTGCCGGTTAAAACCCGCATCCGCCAGCCGAGCCATTGCTGGTAATCATCGACCTGGCGCTCCATGGCCTCCCGCGGTGGGAGCGGCGACCTGCCCGCCCACACCTGCGCCACCGCCATAGCCTGCAACTCGCGGAAAGGGGCCGCGCTTTCGGTGACGATGCCGTAATTCAGGCACGCCAGCGAGTCGCCGTAAGCCGGGGGGAAGATGTTCTGGAACAGGTCCGGAAAGGGGGGCAGATCGTCGCCGAGCTGCGTGAAGGTGAGGTCCGGCAACAGGGAGAAGTCGGGGCGGTACCCCGTGCACGCGATAACGGCATCTATCTCTTCCAAAACGGAACCGTCGTCCAACTCTAGGGACCGGGGACCTGTGAATCGCCGGATCCCACGGACCGATTGGATCTTGCCTTGCTGCACGAGAGGCACGAGATGGTCGCTGCATATGAGGTGGCCTCCGTCTCCTTCGATGCTCCGGTCAGAGACTGCACTTCTGGTTTCGCATTCCGCGTGGTCCGGCTTAGTGGACCCAGGGTCGGTTTCAACAGTTCCGCTGCCGCTGCCGCTGTCACTTCTGTCACTTTCGGCATCGCGACTTTGGATGGCGCGACGTTGTATCAGGCCGTCGACGATGAGCTGGAAAAGGCCTGGTACGTAGTGTTCTGCCCAAAAACCGAGCCGGAGCTTTTTCCAAGAGAAAAAGGTGTCCATGGGTCCATCTTCGTTACTCCGCGGGACGATTCTCGCGCCTCGCCTGTGGGACAGGTAGACGTTGGAAGCGTGACCGGTGAGCTCCTAAGGTAGTGATACAGCGGGTAAGAGCCCAAACAAGTCACAGGTATAGCCTTCTCGGTCACAGGGAGCAGCTGGTGGGAGACTTACAGACGCGGTATCGGCAGCAGAATTGCCCATTCCAAGTACGACGACATTCTCGTCCTTGAAGTCTACGGGACTGAACGACGATTAGACTCGAATTATTGGATGCGGCATGGAGTTTTCGTACCTCTTGTATGCTTGGCCATGCAAGAATTGGCCCTCGAACACATCGAGTCCTTCAATCACAGGCCTTATGGCTTTGGCCTCCGAGCCTGAAGCGAAGACTACTTTGTCAAACGGCTCGGGGTCTGTTTGGCCCTCGAGGTAAACGAGCCATTTCGCATTATCATGATCCCGAGTGATAACCTTCACGACCATGTCGAATCTAATATGGACGTATAATTTGAAGTGTCTCGCATACTGACGATAATATTCAGACCATTCCCTGGAGGATACATAAAGTGAAGTCTCTAGACAATGGTCAGTCGATGTCTCCCCTAACCAGATAGAAAGAATGCATGCCCTACCGTCCGGGAAAGGGAAATCAGACATGGGTGACTGGTATCTGCGGTATTAGCCATCCCACGTCCACAAACGTTCAGATGGGCGTTGTTTACAATATATTTGCTGAGCTGAGATCTCGTCCAGTCGGTGGCCGACGTAACTGTCGGGTCACCCGAGACGGTGAAGATGCCGCCAACATCAGACCGTCTCTCGTACACTGTCACGTCAAACCCCACCTCCCGGAGCTCCTTAAGCGAAGATAACCCTGCTGGGCCTGCTCGTCCATTAACTGCGTCAGTAACTCAAGCATGGTTCCAGAGGGGGAGGGGGAGGGGGAGGGGGAGGGGAGTGGTATCGCTATTACCTGCGCCGATGACAGCGACCTTAACGGTGGCGGGTTGAACGCCTTGAGGAAGCAAGGGGCGGCCCATTTCGGAAGCTTGCCAGTCAAATGCCCGCGGATTGAACGAGATGGGGACCCAGGAAGCAGAACGTGAAGACCTCCAGAACATTTCTCGCTGGTTCATGATGTAGAGACGAGAGACCAGAATCTAGGCGACTTGCTTCGAGTTATAAGGGATCAGTTCTATGAGCCGATTGGAGATCGGAGTGGCTGCGCTGCATGGTGATCTTCGAGCCACCCGTATCCGAGGGTAGCATCCAGTAGGGGTGATGGTTGGCAGCGTGCAACATCTAGATACGCAGGCAGGAGGACATTATGGGTAGAACAATGGCATCGGGATTTCAGAACAATATCAAGGCGGCACCCTAGCCAAAAGAAGAAAAAGGGGCCCAACTCCCTGGCTCCGGCTCCGAAACTACCCTTACATATGAAGGTAATCCTTGTATATGTGCTCCCACAATAAAGAGAATATAACCCCAAGCGATGCAGACTTCTCATGAATGGAGCCAGACCAGACTCCAGAGACGGCAACATTTACTGACTGGGTTGCCTCGAGTTGTGCCAGACTCAATGCAATCGAGTGAAGAATTAATGAAAACAGGCCTAATAATGACATTGGATCAATACAAGTCCATGATTATGAGGTAATGCTTCGTATTCATATTATCCATGGTCTTGACGCGTTGCTTGATTCTGACCGTGTGCTCAGGTTTTCGAGGTTGCCGATTCTGGTGATGAAGGTTAGACGGTCAACTGTGAATTCGGAAAGGGGGGTGGGAACCTAATGCAATTATACAATATTCACTAAAAAAATGAACCCTCTGAGATATGAGACTAACGAAAGAGACCGCAGCCATTGACCAATTAGAGCCATTTCACCATAGCGTCCGGAAGCGGGCGGTAGCAGTTAAGATGATACTTATGTCTTTGCATGAGTTCCGTGTACTATCAAGTACCTTATTAGCAATCCGCTTTTCCTATTTTGGACCGGGCTTCAATGATGTCACACCTGTTCCGAACAGCCCAGAGGTTTCCTTCCTGTGAGGGACTCGCGACTAAGGTAGAAACGGAAATGTCAACACACATTCCCCGTGAATCTCGACAACGTTCTCGCCCCTCAGTCAACTACCAGGGGAGCACAACACCGCGTACCGGGCGTCAAGACCTAATCAAAAATGAGAGCATGATTCAGACGTTCTGGGTTCTGCGTGGTGCTTCCTAGCTTCCTGAAACGAAAACACATTTTACGGATACAACAGCAGCTTCCTTCGTACCTTACGGTATATAGCTTGCTGGGAGCATCAACGTCACAGACAACAACCAGGCACCGGTACCATTCTACACCATTCTATCAACAAGCACTCCTACACAATCACTATCAACTACCGCCGGTGGCACGCCACACGGCTTGTCATGTTTCAACTCCTTGGTTCCTGTTCCTCTCGCATCCCGCCACCACAGACACCATGAGACACGTCCAGGCGCTCTCATCGTCCCACTTGCTGCGGCCATGGGCAACATGCTTATACCTTGATTCGATGGCTCGTCGGGTGCCGCACGGGCGTTGGAGGACGTCGCGAAGCCAGCGCCGTCATCTCTTCACCGGTGCTTCCCAGAAACCACGCTCCCCCGACCGTAAGTTCACCTCTTCCATCCCTGCGGCTATCGCCTTCGCAGGCCTTTTCACATGGTGGCTTTATCCCACCGAAGAATTTAACCGGCTGTCAGAAACAGCAAAACGGGTTGAAGACGGGAAGCCGGTTTGCGATGAGGACAAGGACGACGAACCCAGAGACAGAAATGGCACCTCTGCTGCGTGGTCTCATTTCGCGTCGGCTTTTGAAACCTTTTCCGACGCCGCCACCATCGAGTGGTCTGCCTTGTCCGACAAGATCGTCGACTCGATCCTTCCCGAGTGGTCCAAGATGATCCCGGGATACGTCCGAAAGCTGCAGCGCGAGATGTCCATGGCTCCTGGCTCTCTCGCCGACGAGATTTGGAACGAAGCACACGATCCCTTCATACACCCCGAAATCCGACACTCCGCCTCTGTCCGCGTGTCGAACCAACTCTGCGACGAGGAGAAGGAGTTCCTCGCCCGTCGTAAGAAGGTCACTCGAGCTGCCCTGGCCCGTTTCCTCGGCATCGATGAACACGATATTCACCCTGACGATGTACCTGTCATTGCTACGTGCGGCTCCGGCGGAGGCCTACGCGCACTGGTTGCCGGCTCGGGCTCTCTGCTCGCTGCCGACGAGGATGGCCTATTCGACTGTGTGACTTACACCGCCGGTGTCTCTGGCTTCTGCTGGCTTCAGGCGCTTTACTTCTCCACCATCGGCCGGCGGAGTCTCCCCCGTGTGGTCGAACATATCAAGTCCCGTTCCAATATCCACATCGCCTACCCCCCGGTTGCGTTCCATTCCCTCATCTCCGCCCCTACCAACAAATACCTCCTAAGTGGACTCGTCGAGAAGCTACGAGGTGACCCTCGCGCCACATTTGGCCTGGTTGACATCTACGGCTTGCTACTTGCCGCCCGTTATCTGGTTCCTAGAGGCGAGCTAGGCGTCTGCAGTCGAGACTTCAAGTTGAGCAGCCAACGCGAGCATATTCAGTACGGCCAGAACCCGCTACCTATCTATACCGCCGTGCGGCATGAGATTCCCGGACTAGACAATGCGGGGCGTCCGGCTTCGGATGAATCGGCCAAAAAGGAAGGACAGAAAGAGGCGTGGTTCCAATGGTTTGAGGTCACTCCTTACGAGCTGTTTTGCGAGGAGTTCGGGGCCGGCATCCCCACCTGGGCCATGGGGCGGAAGTTCTACAAGGGTGTGGACGTCAGCCCGGAGAAAGGCTTTCATTTACCGGAGATCCGCATGCCCTTTCTGATGGGCGTCTTCGGCTCTGCCTTTTGCGCCACTCTAAGCCACTATTACCGCGAAATTCGGCCTCTCGTTCGGTCTATCACGGGATTTGGAACCCTCGACGGAGTCATCTCGGGACGGTACTACAATGACCTCAGCAAGGTGCACCCAATTGACCCGGGAACCGTCGCCAACTTTGCCCACGGCATGCACGGGAAACTGCCGCCAACGGTGCCGCCATCCATTTACGACCGGGAATATCTGGAACTTATGGATGCTGGTATGAGCAATAACCTGCCCATCTATCCGCTTCTGCGGCCCGGACGGAACGTCGATGTTCTCATCGCGTTTGACGCATCGGCGGACATCAAGACGGACAACTGGCTAGCCGTGGCCGACGGTTACGCCTGCCAGCGAAAAATCAAGGGTTGGCCCATTGGCATCGGCTGGCCCAAACCGGACGAGACTCCCGCACAACACGTGAAACAGCTCGAAGAAGCTGAGGCTGCCACGACAGCGGAAGCACACGTCAAGTTGCAAGAAGCGAAGCAGCACCAGAAAGCCGCGGAGAAGGCACAGGACTCCCAGAACAAGAACAACGGTAAAAGCGCTGCTTCCCAGTCCGCCGAGTCGTCTGAAGCAAACAAATTCAGTCCCGGCAAGCCCGGCTCGGGAGATCTAGGCTACTGCACCGTCTGGGTCGGCACGATGCAAGAGAGTACAACCGAGTCGCCTCCTCCGCCTTCCAGAGCCCTCACGGATGATGAAGCGGCAACGGAGCTCTCCCGCCCCGATGCTGGCTTAGCCGTCGTGTATCTCCCCCTCTTGGCCAACCCTTCCCGCGTCCCGGGCATCAACCCCGGGACCACGGATTTCCTGTCGACATGGAACTTCGTGTACACGCCAGAGCAAGTCGACCAGGTCGTCGAGCTGGCGAGGGCCAATTACGACGCCGGTCGAGGGCAGATTCGCGAGACGTTGAGGGCGGTGTACCTACGCAAGAAAAAGGCGAGGGAAGAGAGGGAGGAGGCGGCCCGGAAGGAAAGGTATCAGAACCGTGTGAGGCGGGGGGTGGGGACTCGGTTAGGAGAAGGTGATCACTTCAGCTAAGAAGTCAGTGGGAGGCGTTTCATTATGTGGGCGGAGAACGCGGATGGAGAGCGAGCAGGGAGAGATATTGGTAGATACCCCCCCCCCCCCCAATAGAGTGAAGCACAGGCACAACAATGCCAAGAAGTAGACGTACATTTGCGAAGAGACGAAGAAATTATTGCACAGTGGTTCACTATTGGTTACACAGATTCTATACTGACTGGCGGGCACCATTTCCCCCTAATGGCACAAGATAACGAAGATTCTCTTCTTCACAAACAAAAAATAAAAAATAAAAAATTGTACACTGCCCGTTCAACCAGGGCAAGGGGGATGCAGATGCCGGCTTTCCAGAATGGTGTACATCAATCATCCACCATAGAGCCTCCTACATGCGGTTCCATTTTGTAACTTTTCCCAGGACGCGATTCTCTCCATGTCGTGTTGTTGACGAGAAAAGGCAAAAGAAGGTAAGAAAGAAAAAACCCCCCAACTTAGATAACCTCTCCAATGTCAACATACACGGGCTCCCACTTCTTCGCACCCTCGCTCAGCATATCGCTCGGCACGCGGACGTTCTGGCCAGGGCTGTAGAGATACCAAGCCTTCAGAGCGTTCATGCAGGCCTTCTGGCGGGCAAAGTCGAGGCTGGCACCGGTGCCCTCGCCAAGGAGGTCGCGGCCGCTGTAGATACCGACCACGAAGACGGGGGTGCGACTGCGGCGACCCGTCTCGCTCAGAAGGCGGGCGACGGGGGGTTCGAAGCCTTCGCGGGCGCAGAGCATGGCGAGTTCCCGCGTGGGGAGCTTGAAGCTGAAGAGGCGCTCGAGGTCGACGTGGCGGCTCAGGATGTGGGCGCGGACGAAGGCGTGGGCGGCGTCGCGCCCCGCGTGGATGTACAGGGCGCCTACGACGGCGCGGACGACGGCGGCGTGGGCCTCGTCGCGCAGGGACTGGCGCTCGGCGGCGGCGAGGTCGGCGGCGCGCTGCGGGTCGGCGGCGAGGTCTTCCTGCTCGCGGGGGTTCGGGTTCGGCTTGTGCACGGTGTCGCCGAACTCGTCGTCGAGGACGGTGCGGGAGCTCAGGCCGCGGCGCCAGCGGAACTTGTCGAGGTGGGCGGCCTCCTTGCGGACGTAGCCCCAGCGGGTGTGGCGGACGCCGGCGGCGGGGTCGAGGGAGAACTGGAGCAGGCCCGGGTCGACTTCGGGACCGGGGGCGGCGGCCTGGTCGATGCCCCAGGAGCGGGCGACGTTTGCGAGAGCGGCGGGGCCGGCGTAGGCGCGCATGGCTTCGAACAGGACGGCCATGGGGAGGCGAGGGTACGAGACTACCAAGCGCTCCGAGGTGAGGTAGCTGAGGAGGGAGGAGCCGACGAGGGCGAGGTTGGCGTTGTTGAAGTGCGGGTTCGGGTCGGCAGAAGGGTCGACCAGGCACCGGGTCAGAGTCTGAAGAGGGAGCTTGGAGGGGAGGGAGAGACGGGCGTGGAGGGCGGCTAGCTTGGGCGAGGAGAGGGCGCGTTCGGGGAGGGGGGAAGGGTAGGGCGGCTCGCTTTCGAATGGGTCGGCATGGTATTCTCCGGCCGCGGGTACGGCATCTTCAAACGCGGGAGCGACTGTCGATTGTGACCGTACGGATGGTCGGAGATGTGTTGTCGCTGCCGGAGTTGCCCTATGCAAGGAGAGAGATATCGGTTTCGTGCACGAAGAGGAAGCTCTTGTCTGGGCCGAGAGCAATTGCCCTGAGCATCTTGATGTCCGTAATCTCTTCATCTGTGGGGACAATTGAAGAATTAGAGGAGAAGAGAGGAAGGACAAGAGAAAAGGAGGGTAGCACAGGGTGATGGCGAGGATATGGCGGCTCCTCGTCCTCGTCTTTGCTTCGGTCTCTCGTCACGAAAAAGTTTCCCGAAAGTCCCAGGGCGAGTCGTGTGAGGGTGCAGGGACCATCTGCAGCCAAGAGAGCAGCCAATGGGGTGGTAATAGCGGGAAGGAGTTGTTCCGGTCCGGGCATTGCCAAGTTGTACCCCATACGAAGTACTTGCGAAGTACATTCAAAGGTACGAAGTTACTCCGTACATGCCGCGTTTTTGTACTGTACGCCTTGCGATACAAGACGAAAGGTTCGGGTGTACTTACGGTAAGGCTTTGCCTTCGGAGAGACATGCAGCATGCTGTAATTATCAGTAGGGCCCGGTATCGTACGCCGTAAGAGTATCACTTTTAGTGAAAATAACACCGAGAGCGGATAACGGAACCTGAGAAGTCACACGCTTTACATTGCCGATGCATATAGGCCATGGTTTCGGCGGAAAATGTTAACAGTCAGCATCCGCCAATTGCCGAATTGGTCTAGTGGTATGATACCTGCTTCGGGTGCAGGTGGTCCCGTAAGTTCAAACGCCAACCCATACGAGGGTTGTTGGAATACAATTCTAACAATTGCCAGGCGTTCGAATCGCGGATTCGGCCAAACTTTTTTTCTTTCATTGTCATTCTGGTATCCCAATCAGAGAATACTGCTTCCATTGAGTTGTCTACTTGATGATGTTCTCGCTAAAGGTATTCCTCGTCGTATATCTCCACTTTCTCCCTCTGATGAATTGGTTGTTGTTCTCTTGACACAGTAACTCGATGTAACTCATCTCATCCGAAATCAGTAACATCACACTTTCCGAGTTAAGGGAAAGGTCCGTGGGATTCGCCTTGCCTCAGAATAGACGTGTTCTTAAAGTCCTTGAGTCAACTATCCGTAGCTCTCTGAAAGTGACCTATATGAGACGTTGATGGAAGTGCAATTTTGGACCGTGTATTAGGTAATACTTCGTAAGTACCTGTCAGGTAGCCCAAGGACCAGTGACCGCACGTGACCTCGGCTTGGGTGGAATCAGTAGCCTGGCCCTCCAAATCAACGAAACGTCGTTGAAGCTGCGTCTCAATTTCTCTGATACCGCGATACAGCAACCATTGCCCTTCCCCAACTTCCCGAATACGCCCCTTTTGTCCACATTCAAGATGGTACGTGTGAATTGAGTGTTATCATCAGATCTTATGCTAACGGGCTTTGTAGGGTGGCGGTCCGAGAGTCCCGTAAGTGCTCATTTCCCTCGACTCCCAAGTCATGCTGCCGATGCGACGACGCCTCCTTCCGACGACGCCCGTTCCCCTTACTCCGAGCAATGCTGCAAAGCCCACCACAGTTCTCTAACGCCTCGGTCTCTCTAGGTATCCGAAGCACGTCTGGTCGCCGGCCGGTGGTTGGTACGCGCAACCGGCCAACTGGAAGAAGAACACGGCCATCGCGGGTCTCGTCATGTTCGGCATCATGGCCGGCGTGTGGAAGCTCAGCGCCGAGAGGGAGCATAGATACGTCATGCCAAAGGAGGGCTCGTTCTTCCCCAGCAGATAGTACGTCCTTTGTCACGCCTATGGATTCCTTCCTTCCCATTCCCCGTCGTCGGGTGGTTTAACGGCGACGTGTCACCCGATCTTCGAGAACTAACGTGGACATTGCAGCTGGTCGAAGCAGTTGATCGAGTACGACCGGGAGCAGGCAGCAAAGAAGGCAGCAGAGGAGAGCCAGAAGAGCTCCTAGAATCCCCCGCCCTACAGAGCATCTGGGGAAACTGTACATATATCTCGTTAGAGTTGGAATGGACGAGTCTTGAACACACCGGAACAAAATTTTGGTTATCGTGCAACTCTTGAAGGATGGGACTCAAGATGTCTCCGCTGGGAGATGCGGGTATTGCTTTACCTCTGACACTTTTCTCCACACGTCCTTCAAGAAATAGACGGAAGTATCTCGGCGCCCGGCACCTGTTCTGCTCAAGTCCGGGCAATAATCATATGACACCTAGGAATCTTGACCTTTCCTTGAAGCGGCAGCTCGCGATCCGACTCCCCGCTGGCGCTTCCTATGCGACAGGAGACTGCCTCGACGTCCTGCCTATGAACCCAGGCGACACGGGAGTACGGGGGCCCTGTGCCGTTTCGACTCTCATGGGATGCTGTATTGTTCATTACGAAGAGAGCCCTGTTGCCGAAGGACCGGTCGGCGTCAGCGTCAGCGTGGGGCGTGTCGAGCTCCCACGTCGAACTGGCGCAGCCCGCAAGAAGGAAATGCGCCGGCTCTGACCGTGGCAACACGAGACCTCGAGGCAAGGAAGGAGTTGGAGAGCCTTTCTGGCGATGCCTCCAGGCCGAAATTATGAAGAAACGTGTTTCAGTCCTCGATGTACTAGAGAAGTTTTCTTGAAAGATTGCCTCCGATGCGCATAAGTCGATAGTATGTTCCCAAGTCTTTGGCTTACATGTTTACCTTGGCTTTCTTAACCATATCCCCTGTTTCTTTGAGACGCCCGTTTTCCCGGCCTCTTTCTTCTTCTTTTTTTTTTTTGTGTGTTTGCCCTGTGCTTTGTCTACTTTTGTTCCGACCCTTGACGGGGGGGGGGGAAGAAACAAAAAGAGGAAAGAAAAAGGAGAAGAAAAAAGAAAGGAAGAAGAAGGGAAGAAGAAGAAGACGGCCAGACTCAAGAAACAAGATAATCTAACAAAGGCCCTTTTTCTTGTCCTTCTAGAGTATGATCATTGTGCTCAGTTTAGAACAATACAAAGGAAAGGCTGGACAAAGGAGCTCAGGACTTTGGCATCTTTGTTTAGATAAAGAACCACGTTCATGATAATGAACCCTCTTGTTCAGGGTCATCTCATCTGGCGTCAAGATTGCACTCTACCACGCTCAAGTACCACTAGTAGTCAAAGACATGTTCGTATCGATACTAGCATATGCGGACAAAGGCCTTCGACTTGGGTTACAGTTACCTGAGCACCAAGGCTTCTTGTCCGACTTGCGCAGAACTTGGCTCTCCTTAGCTCTATATCCAAATTTGGTGCCACCTTTTGTTGCGGGAATGCAATCGGCTTTGTCCTCGTCCGGGATACTCGGTCAAGGGGCGTCTCCCATCACTCCTTTGACGCATGTTGTATAACTCGAAGCGTCGTCCCAATGGTCCGGTGAAAATTGATATCGATATCAGACACACGAATCGTGATCTGGACCAGGAATATCGTCTGACGAAGCTGACAGTAGTCTATCCATCTTCTTCCTACAGACACCACTCCCTTGACTCTCCAGCACTTTGGCACACTTGCTTCGATTAACGCCTGACCAGGAGGTCGTCATCAAGATGGACAATACCCTGCTTCACACCTTTACCTATCTATGGTCCGAGATCAAAGCCCTGACACCAGAAGGCTACACGATCCTCTTCCTCCTCATCCTCATCCTGCGCTACACCCGGATTAACAACCCCAACCGCGCCGGTCAAAGTTACAGACAAATCCTTCCAAGAAGCAGAAACGGACGCTACACCCAAAGAGACGTTACCGTCATCCTTCCGACCACCAACCCGGGAAGCGACTCCTTTGCCGAGTCCATTGTCAGCATCCTCCAATGCCGCCCCTACGCCGTCCTGGTCGTGACCGTCCAGGGTCCCATCGCCGTCCAGACCCAGCGCGTCCTGGAAGCCTACCGCCACGCGTACCCGAATATCCGCATCGGCCTCGCGGCAACCGCGGACACCAGTGAGAGAGTGCGCATCGCCCACGCCGTGCGCAAGGTAGCCACCCACATCACCGTCCTCGCCGACGACTCCGTCTCCTGGCCCCTCACCGTCGTCCCGTGGCTCCTGGCCCCTTTCCAGGAAGACGACAAAGTCGTCGTGGTCGATATCGAGAAGCGTCTCCGTAGAGTCGGCGAGGGGAGTTGGACCTTCGCCTCGGCCGTAAACTTTCTGGCCTGCATGTGTTTCATTCGGCGCGCCCACGATCTGCGCGAGGCATCTAGTGGTCGCGAAGGCGGCTACAGTCTCGTCACCTCGTTCCTGCCTGCCCCCTCCGGACGCACTACGGCGTACCGCACCGCCTTTCTAGACGACGAGGCCATCCAGGCCCGGCTCCGCGACACGGAAAGGCCCCTCTCGGGCGTCTGGGGGTCATATCGTGAGGGGAAGAGGCCCTCCCAGGATGAAGCCGACGACATCGACATCGAGACGTTCCTCGCGCGCGAGGCCGTCAAGAGGCGAGGCGCGAAACTGGTCTTCCAATCCACCTTCCTGCCCCTCAGCCAAGACCCCGTCGTCGAAGTCATCCCGGCAGTCGTCACCATGCCTATCCTGGGCGACATGCTCCTCCGCGACGCGAGACGCTCCGTCCGCGCCGCCCTCGCCGCGCTGTGCTGTCCGAGCCTCCTGTTCCGGAGACCCGAGTCGTACCTTCTGTCTGTCCTGACGGCGTTTCTCGAGCTGCCCCTGGCGTGGGACTGGGCGCTGCTGTGGACCTTCGCGCGCGGCGGGCTGCTCTGCCGGTACGTGGACGTGCAGAACGGGACGACGACGACGCACTGGTCTCGGGGCCGGTTTCTGGCGCTTTGCGCTGTGATGGTGTTGTTCAAGTACCTTCGTTTTTCGTCTCACTTTGCCCGTTACCCGCGCGACCTCCTTTACCTCCCTCACCATTTCGTGTTCGGCTTGGTGCATCTTTTCATCAAGATTTGGGGTTTGTTCACTTTCAAAGATGATGCTTCGCGTCGTCAGACCTCGGACCGGTTGAGCGGTCCGGCTGAAGGATTTGTCGGAGATATCAACTCGTGGAATTTTCGTGCTGTGCTGTGAAAAGTCAGGGGGGGGAGGGGGGTAAGGGGACATCGAGGCTCGTAGGTATAGTATAGATCTGGGCCGGGGACCTTGGAAAGCATTGTTTCTGTTTTGTTATAGTTCATGTAATCGTATGGTTGATACCACTGAGATATAGATTGCAATGTAATTAACATGCAACACCGTGTCGTAAGATCGCAGGGCCGGAGGTCTGTTGCAAGTCGGATAATGCGTAGGTTGGTTCACCATGTAAGGTGAGTGCCTGTAGGGAGGGAAAACTGCGTCGTCCAGGATATATAACAACTTCGCAAACCCCTAGCTTTCTGCTCTGGGTCATCGTACACAGATCTCGCTTTTGCTCCCTACTCATGCCTTCTGCCCGTCATGCCATTCATGCCTGCTATCTCATGCTATGCTGAGCAACTAAACATCTAGCGAGCCCCTGGGTATCATTGCCCTTTTGAACGCCGGAGAAGATATATTTTTTTGATACGCACCGCCTTTTGGAAACCCCGTTAGAACACCATCTAGACCACACACAATACCCCAGAACTGAGGCGAGAGCAGAGTCGTCGAAGGATTAGCGGCGGGCCTAGCGACGTCGATTCCCCTTCCTGCGATCTCGGTTCCGCGGATAAGGATGCGGGTTCCATCCGTCGCCCCTATCCTTATTGTTCCGACGCTCGGGCTCGGGGACCTTTTCGATCACGTCAATCTCCACATCCTCGTAGTCCTCGTGCAGGTACGAATTGACCGCATCCTGCTCCTTCTGTGCCTGCTCCTTGTCGAAGACGAAGCGCATCGTGCCCTCGGCGCCGCGCGTGCTGCGCCGGACGGCGGGATTGCTCCCGGAACCCGCGGTAGCAGGGGATGTGGCGGAACCGGGAGTGACGCCCGGGGTGAAGCTCGGCGTGAGACTCGGCGTCACGGCCAAGGTAAAGCCCGTTGGCGGTGGCTCCATTTCGCAGGCATCGCAAGAGTAAGGGATGATCTTAGGTTCCTTCTGCTCATAGCTGGATTCCATCTCCTTATTGAGATCAATTCGGATTTGGATGAACCTGTTCAGCTCGTGTTTGGACCCGAGCCTGGTCGCCTTGGTGTGATGGGTGTAAAGATCAAGAAGATCGAAAAGCGCCTCGAGGATGTCCTCGCGACTCGTGTGCCAGTCGGATGGCCGGACGCGTCGGACCTCCTCCACATAGGTTCCGGTGACGCGGGCCGCCATCTCGATCACGGCCAGGGCCATGGTCCATGTTGCATGCTTGATAGGGGCGAAGGTCTTGTGAAGGTCGATACTGATATGGTAGGTGAGAGCGAAGAAGTCCTTGGGTGCCTGGGAACCCAGTATCACTCGGGTAGCTTTGACTAAGTATTTTTGAACGTAACGGCTGCGAAAATCGAAACCAATGGTCTCTAAAATGAGACGCTCCAGGCCTGTAATGATCCGCGCCGGACCCTCAAACATCTGGACCAAGTTAGCGCCAAGGTTGCAAAGCAGGGCATGACGGTAGCAGGATAAGAGACCTCGACCAGTCCAGCGAGAGAAAAGAAGAATAGAAGAAGAAAAAAGAAAAAAAAAAGAAAAAAGGGATTACCTTGTCGTCTTGGGTCGTGGGATAATCGGCATTTTTTATGTTGTAAGCAGCACACAATATCTCCTTAGACTTCTTGATGGTATCCTCCACCTTGCAGGCCAGAAAGAGTGATGCCAGGGCGGCGTCCTGGTAGTTGTACTCTACGTCCCTATGGCAGAGTCGGAAGAGGTGGTAGTAGAAGCAGGCAGTATCGAAGGTGCGAATGGGTCTAGGGAGGGCCAAAGTCGGGGTTCGTTAGCCTCGTTCAGTCCGACGGAGACGAGGCAGCGAAGAACAACCGGAGCAAGCGGCAACTCACAAGTGAAGGCTCTCGCGGACGTTATCGATCAGTTGAACGCCCTGGAGCCGGTAGGTATCCTCCCGCGCCGGGTCGTAGGACTGCTCTTTGAGCATGCGGCGCAGCTTCTGTTCCAAAGTGAATTGGCAGGCTACTTGGACATGGCCAGGGTGTGGTCCCCTGGCAGGATCGGAATGGTCCAGAGGCACGACGCCGTCGGGGATGGGTGGTTGTTGGATGGGTTCGTCGATAGGATCGCGCGATGACGCATGGGACCGAGGGCCGGTGGGAGCCATCTTAGTTAGGTAGGCGTACTTGGCTGGATGACCAAACGATACCCAGACGATATTGTCAGTTCAAGCGACGGCTTCTCCAGTTGCGCTAGAGGTAAGGGACGAAGTGAGGTTTCAAGCCATGTCCCGCGAGTTAACCGAAGTACGAGAGAAGCACCAGAAGTACGATTGTGGTATAGGCACAGCCTCAAGCGATCGGAAAAGGCCGTGAAGGCCGTGAAGGCCGGTACAGGCTGATGTGACGACTCGAGACTTATATATGGAAGCAGGAACTGTGAGCAGAGACGTCGATTTGCAAAAGGGAACCGTAGCTCATAATCATCTCACGAGCTGTATGGAAACATAAGTGACTGCGCAAATGCCAGTGACGCCGGCTCGGTTGTGGCAAAGTGGTTGTAGGGCTTAAGAGTACGGATAGACTGGGGTGAAAGTGAAGCTATTCAAAGTCGTGATCGAGCTCTCTTGGGTACGTACTTCGTAGGGATTCCTCTAAATGCGGAGTCACGTGTAGCAGTGGCTCGAACGTCGCCGGAATACATTACACCGGTTCCGAACTTGTAGCCAATGATCTGCCTCACCCAGATAAGATTAACCCTCCCCTGGAGCTTGCTGATCCGCCACCACCTGACCAGCCTTGTCGTCAGATAACTCCCTTGCCGACGTTCTCTTCCACCATGTCTCTCGCTAAACACCTACAACAAAGCCCCTATCGTCCATCCGCGAAACTCCCAAAAAGATGAAGCACTTCCTCACCTGGGGTCTCCTGGCCCTCAGACCCCTAGTCACCGCCGCCCCCACACCAGACCAGGAAGAGGACGACACCCCGCTCCCCCTCGTCATCTGGCACGGCCTCGGCGACACCTACAACAGCGAAGGGATGCAATACGTCGCCTCCCTCGCCGAAGCCCAGCACCCAGGCATCTTCGTGCACACGATCCAGCTAGGCGACGACGCCAACGCAGACCGCTCGGCCACCTTCATCGGGAACGTAACCACCCAGCTCGAGACCGTCTGCGCCGAACTCGCCGCGCACCCGATCCTCTCCACGGCACCCGCCATCGACGCCATCGGCTTCTCGCAAGGCGGGCAATTCCTCCGCGGCTACATCGAGCGGTGCAACCGCCCCCCCGTGCGGTCCCTCATGACCTTCGGCTCGCAGCACAACGGCATCGTGCGCTTCCGCGCCTGCGCCGACCGCGACTTCCTCTGCCACGGCGCCATGGCGCTCCTGCGCTTCAACACCTGGTCTTCTTTCGTCCAGGCCCGTCTCGTGCCCGCCCAGTACTTCCGCGACCCGTCCCCGGACCAGTTCCCGCGCTACCTCGAGAACTCCAACTTCCTGGCCGACATCAACAACGAGCGGGAGGAGAAGAACGCCACGTACGCGGCGAACATGGCTCGTCTGGAGAACTTCGTCATGTACATGTTTGAGGACGACACGACCGTGATTCCCAAGGAGACCGCCTGGTTCGAGGAGGTCAATGGGACGGAGGTCGTGCCGCTCCGCGCCAGGCAGTTGTATCGCGAGGATTGGCTCGGCCTGCGGGCCCTGGACCGCAAGGGCGGCTTGAGGTTTAGGCAGATCCCCGGAGATCACATGCAGATTGGCGAGGAGGTCCTGAACAGCACTTTTGCGGAATTTCTTGGCCCTGCCGGCAAGAAGTTCGCCGTCGAGAAGGAGGGGGCGGCGGATGGGTTGGTATTTGAGGAGCTGCAGATTGTGATTTTCTGACACTTTTCTTTCTTTCTCTTCATCCCTTCATCCCTTCATCTCTTCATCCTAGCTTAGCCGACATCAGTAGAGCCGGTAGCGCCACGGAAAAATCCATAGCGAGTAGTCACCGCGACGATTGAAACTGGGAATTCTTGTTGTCTACGCCCCGGCATCCCTACGGGTGGAGGCTGGTCTAAGTGTTCAAAGTTCCTGTCGACTAAAAATAGACAATGAACGCCGTACGCCGCCCTTCCTGTCATGCATGGAATGAATGTACAGACAAGCATCCCCCACCCGGTACTGCCCCCCCCCCCACTCTTTCCTTTTTTTTTTCTTTTGCCCCTTTTCAACCGAAACAGGAACCCTAGTCTTCGAGCGCTGCCTTGGCCTTCGCCTTCTGCTTCTTCAGCTTCGTCTTGCGCTCGGCAATCTGCTTATCGAGTTCCTCGTCGTTACTCGTCGGCAGTGCAGCCTTCTCCTTCTTCTCCTTCTTTTCCTTCTTCGCCTTCTTCGCAGGCGTACCAGTACCGGCCGCTCCCTCCTCGCCCTGCTTCTCCTCCGTCACGGCCTCGGGGGCCTTGCGCTTCTTCCCAATGTTAGGCTTCTCCTTGATCGCCTTCTTGTCCTGCTCGGGAAGCTCTGCGACGACGTCCTTCTCCTCGAGCCACAGCTCCTCCGTCAGCCAGACGGGCAGCGCCGCCGTCTCGGGGCCCTTGACGTAGATGCTCTTGACGTTCTTCCACTTCTGCGGCACCCACTTCTCCACGAGGCCGGCGACCACGGCCTCGACGTTGGCGGCGAGCTCCTCGGGCGAAAACCGGGCGACGCCGACGCGGATGCTCGTGTTGGGGGACGGCGTCAGGTGGACGAGGGCAGAGCTGAGGGCCCGCTCGACCTCGGCGGCGATGGTTCCCGCGGAGCCGGCATTGAGCTGCCCCTGGCCGTTCGCGCCGTTGCTGCCCCTGCCCCTGGCCGACTTATTGTCGTTCCCCTTCTTGGCGTCCGGCTTGGCGGCCTTGGACTGGAAGACCACGGGGATGGGCCGCTTGGTGGTGGTTCTGTAAAACGTCTTGCCCAGAACCTTGGGGAGGCGGTTGATGACGCGGTCGTCGCCGAGGAAGACGTCGTGCTCGGAGAAGAGCTTCCGCTGGGCCTCGTACTGGCTGAACTTGGCCTTGAGGTGGGAGTAGTCGATGACGCGGGTGATGCGCTTGCGCAGGGCCTCGGGGAACTCGGGCGAGGCGACGACGTCTTTGTACGCCCTTTGCGGGTCGGCGGTGATGAGGCAGATGGTGGTGTTTTCGTCGTCGTTCAGGGAATGCGGGAGGCGGATCTTGCCGGGCTTGAGGCGGTTGGAGTCGGCGATGTGGCGCTTCGTGGTGAGATTCAGCCAGATGGGCGTCTCGGCGACGGCCTCGTCATCTTCTTGGAGCAAATTCTTCTTGCTGGGGTCGGAGGTCTTGGCCTTTGTGGTCTTGTGGATGTGGGCGAGCAGAGCTTTGCATGCCTTGAGGGTCTATGAGAGTTGCAACAAACAGGTCAGTGCATGTGCGCCTGCAGAAACGGACGAAATGGATTTTTTTTTTTAACGAACCTGCTCTGGTGAGACGGTAGCCACTGCGGTCTGTGACCTCGTGACAATCTCATTAGAAGGCGACATGATTGTGGTTGGAAATACCTGTTGTAAGCTTTCCAATGGTGGTGGGGAGTATGTATTTGTTGCGATTGAGAGTGTGAAAAGAGTGTCGTCCAGAATTTTTTTGGGAACCCAGACCCACATTTCGAGCGGTCTACAAACCCGCGACCAGAGCTGGCCCCGTTGGAGTCGGTGGATCGGCGTGCCGGGGGCCGATAGTGGGTCTGATACATGGGCCACCACTCCGACCGGTCTTGATCTCGGTGAACTCACCTCGGTATGTTTCTTCCTCCATGTTTCTTCCTCCATGTTTTTCCGCCTCTTTTCTTTCATCTGAATTGCTGGTCATAACACAATGCATATGGTTGTTAAACGAGGGAAAGCCAGCTTGATTGTTGTTCAATAGGACAACTTTCATTATGAAAGTTACATATAAATACCAATTGTCCTCGGTGACCATGTCCATGGTGCTACCAATCTCTCTATCCAGCCACCCTTATCCAACGCAGACAGAAGTATTAGTTGGCATTCACCGAGGCCTTTTAACGCTTGGCTATCTGGCGGCGGGGATGGTCCGTTCTAAAGAGATCCAAGAATCTCGGAACATTAACATGCTTCTCTTTCTCGTAGCGTACAGGTCGCTTCATCGCTTCATCAACGAGGGTGTAAGAGGCATTTCGGTATCCCAAAGCCCTGGCAGAGATCGTTTCCTAAGGCAATGGAAAGGGAGCCGTCGTTTTGGTCTCGGATTGCTGGCCCAATCTAACCAGCCACGACACCATATGAAGATGACGACCAGTCGGAGTGCATGTGCCGAGATCAATGCGATAACCATGATGCAGGGGTAGCTACGTATTACTACTCCGTACGTCGTATATTCGTAGTCCGTACTGCAAATTACGAATAGGGGAATATAGGGGGCTAGTCGGCTTTACTCTGTGCATGTGTCCTTGTAATCTCTCCGGAATACGGAGTAAAACAAGGCTTTTTCATTTCGGCTCGGCCTGGTCTGAGCACTGGTCACTGGTCACTGGTAGGACACACATCGTTGAGAAGCGTGATGGTGGAGACGTGAAATTCGAGGAGGCTGGAGGACGGCACTGCACTCACTGAATGTGCAATGCATCAATTGAATAGGAAGAGCCGAGCGAATATCGCATTGACGAGAGAAATGTAAAATAATGAATATGAAGGGGACGGGAGTCAATTGAAAAGGATAGGAAAAGGAAGGTATAAGTCGCCAAAAATCGAGGCTCATTTCCTGGCCGACTGTTGGGAGACGAAGTGAGACGAATGCTTAAAGGAAGGAACTCGACGTCATAAGCGGACCGGGACCGTGAGGTACCTTAGACCTTCCGCACCTCCCCCTGTAATGCAGTCCACTACGACGCGTCCTCTCAGGGGATCAGTGCCCCGTAGCCGCTGAAGACTTGGGTGCTACAGCGCAGATTTGTGGCTCCCGATAGCGAGGTGCAGGTACCGTAGCACAAGTGACCCCCTGCACAAATGGTACCTCCAGCAAACTTGAAGGAGCGTGTCGGGATCCGCCCAACGCCAACGCCAACGCGATGCGCCCGCGTTAAACCACCAGAACACGCTTCGCACTTCCCCGTCCCCCCCGCTCCGGCCCTCGATCAAAAAGGCCACAAATCCCAAGCCTACCTTTTTTTCCTGCCCTTGGCCTCTTCTAACCCGGCCTGCAACTGCGACCGTTTCCTTGAAGAATTAACTTTTTCTTTTTTTCTTTTTCTGCATTCCTTCCTTCTGAGTTGGAGCAACTATCAAGCAGACATCGCATCCTCTTCACCTTTTCCCTCTCTCCATCGTCCACCGACATACCACATACCATACCTATACCCACACAATTTGCCCACAGGGATAGGAAGTGCAGGTCCAAGAAGGAAGTTCGGACGCGATAGGACCCGAGACACGTGAATCCTGACGTCTCTAGATCTTCTCCACGACTTCCCTTTCGCTGTATTACAGCACAATCGAGAAGCATCAACGGGGGACATACCTGTGAACGTGACATTGAAACACTCCAAGACTCAAGAACCAAGGTCGACTTGTCCCCAACCTGATATGCCTCAGTCGCGTTCATGATGGACTCCTCACCCCCCGCCAAGACGCAAGAACCGACTCTGCCGACCGCGGGCACCAAGCGTCCCGCTCCCAGCCTCTTACCTCCCTTTGAACCTCTCAGTTCGTCGCCGAGCTACCCTCGACCTCTTAAGCGACAGGCCCGACCCGGCTCCGTCGGCTCCTCTGGCGCGTATCTCAAGTATCCGACTCCGGTTCCGACATCGAGCACCGGCATCCTTTCCTCGTCTCCTCCGCGCGTCGGTCTCAGTCTCGGTCTGGGTCTCGGTCTGGGTCTCGGTCTCGGTCTCGCTGCATCGCAGTCACAACACCACCAACAACATCGGGATGGCACGTTGTCGCAGGCACGGCACGGCCTCTCGGAGCGTGCCCCGCTCGCGTCCGTGCCCACCATCGAACTGAACGAGAACGGCGAGACGCTCCTGATGGGCCGCTCCAGCAATTCCTCCCATTATCAGCTCTCCGGGAACCGACTCGTCTCCCGCGTACACGTCAAGGCGCGTTATATCCCCGCTTCGAGGCCCCTCGAGCCTAACAAGGTCGAGATCGTCTGTCATGGCTGGAATGGTCTGAAGCTCCATTGCCAAGGCCGCACGTGGGAGTTGCTCAAGGGCGACTCGTTCACGTCCGAGACGGAAGGCACGGAAATCATGGTCGACGTCCACGATGCTCGCGTCATGATCCAGTGGCCCAAGAAGGGGCTCCGAGACGTGCACGGCGGCAACATGTCCGACTCGTCGTGGGACGACTCCCCGCGCTCGCAGGTCCGCGGCGGCCGTGCAGAAGCAGCAGCAGCAGCAGCAGCAGGTGGCAGCAGCAGCAGCAGCAACAGCATGGGAGTGGGACTGGGCCTGCAGTCGAGCCCCCTACGACGTGCCTCGCGCATCAAGAGCCCCGAGTCCCCGACACCTGGCGTGATCAACCTCGCCTCTTCCCAGCGCATCGCCTCCCTCCTTCCCGGGGATGGCAGTGACGAGATTCTCATCTTCGAAGACCCGAGCCCGGCCGAAGGGGCACCGGCTCATGGCGGCGAGACGACGTCGGGGGATGTGGGTCAGAGCTTCATGACCGAGGTGACCAACTCGTTTTCGTCGGACCTCAGCGAGCCGGAAGATGAGGAAGACGAGAACGAGTATCCGGACGAGGAGAACGATCCCATTGTGCATTCGTTTGGCCCGTTCGGCGCCAACCTCTCCAACCGGCTCGCTTCCATCACGGCCAGCTCGCCCGGGAACCCCGCCCTGTCTCCCACGAAGCCGCGGTCCCGTGGCCCCATCTTTTCCGCCCACCAGCACCAGGCCAACGCCAAGGCATCCTCCCGCAGCCTCGCCGCCATCCGGGAAGCCCTATCCCCGCAGAAGAAGAATAAGGTGGAAGCAACACAGGAGGAAGAAGGGTATGCCATGTATGCCACGGTGAAGAAGGAGGCGGAGGAGGAGGAGGAGGAGAAGGACGAGTCGGGCTCCGGATTGTCATCGCTATTGTCCTCCCTGGAGGATAAGGATAACGTCGACGTGCCTGCCATCCGCAACCACGTGGTCAACCAGCTGGCCTTCTCGCGCCTCTCGTCCACGCCCCTTTCCGCCATCCTCGGCAACCTGCCTGCGGAGGAGCGACGGGGCTTGGACAAACGCCAGCTGCAGGCCATCCTCGAGGCCACGGCCTGCACCGGCATCATCACCCGCCAGGGCAAGGACGCGGCGGGCCAGCCGCTCGAGAGCGAGTTTTACTACGTCCCCGAGGCGGACGAGGACGAGCAGCGCCGTTTGGCCGTTACGGACGGACTGCGGAAGCCGAGTCTCCGGGCCTGTCGGAAGCAACACAAGGTTCGTTGGGCGTCCCGTCTTTTCTGCCATCTTTTTTTACCTTGGCCTCCAGCAGCCCCGACGCCCCGACACACCAATTGAGAAGGACCAGTTTAGGCTAACACGCGACCGTCACAGCAATACTACTGGAAGCGTCCCAAGACCCCTTGATGCCTGTCAAGGCAAACTTGTCTTTTCTCCCAGCAGCCTGTCGTCGTCCAACATTTCTTTGTGCTCTTCTTCCTCTTCACCCTACCCTGTATTATGACGAGACTTGACCGTTCTCGTCGTGTCTATACCCAGGACATAACCCCCACTTGTTGGTTCATCCTCGTCGAGTATATATATATAACTACGCCGTTTCCCCCTTTTCCCCTTGGTCACGCAGCTGCATAGCGCAAGGCGTCTTGATATTTTATCTTTCCCTCTTGCCTGCGCTTTTACCTTTGTTTTTATGGGGGGGTGGGGGATATTTCCGGCTCATGAAAGCGTCACAGCCTTTTCCATGAATGCCTGGGAGGGTTTTTGTCTTTTTATTCGTTTTTTAGAGAGAGTGAGGTCTAACGTCGGCCCTGGCTCGGGATGGCGCCATGGTGAGGCTGTATGTAAATCCCCTTTTTCTCGTCACCTTTGATCAGTATTGGTGTCTTTGGGCTTGTACGGGGGTAGGTAGGACAGGGGCACAGGATCGGACGGTTCTGGTTCTAGTGATCCCCGGATGATCAATGGGGGTGTGGAAAAGAAGAATGTTGATTTACTGTTCGGTCTGTCCACTCTAAAACCCTCGGTATTGGATTGGCGGCGTTTGCTATGACGAGTGTGGCATGATGCCATGACAGAAACGCCCCATCTCCTCGGGAAGCCGGCTGCTTTATTTTACCCCAAGTTCATATCGAAGGTCGAACAGGGATGTGTCTGTATGACTGGTGATGTGTACATGTAATATGTGTGTACCTATGTAGGTAGAAGGAAGAATATCCCAGCCCAAAAGGGTAGCTGTGGAGACTAGATATACCCGTCAACAGGTGGTGCCTGCAGGCAACCACGCAACAGCTCATGGCGTGTCTCTATCCCGGGCCAAAGTGATATTTTGGCTTCCAATCTCGCGCCAGTATTTTCCTAGCTCTTATTTCCAGCTTTCAATGGGGTGTTTTCGGGTCACGGTCAGCCCGCCATCATCTATAGCTATCGCGCCACGATTTGTGATTTTTTTGCTTCATTCGCCGGTTGTCGCCTACACCGGCACTGTTGAAGGATGTTTTCGTGGCGACGGTGGCAACGCTGAGTGATACAAAAGTCGTCATTGTCCACCTAGATCGTGATGGAGGGGCGCCATAACTCCACGGTAATCGGAGGGAGTAGGATACGGTACGTGTGGTGTGAGATTCCAATGTATTGCATGTTTCTTCGTCCCTTAAAGGTATATACCATCTGCAAGGTTGCGTGATGTGTGTTTGCAAAGTGGTATAAAAGTCCGCGCGTTGCCTCCATCTCCCGACTCTAACATCATCACACCATCAATACAACATCATATCGTCCACATCCATAACATTATATTCGAATTCACTCCACATTAACTTCGCATATACAACCTCATCTCCATCTCAACCAACAATAATTTTCTACAAAAAACAACCTATACACCTCATACCAATTCAACAAACAATCCAAACAAAATCAACTCTCAATCCAATTAAAAAGCCATCTCACCAAAGAAAGAAAGAAAAAAAACAAATAAAAAATGTCGGCCCACCAAGATCCAGACAAACAAATCCACGACCCTCTCACCTGCACCTCTACCTCCCCTCCCGACGCCTTCCCGTCCACAGCCACCACCTCAACAACCACCCCTCCTCACCAATACCGCTCCGCCCATGCCGCCGCCGACGCCGCCCGCGCCATGGACCACACGAACAGCTGGACGCCCTCCTTCGCACGCCGCCAGAGCTGGAACAAAGAGGACATGAAGCACCACGTACAAATGGGCGGTATCCAGGAGTCGGTCAGGACCGGGCCGGGGTTCACTGAAGAGGATAAAGTGATGGGTGGTCGAGGGTAAAGGAGAGACGATGGCGGACCCGGAATGATGGTTCTCTTTCCCCCTTTGTCTGTTTAACTTTTTCCTTTTTTTTTCTTCTTCTTTTTGCCCCTCATTGCAGCGGAGGGCACGTTTGGTGCGAGCAGGCGAGGAACACAAAGGAGTCTGCGAACAGAAAAGCCTCTGGTCGGGAGATTGACGACCGACCCTAGTTGTCCTGTCATTAGGCATGCGAGCTCGGTTTGTTTTATTATTATCAATAACCAACGAGAGGCGGAAACGGAAATGGAAACGGAAATGAAAGAAAGGAACAAAAGGCAGGCAAAAGGGAAAACGGCCCTCTTGGAAACAGCAAGGACTGGTACAAGTCTTGCGTATGGATCATTTGATCATTTGAAGACGATGAGAACCCTCCTCACCCAGGAAAGCGAAATACTATGATGACCTGGGCTTCCCCACCAATGTACGAACATACAACGGGCAGAAAGGATACGAAAATTGAATTTCGTTGCTCATTCTCAGTAATGTGTCCTGTTGCGTGAATGGTATCCTAATAATATTCCCAACGCCTGCCGTTGCCTCCTTGCTGTTCCGTCTCCATGGAATCCATGCACCACCACATAGAAAAGAAAAAAAAGGGGGAATGAAAGGAATGAAAACTTTGAATCAAAGCCATATGGCGGCAGTGCGGACCGCCCAGTAGATCAAACCCTCGTGGGCTGCCCGCTGCCCTCCGCACCCCCAGTCCTGAAGTACTCGCCCAATACACCGACCGAGTAGGAAAGCCCCCCAACTCCTATCGCGCCCAAGACCATCTTCCTGCCCCGTCGTTTCGACTTGCCCGTGTTGCCGTCCGAGTTCTTCCTCGCTGACCCCGTGGTCTCGTCTGCTACCGTCTCCGTCTTCGTCTCCGTCTCCGTCCGCGACGTGAAAGGAGGCGGCGGCTTGCGGTCCGCGGCCGCCCCGGCCGTGTCGGCGTCGTAGCTCACGTACCCCGTCGGGCTCGCCGAGAACGAATGCGGCGTCACCGGTCGGCTGCCCATCATGTCGATCGGGTTCACATGGGAAGCGTGGTACCTCGTAGGTGGTTGTCGTTGCTCCAGCCGGATGTGCGAGGACGGCTTCCCGTCTCGGACTTTGCGGAGCACCAACACATTCCCGCTTCCCGAAATCATCTCGTAGCCTTCTTCCCCAACCAGCTCGAGATGCGGGAAGAACTTGACAGGATTCGACAGGCGCTGGAGCACCTCGGCCGGTGACAAAGGGGCCATCGTATCGGGGACGGTGGACGTCGTTTCGGCCATCACGACCGTCTCCAACGTCGGGTCGTACGCTAGGATCTTGTACTGCGACGGCTCCTCGTCCTTCTTGGTCTGCTTTGCACCTGCACTTGCACCGTCGTCTCTAGTCTTCTCCGCAGGCGGTTCCTGGTCAGGCCTAGGGGCTGATCCTTCCGCATTGACAGATTCGCCCTTGACAGCATTACGGGCGCACTCCTCCTCCATAGAGCCCAACTCGAGGCCTTGTGGTTCTTTAGAGTAGGGGTCAATCGGGGGGCTGCCGTGGCCTAGGCGCACCTGTGCCCTGTTGGCCGGGGTAACGCGATGCAATGCGGGTTCCAGTTTGGAATTGTTGGTCGACGCAGCTTCTCGGTCAAGTGCTGCATCAAGCGTCGGGAAGCTTTCGTCCAGAGAGGCGATATCCACATCGGTACCCTCGAGGGAGGTCTGCTTATTTGCGGCCTGTCCTGAGCTTGCATTTTGATCGACCAGAGCACCCCATGACGCTTGGAAGTCTTCGGGGAAGTCCCTGACATAGTTGCCAGACAATTGTCGTCCGTTTTGCCCCGCTTCATCCATATTGCTGGCCTTGATCTTAGCTTGTTGGATGGTGGTCTTGGCTGCCTTGTTGGCGTTGTCCCAGGTCTGTGCATATTCTGACATGTCCTTCTCGAGAGCCTCCGAGTCGTCACTCTTCAGTGACGACGCCGCCGTCTTGTATGCCATGTTGGCACGGATGTCGCTCGGCCGAAGGAGGTCTAAATCTTCGGCCGTCTCACTAGGTTCATGCTGAAAAGGCTGGTTATATCGATGGAGGTCAGCGTATCGTTTGCTGGTTTCTTTGGGGTGGATGGGCAGTTTGCCGTCGGGCTCATTCCATTGCACTGGTCCGTACCTGTGCAAGTCGACATACTTCTTGCTGGATTCTTCCGCCCACACCATTGGCTTCCCTTCGGGCTCATTCCATTCGAACTTGTCATAGTTGTGCAAGTCGGTATACCGTTTGCTAGCTTCCTCCGGGGTTGGCGCCGCTTTCCCGTCCGGCTCGTTCCATTGCACCTTGCCGTATCTGTGGAGATCAGTATAGTCCTTGCTGGCCTCCTCTGCGGTCGGAGGAGGCATTCCGTCCGGTTCGTTCCATACCACCTTTCCATACTTGGTGAGGTCAGAGTATCGCTTGCTGACCTCGTCTCTGGTTGGGCCGGGCTGCCCGTCCGGCTCGTTCCATTCTACCTTGCCGTAGTTGTCAAGATCGGTGTATTGCTTGCTAGTCTCCTCTGGAGTTGGCGTAGGTTTTCCATCCGGCTCATTCCACTCGACCTTTGAGTACTCGTTCAGATCCGTGTAGCGCTTGCTGGCCTCCTCCGTGGTCGGTGTCGGTTTCCCATCCGGCTCATTCCACTCGACCTTTGAGTACTCGTTGAGATCCGTATACCGCTTACCGGCCTCCTCCGCGGTCGGTGCGGGTTTCCCATCTGGTTCATTCCACTCAACCTTCCCGTACTTGCCGAGGTCCGCATACTGCTTACTAGCCTCCTCGGCCGTCAATGGCATCTTGCCGTCGGGCTCGTTCCAGCTCACAGGCCCGTAACGGCGAAGATCAGTGTACTTCTTCGAGCGCTCTTCGGCGGTGGGGGCCGGCAAACCATCGGGCTCGTTCCACGAGAACCGATCCCCGTACTTATGCAGGTCGGTATACTTCTTGGACAGCTCCTCCGACGAAGGAGGTAGTTTCCCATCGGGCTCGTTGAAGGTGTAAGGACCAGCGTATTGGTGCAGATCATCGTACTGCTTCGAGAGCTCTTCGGTAGTGAGTGGAAGCTTGCCGTCCGGCTCGTTCCACGTAGTAGGTCCGTATGTATGGAGATCATCGTAGGTCTTGGACAACTCTTCAGCGGTCGGCTGGGGCAAGCCGTCGGGTTCCCTCCACTGGACGGGACCGTAGTTACCCAGGTCGGTATACATCTTGGATCGCTCCTCTGCACTGAGGGGTGGCAGTCCGTCCGGTTCTCTCCACATGACCGGTTCATAGTTGGGAAGGTCATCGTACTTGGTTTCCGTCCCACTCGCCGAGGCAGCGTTTGGGCCGTGAGTGAAGTCCGTGGGCTTATATTTTGCGAGGTCGTCGTACTTGGGGGCTGCGAAGGATGATGCGGCTGCTGGAGTTTCGTCCACGACTGGCTTGTACTTGTCGAGGTCCGAAACCGAACATGGCTCCGGTTCGGCCGCCAACGGCTGCCACGGCTTGTCGTCAAATTTGACTTGACTATATCTTTGCAGCTCTTTTGCTGACGGAGGTCCGTCCGAATGAACGGGTTCGACCCGGAGGGAGTCGGGTAATGAAAAGTGCGAATGGGAGACTTGGTTCGCCTTCGTTTGTTCGATGACAGAGGTTGCTCCAGCCAATGCCTGAAGCGTGACCCTACGATTCGTGATAGGGTCAATGGCTAGGCTGTCTACCTGGCCGCCAGGTTGATCCGACTGGATTTCAGTGATATTTTGTGTGGCCAGGAGATTGCGGATGTTCTGTAAAGGAGACTGCCACGGGTCGTACTCGTACGGATGGGGAGTTGGGGCGGAGGCAGAGGAGGAGGAAGACGAAGAAGAGGGAGAAGAGGGGTCATTATGACGGAAGAGATGGTTGATGGCGCTGCGCTCGACATCTTCGATATTCCGGCCTGGGCGAACCCCGGACAATTCGTCTGACCACGACTTGACCTTGTCAACGTCCGCATATCGACCGGTTGACGAGGGGGCAGAGGCATCCCAGTAACGGGCCATAAGCTTCTTAAGGGCAGCCTTAGGGTCTTCGGCGGTTGGGTGTTGGTGCCAAGAGAGCGCCCTGGTCATGCAAGAAGAGATATACTTGTAACGAAGGCGGCGAGGTCGGGAGCGGTGGAGGTCACCACGGCATTCCGAGCCTAGGTGGGAGGACCACCTGTCAAAATGGAAGCCGCGGGCCTGGACGCTGTGTCGTGACTGAACGAGAAGAGCGCTTGTTGGGAAGCCCAGAAGCTGGTGACGGACAGAAGAGCTGCCACGGAGCATCCTCGTCCGAGGTGGAGCACGAAGGCCCGTCATTAACATGGTGAACAGGGAGCACGAAGGCCGGACTATAATCTTAGCATGCTACCGCAGCTGTGATTGCGACATTAGTCAGTATCCATGACGATGGTTTAAGAGGCCCATGGTAGCTCGAGGCAAGCGAAGACTGGAGGGGAGGAAAGGGGAAGATGGGTTGTACGGACAGGGAGAGACCAGAGCGACTTACATGGCGAGGGGGTTGGACGAGACAGCAAGATGAGGCTGTATCGAAGATCATGAAGAGGAAAGTCCAAGATAACTTTCAGACACTCCAAGTAACAGTCGAAGGGAAGAAACGAAAACAATGGCACAGAAAAGGTCCGCACTGTTGAATAAAGGCCACGAGTTGGAAGTGAGAGACGAAGGTAAGTTAGATCGCGTGAGGGGAAAGTAGCGGGAATTTGAGGAAACCAAGGCCGGACGGTGTCGGGTGAGCTTCCCCTTCTTCCCCCCTTATGTACTCCAACCTTTGCCGCGATAGCCCGAAGCTTAGTGGATCTCTAGCACTAAAGCGGCCAGTAGGCGACGCAAGAAGGGGTCATAGTGGGGATCGCAGCGCTATTCAGTGGCTTGGCGAATGCGGGGTAGCTGATCCACATGTGCTCAACCCTGCTGGGCTGGGTCCACTCTGCCCCTTAGAAGGACCCTAAGACCAATGACGACAGCCATTATGACCGCATTTCAAGATATGGAGTCCTGTACATACCCTTACGGACCAGTCATCCGCTCATCCGCGACCCTTAGAACGAAGTAATTACACTAGGAACCTAAGGTACCTTAGTTTAGGCACCTAGTATCAACCCAATGTGATGATGGCGCGGTTAGGAAAGTTCCGAAATTTCGAGTGCTTACTACCTTACCTAGTAAATCATATTGTTACTCTTTTAACTTTGCTCTTAACCTAGCAAGTCGGACAGCCACGTGAAGATGGTATTCTTTATATTAGTAAAAAAAAAAAAAGAAACAAAACATTGACGTAGGCTTATTGGGCACCCTGAACGGATGATTCCTTGGTGAAACGCGTCGCTGGTTTGGAGGTTTAGAGAACCCATCTCATTGGCCGGCAAGACTAGGGGTCATTCTCCGCCCCACCAGATACGGAAGATGGAGTACCAATTAAATCCTTCGTACGGAGTAACGAAATACTTAGTACCGACCGATACTTCGCATGTGCTTGTATCACGTGAGCCAACGTGAGCCAACGTCCCGCCCGTATCGTTATCGTCTTCGTAACGTCTCGGTCTGTGTCGGTCGGCCTTGATTACTGTACGCTGCTGTCTGAAACCCCACCGCCACAACGACCGATGACTGCATTATCGCGGGGCAAGCTTTATCCACATAGAAAACAATTCCCGCCGGCGTGACTCCAGCGGCACACATGATTTCGCATGGTTTCAACCTACCATATGCTTCCTTCACCCTTCACCCACAAGGCTATAAGGTAAGGTACCCATTGCTGGCGTCCTGATACCCCTTATCAGTCTACATTATATCGGTACCAGCAGTTTTACACCACGAATTGATCCATCCAGTGGAAAGGGGCACAGATTTCCAAGCGGCGCATACCTTCTCCTTCTGGACGATCTGAGCTCAAAGGTTCCAAGCTTTGTCACTTGATCTCAATCAATGGGCTTCGACTCTTTCTTTATAGCTACCAGTGCCCTACTGTCTAGTTGCCCTGCGCCTCCGGTCCTTGCCTTGTCCACCCGAACGCAAAGATGTCTCGATCACAAGGCAAGCGGGGTCGCTTTATCGGTGCGAATGGTTTTGCATCCGGCGCCTCTACCTTCGGAGGCTTCTCCTCTTCTTCTGGTGGTAGCGGGTTGTCCTATTTGACCGAGCCCCCCGACTTCTCGACCATCTCCGATGCCAACGTCGGCGTTTCATTCAAAAACTTGCTCAAGAAAGATGCCACCACCAAGACAAAAGCCCTGGAGGACCTCGTGGCCTACGTGCAGACACACCCTCACGAGCAGGGCGGCGGCGCTGAAGACGCTATACTGGATGTGTGGGTGGGTATTCTTGTCGCCCTCATTCGCGAACTATGGACTGGCGAGCAATTGGTAACCATAATGTACGTAACAGGTACAATTATATCCGCGTATTTCAATAGACAACGCGCGCCGTGTTCGCGAACTCTCCCACACCTTACAGTTCGAATTGATGCGCTCGGCCCGAAAGCGCATGGAGAAGAGGGTGCCCAAGGTAGTCGGGGCCTGGTTGGCTGGGCTGTACGACAGGGATCGCGCCGTTTCGAGGGCTGCAAACGACGGCTTATCCTCGTTCCTCAATACGCACGACAAGGTCGTCCAGTTCTGGAAGAAGTGCCAGTCGCAGATCCTGACGTACGCCACCGATGCCATGCAGGAAACCAAGGACACGCTGAGCGACGAGAGATCCACCACGGCCGACGACGCCGACGCCAAATACTTCCGTGTCGTGGGAGGGAGTCTGTCTCTGGCCCTGGGTCTTTTGCAAAAGTTAGAGCAGTCCGACCTCGATAGCGAAGCCGACGCCTACGACGCTTTCTTCTCGGAGGACAAAGTCTGGAAGTCCGCCACTTTTGCCGACCCAAACGTCAGAAAAGCGTCCTGTCAGCTCCTGTGGATTTGTATCGACAGGCGCCCCGAATCTGTTGCTTCTCAGCTCTCCCGGATAAAGAAGATCTTCATCTCAGAGGGTCTGAAGTGCAGCCAGGTTGGCTCCGCCACCGAGTACATCCGCGTGTTGACCCGACTTACCAACAAGCACTCCGAGATTTGGTCCTCGTCGGGGGAGAAGAAACCGCCAGTATCCCGGCTCTGCGGCTTCCTCCGAAAAGGTTCACAGGCTGGTTCGGCCAAGTTCTGGGAGTACCTCGAGCACCTATTGCTTTCCATACCTCGCGACAACATACCCGACGGTGGCCCTTCAGAGATAATGGAGTCGTTCCGGACCGGTATCACGAACCGCGAAGAACCGCGCATGAACGCACCCATTGCATGGGCTAGTTATATCCGAACAGCTAAACATCTCATGGGCACCCTCGCGGCCGGTGACTGTCGTACCACGTTTGTCCGGGACCACGTGTCCCCCCTCACGGCGCATTACCTGCATCCTACCCCGGAGACTATCCGGTGGGATATTGGAGGAGCGGGCAAGCTTGCTGTACTGGTGGAGGTTTTCAATGCCTGTACGGACAAGCATCTGGATGATGTGTCTAACGCGACAGTGGAGGAGTGGAAGAACCTGTCTTCTGCTTTTTGTACGAGGGTATCTAGTTCTGCCCCAGGCGAGCCGAAGGACTACGCGAAACTACAGGAGGACCTCTCGGAAGAAGGCTCTCGGTGGTTTACTCTGGTCGGTCAAATTCACACCAAAAGCCTGGCGGCGCACCAGAAGACCTCTGCTGTACTTGAAAGTCCTTGCCGAGACATCATTCTTACTTCAATACGCCTTCTTGCTGCACGCAATCTGGAGCCTTTTGGTGCGGCAGGGGTGTTGTGCAGTGTTGGAAAAGGCGCCCCGCACATCTGGGAAGACGAAGCTACGGCGGCCGAACTGGAGACCTTTCTTCTGGAACAGGGGCGAGAGCGGATGGACGTCGTCATACCCTCACGCGCAGCAACTAGCCTCTTCGGCTGCCTGGCTGCTCTTGGGACTCTCCCAAGCCGTCGTGAGACGTATAAGAAGATATGGAACGCCTGGCTAAGCTCATTACTTCCTCGTCATGATCAAGCAGCCGCCCTTGATGGCATCAGAAGCTTGGTCTCGCATCCGTCTGCCAGCGAGCTAGCTGCCCAGAACGACGAGTTGCAAAACTTGATTGGGACAAAAGTGGAACAGTCCATCCGAGGCACAGCTGAGGCATGGGCACTTCTTGAGACTGCTCTCTCTAATGATGCTCTTTCCGACTCGGTGGCCAAGCGGATCGCCGAGGAGGCACTGTCTGCACTCGCCCAGGACACCCAGAAAGCGTCCAACGCGTTGCGAGTGCTAGAGATACTAACGAACAATAAACCCGAAATACTGTCGCAGGACGATACTGTCCACGTGGCTCTGATCACTGCGCTTCTGAGCCTCACCGAACTGAGCGGAACCGATCTCTCGTCCCGAGCCCAGTCACTTCGCGCTATCCTAGACGACCGAGCTGACGGCAAGCAGACTGCTGTCGCAATTATCCAGAAGAACTTGGGAGACGCGTCGACGCACTCCTTGGGAATTGATACCCTCTCTCAGCAGGCTCTGCAGGCCCTCGCAGCAGGCGCGGCATCGGCCCAGGACTTGTTCCCCAACACGAACATCTGGATGGAGCAACTGCAGCTCTTCCTACACAGCGACATCAACCCATCCTTAAGTATCACAAGTAACGTGGGAGGTGCGCAGGCCCTTGTGCCACCGGAAGAAGGGGATGCACCGTCTCGGTTTAGGAGGGACCGCGACGGCCGTTCGATCCCTGCTAGGATGGCAATGTACGCTTCCAAGCTGCTGTCGTCTGGTATCGATACACAGTCGCTTCCTCGGCCTCTCTTGATTGAGGTGCTCTTCCTGCTTTGCGTTTCTGTCCACTTGGCTTCCGACCAGATCGCACTTATGGAGGAGAACAAGCTCTGGGGCAGTTTGAACCACAAGAATTCTCTCACTGAGGCATCAGATTTCGTTTCCGAAACGCGAGCATCCATCGAGACCCTTGTAGCAACGGCAGTAGGATGGAGAGACGGCTCCGACACTGGATCGAGTGGACTCATCGAGGATCTCATCTCCCTCATGATGAAACAGACCCAGACGCTGACTCCCATGGGACTGTACAGCTCAAGGGCACTTGGCGAATTAATCGAGTCCCTGACGGAGAAGCACGGTGCGCCGTTGGCGATAGACGAGAAGCTCTCCGAGTTGGACACCATGAAGGCCTCTCCTTCAACGATCCTCGGAGCTGTAGCTCTGGTCTCCGGCTTTGGAGCAACGCTCAGGTCCTCCAAACTCGTCAATACCCTCGCCAACCGCCTGGTCAGCGACATTGCGGGCCTCGGCGCGCAGGCAGACAAGACTCTTCCGACCTTGGTTCTTCTCAATAGGTGCGCCGGGATTTACGAGACGGGTGAATTACCCGTTGCCAACAATCGACTCGTCTTTGCGGTCAGACAGATCACTTCCTGGCTCGAAGATCCTATCGGATTATCACCTGCCTTGTCCGCGGAGATCTGCCGTGCGCTGCAGAAGATTCTCCCCTGTATAAAAGGAGTATATGGCCCTCACTGGGAGCGCACTCTCGAGTTCTGCACAACTCTTTGGACAGATGCGTCCGACGACGAAACGGATGATGCCATCCCGTATATTCATGCATCTTTGAAGCTGTTCACTACTCTAGAATCACTGGCGGATCCGAATGATGACCTTGAAGACGCCCTTAAGGAAGTGGCGGAAGCAAAATCCCGTGCCCTTCTCAAACTCCTCGAACTTCATCGGGAGAGAAGCACTCAACCCATTCAGATTGTCGATGCCATCATCTGCAGGCAAGTCGAAAAAGTCCCCTTGGCGCATCTCGGCGATCTTTCCGACCTTTACCACTTGGTCGCCTCGGAAGCGCGGGATATCCAGACAGCTGCATTCGACCTGCTTCATCGTGCCCTGCCCGCATCCCAAGAGCAGCTCTCTGTGGATGTGTTACTGGAGAAGAAGGGTAAGCCGGAATTTTCGGGGATGGGCATTTTCTGTTCACCGCCAGTTCTCTAACGTATGTATGTATCCAGATGCCCGGTTACCCGATGAGCTGGTCTCCCTGCTCCTTGATGCGCCCACGCTAGAAAAATATCCCGACGACGTCCTTGCTCAGTTTCCGACCTCCATCCGCTCATACCTCCTCTCATGGCATCTCATATTCGACGCCTATAGCACCGCCTCCGTCAAAGTCCGAAACGACTACACCGAACATCTCAAATCCGAGAACTCCGTGGGCCCGTTGCTCCAGTTTACCTTTGACGTCCTCGGTCACTCAGCAGCCCACGCCCTCAGCCTTGACCGCGAGGGCCTGACGGCCGACCACATCAGGTCCTACGACTTCCGCGTCGCTGACGCCGAAGCCGACGAGCGGAACCTCCAGTGGTTCCTAGTCCACATTTACTACCTGGTCCTGAAATACGTCCCGGGCCTCTTCAGAGGGTGGTTCATCGAGTGCCGCTCCAAGCAGACCAAGACGGCCGTGGAATGGTGGATGACGAAGTATTTCTCACCCATTATCATCTCGGAGGTCCTCAGTGAGGTGGCCTCCTGGGCTGCGTCGCAAGGGCATCCAGGCGACGAGGAGAAGGAGCTCATGGTCAAGGTAAGCCAGGCAGGGAGGGAGATCACGGCCGGTTATGAGGTGGACGAGTCGCTTGCTTCCATCGCCATCCGCGTGCCGCAGGGGTATCCCCTTGAGGGCGTGACGGTGGTGGGCATCAACAGAGTGGCAGTGAACGAGCGCAAGTGGCAGAGCTGGCTCATGACCACGCAGGGCGTCATCACCTTTTCGGTATGTTGTCTTCTTTTCTTTTCTTTCCTTTCCTTTTTTCTTCTTTTCTTTTCTCCCCATCTTCTCTCCTGTTCTCCGCTCTTTTCAATTTCGTTCCAATCTCTACCCTCAAGATTTACGTTCCTGACATACGAGGGCCCAACAAAACAGAACGGCAGCATCATCGACGGCCTGACAACCTTCCGCCGCAACATCGTCGGCGCGCTCAAAGGCCAGACCGAGTGCGCCATCTGCTACTCCATCATCTCCGCCGACCGCAAGATGCCCGACAAGAAGTGCCAGACCTGCCGCAACTCCTTCCATCGCACATGTCTGTACAAGTGGTTCCAGAGTAGCGGCCAGAACACCTGTCCTCTATGCCGGAATCCCATTGATTACCTGGGTGCCGATGTCAAGGCGAGGAGGGCGGCAGCTGCATAAGAGGCAGGGAATGCATGAATGTATAGGCCACTGTCGTATTACTTTGATGCTCATGATATTAGACAGCGGAGAATGAGGCATCGCATCGATAGGTTCCTCTTCATGGAATAGACTTGGTCAAAAAAAGCGACTCTTCAACAGCGATAAAGACATATCACAAAAGATATCGAGTCTTTCTAGGCAAGAGGGCATAATCGGCGTGAAATAAATCGGTATATCATAGACAGACTCCCTACATAAGATAGGGGAAATATGTGGGACAACCACCACATGGGCACCTACATATTATCCAGACAAGGGAGGGCACACGCCCTTCATCCTGTCTGTACGTCTCTGTCCGTCTCCTTTTCCTTACATGCTAGACTGGAGAACACAAAATGATGAGAGAAGAAAGATGAGAGAAGAAAAATGGGTAAGCTCATATCCAAGCTCATATCCAGGCCCAGAACGCGATGAACACCCACATCCTCTCATACAGCGTCATACTTCCCGCCCACTATCTTCCGCACCAACGACACATCCACCCACCGTTGCCCATTCGGCAGGGCAGGCGCTCCAACGCCCCCGTCGGCAAACGGATCATCCGACTCAACCCTCTCCTTCTCCTTGCCCTTACTCTCCGCCAAAGCCGCAACGGAGATGCCGCTGCCAACGACGGCCCCCTCCGGCGGCGAATACTCCCACCTCGCTTCCAAGTGGCCCGGTTTCGGTTCGGCGTTCTCCGCGCCGACGATGCGGCATACAATCTTCTGCGGCTCGGACGTGAGCGTCACGTCGCCCAGCCGCCAGTACACCAGATGCCTGTCCTTGAGGTGGGTTCCCGAGGGCTTGGTCTGCGCGCCCGAGGCGCGGGCGCCCTCGTAGGTGGCCACGAAGACGACGTTGTGGAGCGTGATGGGCCTGGGGATCTTGAAGGCTGGGTTGAGGGAGTACTGCAGGAGGAGGCCGAGCTTGTCGCCCTGGGGTTTCCATACGGGACGCATGAGGAGTGGGGCGTGCTCGGCGAGGTTGGCCGGGTCGCCGTTGGGGATGTGCACGCGATAGGTGAAGGCTGGAGAGGTCCTGTTGTGGAGGTGGGAGAGGTCGAGGGTGAATTCGTCGGGTCGGTCGGGAGAGAGGTTGTGGACGAAGATGCGGTTCGGTCCGATGGCTTCGAGGTTGGGGAAGTTGTTAATCCGGATCGTCTCCCGTTCTTTTTTTCCACGTTGGTTAGCCAAGGAAGTGAAACGGTGAAAAGGGTGAAAAGGTGAAAGGGTGCAAATAAGGGAAGCCGGGGGCTCTCACCTCGGTCATCAAACTCGTCGCGATGGTAAGCAAAGGCAATTTCGCCACCAATCTTAGCATTCTTCACAGCGCCGCCGTCCTCAAATGTCGCCGACACCGTCTCGATGATGGAGCAGCTCAAGCCCGGCCCGGCCAATTCAGGGTGCTTAGCGTGAGACAGGCTGGAGAGGGAGTTGGCGGAGCGGATGGACTGAGTATCAGATGTGCCCGCGATGCTCGCCTCGGAGGCAAGGGACGCCACTGCCGGTAGCTTAGGGGTTTGTGCGGCAGACTGGAGGCCGGACGGGGGGAATTGCTCGCCGCTGAGATCTGGTGATGCGACGGGAGAGGGGAAGTATATAGTGTTTCGAACGTCGCGTCTGCCCCTAACAGTGCCGAGCCTCCGGGATGGCGCGGCCATCTGCGTCAAGGTGCTCGCGACGTTGGATATGGCCGCTTTACTGGCTTCCGGGTCTTCTTCGGCAATGGGCGAGCTGGAGATGTTGAGCTTGAATGGCTGTTCGGGTTCCTCAGCGGCGTCCCGCTGGGCCTGGGAGATGGGATCGTTGGCCGGCGGGGGAATGGTGAAGCCTTCTGAGTCCTTGCCGCCCGACACGCTCTGCTGCGATGTTGGCTGGGATGGGGCTTGAGGCGAGGAAACATCTTTACTGCTGGTATCGGCCCCGTTGATCGCAGTGGAGGATCCACGACCAGATGGTTCGGCGTCAGAGGACTGGGAAATGCCAATGCCGATGCCGATGCCTAAGCCTACGCCGTTAGTCGTCGTCTCATGATGGGGTTTTCCGTCCTTATCCCCAGGCGATTGCGGCGGCTCTTCGGGGGAGCCTGGCGTCTCGGCCAAGGCGGACAGGCGGCCGGTGGACTCGGCCAGATTGCTCGACGATGCTTTCGGGGATAATCGACCGTGGCCGCTGTTTGATCTGGAAAATGGGCCCGAGCCTTTGTTGGGTGAAAGTTGGCCGAAGCCGGCATGTGTGCTTTGTCTCCTACGACCGAGCATTGTTCCAATCTTGCTTCGCAGCTTGGACTCTGTTTTGGTTTTGACTTGTTAGTTTTTGTGGCCATCTCGTGGATAGGATCTCACCCGGCGCACCCCCTTGCCGTTGATACCCATACCTTTCTTCTCCTCACGTTTCGCTTCTTGCTTGTGTTCATGTTTGTGCTCATGCTTGGGTTCCGGTTCGGGATCGTGCCGAGTTTCGGCTGGCGCGGAATGCTCGCTGACGGTGTCCTCCTGAGGGGTGGCGATGAAGGGCAGGTTGCTTCCTTGCCTGCTCGGTGGTTTCTTTTCCACCTTTGGCTTTCCTGCGACGACACGCTCCTTGAAACTTGCAATCTCGAGCTCGGTGCTGATCTCCAGCATCACGGCGAGGGTCTCGGCGGCATTGGCCTGGTTGCGCTGAGCCTTGTCGGTTTCATATGTCTGGTACTGCGTCAGGAGATCGCGCAAGTGGTTGATACGGTGCTCGTCAAAGGCCTGCAGGGATTCGAAGATGAACGGGGCTTGGGATTCCCACTGCTGGGTGGCGGATTCGAGCTTGGCGTGGGCCGCATCGAGTTTGTGCATGTTGGCCTTGCCAACCTTCTTCGTCTGGGCTTCGACTTTCTTCTGTGCTTCTTCGAGGTCGCGGGCTACGGTGGCCAGGTTGTCCGAGGTGGCTTGAATATTCAGGGACTCGCTCTTGTTCTGGAATGCGCGAAGAGGACCTTCGACTTCGTTCTCGATACGGCCGGCGAGAAGACGGTGGGAGTCAGCTGAAGCCTCGATAGCTGTAAGGACCTTGTTCCAGGGAGCTTGGAACACACTAAATAGGATGTCGTAATTAGTTCACCAAGATCGAGGGGAAAACGGCGGAAGAAAAAAAAAAGGAAAAGAAAAAAGGGAGAGACTGGACATGTGTAGTCGAAGAGAAAGAAGGGATGGCATACCCCAGGTCCGACTGGCTGTTGGGAACCCGAAACTGCATGAGCCGATGAAGGCCCTGAACATACTGCTCCTCGACTCTCCTCCGTTCCTGTTGTATACGCGTGATGGTCCGTCAGCAATGCGATTGGCGACAGGCTGGGAGAAGCTATGTTCGTGTTTTTGGCCATTCGTGGTCTCCAATAGCCATTGCGCAGCATTCCAGGTGGAGGGAGTCGTACCTGTAGCCAATCCGCGATCTCTACATTGATCCTGTTTATCCTTTTGAGTCGGTCATTGAGTACGGTTACAGCTTGGCCTGGTTGCAGGTGATCCTAATTGTGAGAAATTGCGAAGCGCACGTTAGTGATGGACAGAGCAGAACAGTGGGAGCGCAGTGATGCCCAAGTACAGAGAACATGGAGAGGATGAAACGTAGGGGGAAGATCGAGACAGCTGATGAGCAGAACAAAACCAGAGAGACGTAAGAATGAGGGGAGGCAAGTTTAAGGGACAGGAGCAAAGAAGAAGATTTGACCTACCAGCATAGCTGGATACTCAGTCCGGGGAGTGTCGTCCATGGTGATCCAATGAGGAGGAGGAGGAGGAACCTGGAGAAGCGAGCCTAACAAGAGTGCGCGAGACCATGTGCAGCAAAATCGGCAGCGAGAGCACAAAACATAGCGCGCATATCGATGCTCTCCTATGTCCCGAATTTGGCGATTCGGAGAATCGAATCAGACGGGGAAAAAGAAGAGAGCGCTGGGCGGGAGAGGATTGCAGTTGCAGTTGCAGTTGCAGTTGCAGGTGCAGGTGTGCAAGGTTGAGTGGTGCGGCGATGGAGAGAACACTTGCTACAGAGACGCGGAGAGGGTCCAAAAACGCAGTGATCGGAGCTCCGGTCTGGGTATAGATATGTATATAACAGCATTACCTTAGAAACAGGTCGAACTCCACTGCCGTATGACCCACAGTTTTTCTTCGCCGGTTGGCCAGCCACGGAGACTTAGCATTGTCCTGTACTTCATGATTGGACAGAAGCCATATGCAGACCGGACAAAAGGTCTTGGCGAGTCATTCGTTACATCACCGGCTCCTTGTATCAGTAGCTACCTATCTATCGGGCGTGAGCTGGTAGTTGCATATTAGGAAGCTTCGAAGAAGGTCTCCAAAAAAGAGGCACGTACCCAAGCCGATGTACAAACGTAGAAGTACCTTCGTAATTACCTTATTCAGAGTCGCGGACTCGCTTCCGTCCATTCTCACCGTTATCCCATACCAATACCAACAGCATCCGAAGACAAGATCGATACCAGGACACCGCAACAGCAGACATACAGTACAGTGCCTTTACAATTCCAGGCCCTATGTTTTCTGTCCTGTCCTTTTTAGCTCCTCCATCAAATAGACAAGATGGCGTCGGACTCGGCCGAGTCGGACTGGCGGTCTTCTCTCACGGCATCTGAGCGCTTTGAGAACATCCAGAGGATGTGAGTGTATCACCGCGCAATGCACGTCTAAAAGCCTCAAAGCCTCCAACGCCCCCGGCATAGTCTAGGAACTAACTAACGCTCTCGTAGAAAGGCGGCCTTGGAGTCTTCTGCGACAGATGACCCCTCCACTACGGCCCAGTCAGAAGCCTTCAGCATGGAGACCCAGGCTTATAAAGAATGTACGAGCCGGGTGGGTAAGCCCCTTGCTTAATCACAACTCTTCTCTCCGTCCCCTCCCTACTTTACTTTTTTTCTTCTGTGCTCATACCTAATCTTCCATGTCTCTCCAGGAACAATATGATCAAGTCTGCCTTGTCGCAGGCCGCGGGACATCAGCACCGACAGAGCGCGATGCTGTCAATTCAAACGACCACAGTGATATTGGCGTCGCCATCGGCCCCTATTCAAGCTGCCTGCCGGTATCTAGTGGAGTCACTTCGGAGGTCTTCCGATGCAAGAACCGCGCCCTCAAGGTCATCGTCGAGACACGCAACATTGAGCCGCACAACCCCCACCGCGAAGCCAAGATTCTCGCCTCTTTACGCCGTCCCTGCATCCCGCTTCTCGAGACCTTCCGCGACCAGCACCAGAGATTCGTCCTGACTTTTCCTTTCATGCCACTGACCCTCGCCGACCTCCTCTCCAAAGGTGCCGTCCCTCTTCCCCGCCTGCGGGCGATATTCCGAGACGTATTCACCGCCCTGCGGGACATTCACGCCCGGGGGATCATCCACCGGGACGTTAAACCAGAGGCCGTGTTGCTCGAGAGCCCGGATGGGCCTGCCTACTTGTCCGACTTTGGTACGGCCTGGCATCCTTCCATGTCGATCGCCTCGGAACCATCCTACGGCAAGGTTCTCGATATCGGGACCGGGCCCTATCGTGCCCCCGAATGTCTCTTCGGCAACAAATCGTACGGCACTGCTGTGGATATGTGGGCGGTAGGAACGGTGCTCGCTGAGTGCTGTCGTAATCCGCCCCGGCCCCTCTTCGAGTCGAGGGCGGCACACGAGGATGGCAATCAGCTTGGCTTGATTCTCAGCATCTTCAAGACCCTCGGCACGCCCACCATGGAAACGTGGCCCGAAGCTGCGCACTTCAAGACCCCACCTTTCGAGATGTATAGGATGATGGACGGTCATCCGTGGGATCAGATCTTGCCTGAGGCTGACCCGGCGTTCCGAGATCTCATTTCACGGCTGGTGCGTTATGACAGTCGAAGGGCAACGGCCGACGAGGTGAGTTCAGATTATGGATGACCAGACATGCCCCCTCACCAACAGAGATTATACTGACGATTAATACGCCTAGGCCCTGAACCATGAATGTCTGTCTACCGACAAGGGATAACAAATGGATGTTCTCGATGCACGAAGTTCCATGTCCTGTCAGCCTGTGGATCCGTCTGCTGGTCGGCGTGAGACCCAACCCAGGCTCAAAACTTTTCCTCCTTAGTTCGGACCTCACCTAGGTAGGACGCGTGAAGGGCCACCTGGTGGAGGGACTGACGGATGAAGAGGCCCAGACGAATGACGACAGGCCATAGCCATTGTATGGTGGCTCTGGCTCTGGCTCTGGCTCTGTTCATATTTAATGTCTATGCTGATTTGCCCATAACTGAACAAGAATGCAGATGCAGATGTCGACGGATCCTTTTTAGCGCTAGGCTCTGGAATCTTGTGTTGATGGAGTTTCCGTCATTGCATAGATCGCGAGCTCTTCTCGGTGTCGAAACTCCAGCAACATGAGGCCGGGATGTCTGACTCGGGACTGCCCTTGAACTACTTGCCTTCTTGATTCGAGAGAAAGAAAGGGAAATCTCAGAAGGGCCATCTTCTTTTAGAACCTCGCTTTCCTCCCCATCGCCCCCCTTCTCTCTCTCTCTCTCTCTCTCTCTCTCGCGGTCCTTCATTTCATTTCTCTTCTCTTCTTTTTCCTTTTTCCTTTCTTTTTCTCTTTCAAAGATCCCATCCTCGAAGGCAAGGAGCCAGCATTTCCCACAAGCCAAGGGAAGTACGCCTCCAGGATATGGAAAGAAGTCTCCTTCTTTCCATCCGAGGTTCCAGCCTTGATTCCTCCCTTCACCTTCCCTATAGACCAGACTTCTTCGGCTCCGCGCCCGAATTAAGTATATAAATCCTTCTCAACCCCAGCCCAGACCTCCAGATCCTTTCTTCCCTCTCTCCAAACTCCCGCTTTGCCAGCAAGCTTGCTCTGGAACATATTTGCATCTTTTTTAAGATTGAGCTTCCCCTGCCTTGGCCCAGCTCATCTCGTCTTCCATCATCGTTTCAGCGGACGTCTTCTCTTCTTCTTCTTGCCAAGGGCAGTTTCCAGCGCCCATCATTACGGAATGGGTGCACCGAACATGCCGGCCTCATATGAGGACCAGCCCGGCAATCTTCCTCAAGCGGAAGAAGCTAGCCCGGAGCGTTCAACTTTACCAGATCTACCCGTGGAACCAGAGAAGGTATACGCTGGATGCGTGCCCGACCAGCCAGAGCAGCCAGAGCATGAGATGCCAGTCCGCTCATCTGATGCTGCAGCACAGAGCGCCTCTCCAGGTGTCGTTCCTACAGTAGAGGACTGTGATGGCAACGGATCTACAGGGAGCGCAGTCTCCCACTCTCCTCAGGTGAGTAAATGAAGCCCCGCCATTCAGAGTACACCTAGTTCTTGACGATGTTTCTCTGAGAATGCAACGTCATCGTGCCAGGACTTGGAGAAATGAACTAACGGTATGCGATAGACCTGTGCCAACGCTACGGAGCCTTTCGGCTTATCCGAATACTTGAATGGGATTTCGGGATTGCAATATGTCAAGAATTTTAACGAGCAATTTCCGAATGCAGACGATGGCCAGTCCAATGATGAGGCACGCGAACTCTTCGTGCAAGACGATCGTCAACAGCTACTAGCTGCCATACGTGGCTACTTTCCGGCCGAAGTATTAGACTTAGCCGTGGAGACACCAGACCAGATGACTATGAAACCAGACTTTGGCAGCCCCTATTGTGAGGAGCATGGAAATTCCCATGAACAGAAGGATACTTCCCTTGACCCCCCCAGCTTTGGTGAGCCGCCATTCGATGAATCGGCGAGGCAGAAGCGGACGACCAAGCCGGGCAAGTCGACAGGCAAATCGACAAGACCCCGACGAAAGACTGCGCGAGAACAGGCAGTCAAACGACACGAGAAGGAACGGCGTGAATTCAAGGAGCACGTCCGAAAAGAAATGGCATCGAAAGGACCTGATGTGTCGCCTCAGGACATCGACCTGCCTCAACCCAAGAAAAGACGAAATAGGTCAGGGGGGGCCGCGGCTGGCGCTGTCGAAGAAGAGGCTGACGGGGGACTGAGCCATATTCAGGCGAATGACAAGGAGATCGTAGTGGCCAGAAAGCGACGCCACGAAGAGATTGCAAAGTCAGTCGTTACGACCGGCTTAAGCAACCGACACACTGCAACGCAACGGGCCGACCTCCAAGAAGCCATTGGCGTCTTCGGCTTCAACAAAGTGAGTTTCATCGAGAAAGATGGGGAAAGCCTTTATAGGCTGGCGGGCATGAAAGCTCTCCTTAAGAAGTGGCAGTTGGTTGCCGTTTCGTGGATGGTTAAACGAGAGACGCATATAATACCGCCGTACGGTGGGATCCTCGCTGACGTGCCTGGTATGGGCAAAACAATCGTCTCGCTGGCGGCCGTTGTCGGGAACCCTCCCACGAGGGAGGATATAGAGGCTTCCCAAGCAGCGACGCTTATTGTCCTGCCCAACTCCACGGTTCTAAACCAGTGGGTAGAGCAGATTCATGCCCATGTGCATATCACGGGGAACCCGTACATCTACAAGAGGAGCCAGAACCAACTCGGCGAGCACCAACTCGGTGGTATGCATCTGGTGTAAGAGACATGCCCTTGCTTTGCTCCCACTCTATCACCTCGCGTTTTGCTGAATCTGAAATACTTCTGCTCTAGGCTTACAACGTACTCCGAGCTGCAACGAAGCTATCCATCCCAAAAGCTCCGCCAGAAGATCAGGGAGAAACACAGTCGCGAGGTTGGCGACGGCTCTGGCGAGGTGATCGTTAACGAGCCTGCGTACGAAGCGGAGCTGGATCATCACATTGGTGTCTTGTTTCGTGTCAAATGGTACCGGGTCGTTCTTGACGAAGTCCATCAGATCAAGAACTACGACTCGCATAGTATGTAGAGCCCCCGGTTATTCGCTTTACTTCCTTCCCTTCCTCACCACAGCAATTACTTTTGTGCCTATTCAAGTTGCTAACCTTGGTATAGCCTGCTTCGCAACGGAGCATCTCCAAGCAAAACACTTTTGGGGCCTCAGCGGTACGCCATTGATCAACGGTGCTATGGGTACGTGTCTTTGCCTCTGCAGTAAGTTGGCAGCTTCTAATATTTTTTTTTTTTTTTTTTTGTACAGAGCTGTTTCCCTACTTGAGAGTCATACGATACGAGGAGGAAGAGACGCAGGAGAGATTCGAGGCCAAGTATCTCAAATCGGTAGGGCTCCTACCCGCAAAGGAAGACGTTGAGCTTCCTTGACTCAGGCTGCTCACATATACTTTGTCTGGCAGAACGAGGCAAAAGAAGAGATTGACGCCCTCATCTACCTAATCACATACCGGAGGTATTCGAGGACATCTTTATCCACATAAAGACCAGCAGAGAGCTGACATTGAACCCATTACAGGACCCATGATGACCTATTCCTGGGCCAGAAGATGCTCAGTCTTCCCGTGTCGCATGCGGGTGACCAGTGGGTGACGCTGTCAGCCGAAGAGAGAATCATCTACGAGTAAGGACAGAGGACAGAGCCTCGATATCCACCGAAGATCACTTATATCTTTCTTGCTATCACTACTAGCTTAACCTCCTTGTGGTTCGAGGATCGCGCCCTTGCAAAAGTGGCGTTGCTTCACCGCCAGCGGCAAGCCGTATCGCACCCTTACATGCTTGAGAGTTTCTTCCGCCGGGGGATTGAGGCAGACTTTCTTCGCCAGTATATCGACGAACTATCCAAAGTCGAGGGCAAGAAGCCCGTCTACCTTCAAATTGGCAACTGGATTGACCGTCACATTCTCGAGGAATCTGGCGAGCCGAGGCGAGGAATCGCCACGGACCGCCCTTACCTCCGGCCTTTTGGCAGGTCTCCATTTGGGAGCACGTTTAAGATGACCGGACTTCTCGAACTGGCTTTCAACGAGAAGACGCTGGAGGACACGACATGCGGGATATGTAAGGTTGATGGACCTATCTGCAATCCTGTGGTCACCAAAGAGGTATCCTCTGACAGCCCTGAGCCTTCTCTTGACTAGTCATCATCTCATGTTACGGTGGGAAATTCTGACGTGTCTCTTTTAGTGTAAGCACATCTTCTGTGCGGAGTGCGTCGCTGACGAGATGGACAAGCACACTCTGAGTGGACCTTGCGCGATGAAGTGCCCGACTTGCGACGCGGACTGGAAAGGAAGGGTCGAGCTTGAGACACTTGATACCTCGAAAGAAAAAGTTATCGAAGCCAATATCGCAGCGAAGAAAAACCAGTCCAACCACAAGAACTCGACCAAAAGGAACGTGAAGCGGAGAAGGCCTGTCAGGGAGCAGGAAGAGGACCCAGGTAACAACAGCGTGGCTCGGCGACCTGGCGAAGATTCTCTGGGATTCAAGCCGGCTTTTGGAGAGTGTGAAGGAGAGTTCTTCACCAAGGCCGTCCATTCCGATGAATATGGCGGAAAAGGCGTGCCGGCTCCCGGAGCCAAGGTTACAGCCGTCAAGGACACAGTCTTGCGATGGCAGGAGGAGGATCCAGAACATAAGGGTATCAGTAAGTCGGAAGGACCCGCGCGAGAATTCGGGGTGTTCGAACAGGTTATGCGGCATTCTAGTCCTACTGACGAGCTCGCTCAATCTCGCGATAGTTTTCACCCAATTCATCATGACGTCCCAGATTATCGGACAAATGTTGCAGCTCGAAGGCATCGAATTCGTCTACCTTAACGGCAAGGTGACGCCTCACCAGAAGATCACTGCTGTCAAGGCCTTTTGGGAGAAACCCGAGATAAAGTATATGGTGAGTTCCATCTGACTACCACTACCTACGGTTCCCAAAAGAGACAGAAATGTTTTCATTTCCCCTTCCCTAGACGTAGTTGAACGGTCTTTTCTCTAACGGACATGGCCGGGTTCTAGATCGCATCTATGCGCTGCGGCGGTCAAGCTCTGAACCTGACGTGCGCGAACCGAGTGATCATGGTTGATGTCTGGTGGAATAAGGCGGCTGAAGAGCAGGCCTTTGGACGGGTGTTCCGACTCGGCCAGGTCAAGGAAACGCATTACGTCCGTATCCTGGCGCGGAAGACGGTGGATGAGCGCATACGAGACCTGCAGGATAGCAAGGAGGAGGAGATTTCGCGTGTGCTCCAGGATGATGGGCATGTTCTGTCCGAGCGCTCCGAGTGGGCGATCTTGCATCGGCTGTATCCGGACAATTATTTCAAGATTCTGAAAGAATGCATGGACGAGATTAGGGATGAAATGGCCAAGGGGAAGGGTGGTGGCGGTCCGGAACCTGAGAAGGGGGTGGATGATGGCCCTGGATCTGACAAGGCACTGGGACATGGATGAATGAGAGCCTTTCCCCAACGGGTTATCTCCTAATTACTGAGATGGCCTTTTCAGGGGTTGGTTGTCGGCCTCTGCGCTCTCCCGAGAGTGGAACACCACAGTTGGACGAGGCAAAACTTGATCGTGGATCTGCTGGGAAGCACACAGAATCACCAGGGTTTCATTTGGCTGGCTTGCATAATCTTCCTCTTCTGTACCATCTTCTAGGGTGGCATCGAATATAATCTTCCGGTCGTCTCTTCAGGGGCACATTGACTCGTCATGCACTTATACCTTGCAACTCCGAAAATCAAGTAGAGTGAATCTATCATCCAGGATAACACAATCCTGCCCTAACTTGGTCCTCAGTACCGGGACAATAAATTATAAAAACACCTAAGCCTCGTATCAACGACTATGCTACTTCTTCTTCTTCTGCTTAGCCGCCGCCTTCCGCTTCACCGACGCGACCAAACCACTCAGCTCCCCACTCTCCTTCCCCCCCTTAGACTCCTTTTTCGACTTCTTGACGTCCCTGACAACCTCCTCACCGTCATCCGCCCTCCGCTTCTTCCTGCCTTCCTCGAGCAGCTTCTGCATGCCCTCGGTGGGCTTGAACTTGGGGTTGGACGGGTCAATGGCGTACTCGTGGCTCTTGAACACGGCCTTGAACCGGTCGTCGTCCACATCCATCTTGAACGCCGTCTGGAGGCCGGCACCGCGCTCGTCGTCGTGTTTGCCCTTCTTCTTCTGGAACTTCTTCTTCTTCCGCGACATCTTCTCCGCGCGCGTGATCTCGTTCATGTCGAAGTGGTCGAGCTGGCCCGTGCCGCCGCCGTCGCCGCCGTCGCCGCCGTCGTCCGCCATGAGGAGCTGCAGCTCCGCCTTTTGCGCCGCCTTCTCCGCCTCTTCTGCCTCCCGCGCCGCGCGCTTGGCCAGCCTTTCTTCCTTCCGCATGGCCGTCTTGGTCTTTTTCGTTTCCGTCGCTTCGGCTGTGAAGAACGGGTCGTCGAAGCCGAGGTCCTCTCCCTCCTCCTCCTCCTCCTCCTCCTCCTCTTCTTCTTCTTCTTCCTCTCCCGCGTCTTCTTTGGCGTCCTCCTTGGACGCCGTGGTCGGGTCGCGGCCCTCGCGCCGTGCCCTGGCCGCTTCGCGTTTCTGCTCTTTCCTCTCCCGCTCCTTGCGCTTGTACTTCTCAATCGTCGTCTCTTCTTCCTCAGTCTTCTTCCCTTCCGCCTCCGTCAGCGCGGGGGTGAAGGTGATTTGCATCTCGCCGACGGGACCTTGCTTGTTCGGTTTGGACGCCTCTTCGTCGCCCAGACCCAGCGCAGCTCGCATCTTACGCCGCGCCAGCTCCTTCTTGGAAGGCTTCTCCTCCCCTGCCCCGCCGTCCTGCCGCCCCTCCTCTTCCTCGATATCGTCCGCCTCGCCATCGCTATCGCTGGCCAAGTATGCGCGAAGGTCGTTCTCTTCAATGTCGTTCCGGCTTCCCGTGAACGCTCGCTTGATTGTTTCTTTCCTTGCTGACTCTTCCGGGTGGAGATCCCACGTCAACTTGACCTTGGAGTGCTGGAGGGCATCCGTGGTGAATTCGACGGGCTTGTAGTTCTCGGGCACCTTGTCGCATTCGTCGCGGGGTTCGTCGTCGAAAGTGACGTCGTCCGGGACGAATCTCAGATCCATAAAGTTGGACGACGACTGGTATTCCGTGCCGTCTGTTGCTTCGTAGATTTTTTTGGCGGTTTCCTTGTCGGAGAATGTCATGACCGCATAGTAATATCGCAAGCGGTCCAGTTGGTACGCCCGCAACGCGTCGCCGTCAAAGTCCTTATCGTCCCCTTCCTGTATGAGGGACTTTTTGATCTCCTCATCGGCTTCCGGATCGCTCGAGTCATCGCTGTCGCCGTCCCCCGCGCCGTCCTCGTCGTCCGAGTCGGAACCGCGGCGCTTGTGAGAGGACCTGAAAAGCTCCTTGGGCGGGCCCTCGAGTTCTTCCCGCTGCATCCGCTCCTTGCCGAATTCGCTGGGGTAGACGGCGATTTTTGCTATCCTGCCGCCGTTGGCTGGGAGGAAACTGCTGAACAACGCCATGAGGTCGCGGGACTTGACGTGGTCCCAGTCGAGGTTGACGACGGCAATGCGGTTCGTGACCTCGCCCGCTTCGACCTGGGCCTCTTCGTCGCGTAACCGCTGCATCGAGGCCTTGCCGTCGACTGCCGCACCGCCGTCCTCCTCGTCCTCTTCCTCATCTTCGTCGTCGTCGTCCGAAGATGAATCCGAGTCGGAGGACGAAAACCCGCCGCCTCGTGCTGGGTCGTACCTGGCATCCGCTTCCGCAAGCTCGCGTTTGACCTTTTCATCATCGTCGATCTCGCTTATGTCCGCCTGGTCCTCCTCTGCGTCACTTGCCGGCTTTTCGTCCTCGTCCTTCTTGTCATCGTCCTCGTCGTCTTGTTGGTATAACCGCTGGAGGGCTTTCTTTTTGGAGTCGGTCTTGATCTTGCGGCCGTACCGATCAACCTTGGAGGCGGATGTGAATTCGTCGTCCTTGAGCAGGCGTGAGAAGCGCTTGTCGATCGTGGTCTTGGCTTTGCGCTTCGACGGAAGACGGAAACGAGGGTCCGTCTCGAAATTGGCGAACCGAGGATCCGTGATCTTGTTCCACTTTACCATGATGTCGAAGTTGGCTGTAAAGCGAACTACGAGGTGGGCGTGGCGACGGTGATCAAGTGAAATTCGAGGGTAATCCGCGGATCTGCTTCGCACATTTCGTAGGCGGTCGCAGAGGGGGGGGGATTTTTTTAGTGGGACGTCCGGCAGAATTCTTCAGCGAAGCTTCACCGAAACTGACCGCCTCGATACAAAGTCACTGAAATGCGTGATTTGATTGGTCCTTTTTCCTCCAATGAGACAGCACCCCAACGTTAATTCCCATCTGTCCGTTCAAGTCAAACACAAACATGATACCGGGCATCGCCTAATGAAATACTCTATACCGTATATGAATCGGAGATATCTCGCGGAGCCAAATTTGTTCGATCACGCATGTCTCGGCAAGTTTCTCTAATACGTCCTGGCGGCTGATGCTCGATCTAGAGTAACTTGAGGGACATGGCCAAAAGCACGTACATACGAAGTAATTACCTATTGACTTGGGCGAGAGATCAACCGTGGATGCGGGCCGTTGCCGGGGAGAACTCGTTGGTGTTGACAAGATGATGCTCGGACAAATAAAACGGCATGACTGGAGGCAACATGGATACCCGGAGACTGCACAAATCACCGAGAGCAGGCAGGCATTCTGTGTGGGTCATGGCGATTCGGCGATCACAGTGGTGTCGTCTCGCAAGAGCGGGAGATGAAGCAGTGGGGTTGTCTGATGGGACGAGAATTATGTACGCCATTTCTAGTAACCAATGACTACTTCGCAGGAAGTAATAAATAACGAAATATACGAAAGTGCGTTGTACATGTATTATCCAGTTGCTAGGTCAATTACATTTATTTATGAAGCAACGAAGCCCGGTATGAATTATAACCTACGAAGTTGTGGTTGTTGGGGTGGTGGTGAATACAACGTATGTATAATACACAGACGTAGCCGCCCAGTAGATTCACATCGGACGCGCGAGATAACAGATACAGTCACAGACACGACAGGCCATCTTCATTTCGTGGCCTTAATCCCTCTAACAATCACAAAAACAACACCGTTGATCTTCCGATGCCATTCTTACCCCGGAGTTCAGGTCCCCAGCGAGGCTGGGAATCGTCCACTCAGTGTGTGCCACGACAAGTTGTCACCCAGCAGGCGTGCGCTGGCAGAAGAAAAAGGTGCATATGCGAATAAGGTAGGTACATATTTCGGATGTACTACGTACCCAGATGCATAGATCTGCGAACCGCCCACTCGCATAGCACAGCACAGCACAGCACAGCATCAGCACGGATACGCCGTACTTCATATGTACAGAGGAGCATGGACATGGCCTCTAAGCAGACCAGACGGTTTCCCGGGCCCAAACGTAGAAATTGGGCGCCAGACTGCAAAGGCCACTGGTTAGGCGACGTCTATGAGCTCGTACATTACTCCATACTGCGGGCATTGTGGTCAATGCTGGTTTATGCACGTCATATCCTGTTCGTATATGATGACTTCGAGATGGATTTTATAGCCGAAGGCGTTTTTGTAGGTCAATTCTGCGTCGTAAAGAGCTGTTATACACTAAAGTTGGGATGGATTGTGAATGGAAAAGAGACACGAGGTTGGGCTCTCGTTGTGTGTTGTGTGCGTTCGTACGAAGTACATACGAACGAAGTAGTATCAATTCCCTGTCCAGTCTTCAGGACACCCAACCCAACCTCTTGGTCACACCGCACCGCAGCGAGTAACATCGGAGCTCCGAGAGTTCTTTATACGGATACGGAGTACTCGGTTAAGAGGTCGTAAATCAAGTCTGTAGCTGTAGCGCTCGGTATCGTCTCAATTGCCGTCGCGCACCATGAATAATTATATTGTCGGTATATGCAGACAGGTATTAATATTTGGCTTGCCGAAGGCATTCCGGTTACTGAAGATGCTGGACGGGTATGGAAGTACAAAGTAGGTGGTCGGCTACTTTTCCATAAAGTAGCGTCTGGTGTTCCTCCACTAAAAAACGGCCATTGGTGGACGGCGAGACGCTAACAGGGCGGGTCGCTCTTCAGGGTCCACCGTCCCTGTCTTCCCCTGTCGGTTCACAGGGTCGGTCCCCTGCCAGTTTAGCGGGCTAGCCCATGACCTTGTGCCAAAATGGGCGACCGCTCATTTTATCACCGAGTGAACCCGCCTTGACCATGGGCCCATCATGTGAAATAGAGCAAAGCGGGAAGGAGGCCAAAAAAAAAAAAAAAAAAAAGGAAAAAAAAAAGGAAAAATACGCCCAGAAAAATACCTGCAGGAAAAACCGACCGCCTTTTCACCACGCCCCCCATTCCTCCCACTTCCTCTGCTACTCCCCTCCTCTCCTTCCTTCCACCCCCTTTCAACTTCCCACCAGCCCGCTTGTATTCCAGGCGTCATTTTCCTCCGCTGTACATTATATCGTTTGCTCAGGTCACTATGGGCAACGTCGTTTCTGTCTTCCAACCCGGCGGCGGTGAGGGCAACCCCAAGACCGAAAGGGCCGAGCTAGAGAGGCAGCTCACCGAGCAAAAGGAAACCATTGATGCTCTCGAGAGCGATCTTTCGAAGAAGGAGAAGGAGTACAACACAATCTCCGAGGAGGCCGAAGACCTACGCCAGAAGATCATCGACCTTGATGCCAAGTTGACGACGGCCAGGAAAGAGGACCAGGCTGAGGTCACCCGGCTACGGTCCGAACTCCGGACAAGCAAGGATGAATCCGCAGCACGGCTCCGTGCCAACGATGAGGCCACCGCCGGCCGTCTTCAGGAGCTCGAGGCTGCAAACAGGCAGTTGACCACCCTCCGTGAACAGCTCGAGAAGCTCCGGCAAGACAAGTCCACCGTGGCTGATGAGCTGGCGGCTGCCAGCAAAGAACTAGCCGAGGCCAAGGAGGAGCGTGCTGCTCTCGAGTCCTCCCTGCGGGACGAGATTACCTCGTTGCAGACCAGACTAGCCGATGCCGAACAGGGCCAGGGCAACCTTCAAGAGACCCTCAGCAAGCTCGAGTCCGACGCTGCCTCCGCCAACAAGTCACTGGCCGAGAAGGACGAGGCACTCACCACCCTTCAAGGCCAACTATCCACTCTAGAGGGCGAGCACCAGCAGCTCAAGTCCGACTCCGAGGCCGAGCTCGCGGCCGTCAGCTCCAAGTACAGTGCTCTACAGCAAGTGCTCGACAAGCTCAAGGCCGATACCGACTCGGAGCTCTCAGCTGCGAAGAAGGACCTCTCCGACGCTCAAGAGCAGCTGGGCTCCCTCCAGCAGAACCACGACACTCTCAAGTCCGACTCCGAGTCTCAGCTCGCTGCCGCCAAGCAGGATCTGTCAGATGCCACCGCCAAGCTGACCACCCTCCAAGAGTCCCATGACAAGTTGAAGACCGACGCCGAAGCCGAAGCGGCCACGGCCAAGAAGGATCTCGACACGCTCCGGGTGGAGCTCAATACACTCAAGGAGATCCATGAAAAGCACAAGACAGACGCCGAGGCGGAGCTCGAGTCCACCAAGAAGACCGTGGCCGAGTGGGAGGAGAAGTACAGTGCCCTGCAGCAGGCTCAGTCGGACGCGGCCGGACAGACCTCGCTGCTACAGAAGGACCTGGCTGAACTGCAAGCCAAGTCCGCCGACCTCGAGAAGGCAAACGAAACCCTCAAGGAGAGCTCTTCCAGCGAGTTGGAAGCTGCCAAGAAGGAAGCTGCCACCTGGCAGGAGAAGCACACCGCTCTCGAGGCGTCCCAGGACACCCTTTCCAAGGATCTCGAAGCTGCCAAGCAGGATGCCGCCAGCTGGCAAGAGAAGCATGCCAGTCTCGAGGCTTCTCGCGATGCTCTGTCCACCGACCTCGAAGCTGCGAAGGCGGCCATTGCCACCTCCGAGGAGGAGAAGAAGGCCACCGAGGCCAAGCTCGATACCCTCACCGCCGACCTCGAAGCCGCCAAGCAGGACGCCGCCAGCTGGCAAGAGAAGCATGTCAGTCTTGAGGCTTCTGGCGGGGCTCTGTCCACCGACCTCGAAGCTGCCAAGAAGGCTCTTGCCACAGCCGAGGAGGAGAAGAAGGCCACCGAGGCGAAGGTCGATACCCTCACCGCCGACCTCGACGCGGCTAAGACGGACGCCGCCAGCTGGCAGGAAAAGTACGCTGCTCTTGAGACCGCTCGCGATGCCCTGACCGGCGACCTCGAGACTGCCAAGAACGACCTGGAGTCGGCCAAGTCGGTTACCGTCGCTGTCGAGGAACAGAAGAAGGAGGCCGAGGCCAAGGTCGAGTCTTTGACCAAGGACGTTGAATCTGCTAAGCAGGAGGCTGAGGCTACCAAGGCCGAGCTCGAGTCGGTGAAGAAGGACGTCGAAGCTGCCAAGGCCGATCTTGATACCGTGAAGACGGAGGTCGACGCTGCCAAGAAGGAGGTTGAGGAAGCCAATGCCGGCCTGGAGACCGCCAAGAAGGAGATTGAGACCTTGAAGGCCGAGCTCGAGGCTGCTAAGAACGACGGCGCCTCTGCCGACGAGCAGAAGAAGGAAGCCGAGGCCAAGATTGCGTCTCTGACGCAGGATGTCGAGGCGGCGAAGCAGGAGGCCGAGACCAGCAAGGCCGAACTCGAGACTGCCAAGAAGGCGGCCGAGGACACCCAGACCGAGCTTGAGGCGGCAAAGAACAACGTCGAGACCGCTCAGACCGAGGCTGAGGCGGCCAAGACCGAGTTGGAGGCGACCAAGAAGGAGGTCGAGACTACTAAGACGGACCTCGAGACGGCCAGGAAGGAGGTCGAGACAACCAAGTCCGAACTTGAGGCGACAAAGACCGATATCGAGGCTGCTAAGAAGGAGGGTGAAACGACCAAGTCGGAACTGGAGGCCACTAAGAACGACGTCGAGGCCGCTAAGAAGGACACGGAGTCTCTGAAGAAGGACCTCGTGGACATCAAGACCACGCTCAACACGGCCAACAGTGAACTCGAGGCCGCGAAGAAGGAGCTTGAGACGGCGCAGGCTGGTCTTGTTGCCGCCGAGGAACAGAAGAAGGCTCTTGCTGATCTCGAGGAGGCCCAGAAGAAGCTAGAGGAAGAGCTCGCTTCCGAGAAGGAGAAGGCGACCAAGGATGTCGCTGAGCTTGAGAGCAAGCTCAAGGCTTCGACGGAGGAACAGGACTCTCTGAAGAAGGCATCCGACGAGCAGGCTTCGAAGCTTCAAGCTCTCCAGGAAGAGCACGACAAAGACGCCGCTAAGATCAAGAGCCTCGAGGAGGAACAGGCTTCCCTCAAGAAGCTTCAGGAGGAGGCCGAGGCCAAGGTCTCCACGCTCCAGGAGCAATTCGAGGCAGCCGAGAGCAAAGCAGCCAAGGCGGCCGAGGAGCTCGAGTCGCTGAAGAAGGTAAGCAAGAACCCCATCGCTCCCGCCTCGGCGTGACCATCATTTCAAATCCCCTCGCCCCCTTCTCATCGCCGGCTCGACTGACTCTAACTCGCCGCTCGTATAGGAAAAGGAAACCCTCGAGACCAAAGCTTCCGACCTCACTGCCGAGGCGGAGAAGACCAAGAAGGCCGAGGCCGACCTGAAGGAGCTGCAGACGAAGCTCGAGACCGACCTCAAGGAGCTCCAGACCAAGTTCGAGGAAGCGCAGGCCAACCTGGCCACGGCCCAGAGCGAGAAGCAGGCTGCGCTGGACAAGGTCGAAGCCAGCGAAAAGAAGCTGAAGGAATTTGAGGAGAAGCCGGCGGCTGCCACTGAGCAAGCCGAGGCTGCGTAATGAGGAAGAACTGGAGAGAGAGGGGGGGAAAAGGAGTGGAGCGGTTCATGATGCATGAAGTTGAGATGACGTCCCGCAAGGGGAGGAATTATCATGACTGGTGGGCCATGAATGAGCAACGCAACGCTAACGCTAACGGCTAACGCAACGCAACGGCTGATGCACTTGTGCTTTCTATTCTCCACGATGATACCTATTTGCAGTTTTTACCTCTTAATGTATGATTGGTTTTTTGTTTTCTTTTTTTTACTTAGTTGTTAGTTTTGTTAGATGAGCTTTCCACAATGCAATGCAACGCAATGATTTACTTTACTTGCGATGTCTTCATGTGTCCCGGTGCACGCGTGGACTCTATTCGCACGTCGTATACGGGTGCATCCTCGTCGGTTCCTACCTTAGTGGTTAAGAACGATGCCGGCTAATTCATGTTATGTCCCCTCTTGTTGTTCTACCGTTGGCTGTGTAGGGGCTTGTTATGCTGCATGATGGTAAAAAGTTGCTTCCCACGCTGAGTTCTAAATGCAAGTTGTTTGAACATCCATGCCCCAAGAAATGGGATGATATCACAGTCGAACCTGGCAGCCAACAGTGACAATGAGAGAATACGGATGGCTTCCCCTTACCCCGCACGAAGGTATAAACGAGGAATTTCTCCTACCAATACCCCCGCATAGCTGCTCCGAAAAACTACAACCCCGTGCCTTGTTTCGTGAGGTCCAACCACGTTTCGACTAGAATCCCCTTCTCCGCAGAACCAACCCCCGCATGACTCCTCACGATTCCTCAACGGATTACCTACCTTAGGTAGATGCACCCACGTGAGTTCCATGTATGTTTCGGTCGTTGCGTAGGCAAGTTCGTACATCTCTAAATACTTTTTGAAATGGCTTGGTAACATTTGAAATACTGGCCCAGCAACTTTACTCGGCAATCCCGCAGAGGCTATGGCCTTCCACAGCATGGCTCCTCCCACCCAGCGACTCCGTCGTGGACCCCCCCACGTAAGATATCAGATGTCATCACGTGATTGTGCTTGTTGGAACCCTACCGACACCTCGACTAAATTAGTCACGACTATGGATCCAAGAGCGACGAAAGGAAAAAAGGAAGGAAGAAGAAAAAAGAGGAAAGAGGAAAGAGGAAAGAGAGAAAAAAAGGAGCACCTCCGAGGATGTGCCAGAAAATATGGACAATCCGCGAATCGAACGCGGGACCTTCAGCATGCTAAGCAGACGTTATACCACTAAACCAATCGCCCATTACTTGTTGTTGATTGGAGGGGTGAAACTTTGGTAGAAGGTTCTTTCCGCGGCGTTAGGATTGAATTCATTTCAACGCACCAGCAACGGAGAGCACCGGAGTGGGGACAAGTGGATGAACCGGACGTTGAAGAGCCCTTGCTCTCCCAAGTCCAGCCCTCGTAGGCTGGGTTGCCCGGTTGTTGGCAAAGGCATAAAAACTGCAACCCTCTTGAACCGGAATCGATTCCACCCACTTCCATTTTGTCCGAAGTGAAAATAAACAATTCATGTTAATTGATGCTCTCCTCTACAACCGTCGTTGTACACGTAATGTACATGATGATCCTACTCTTGGCCTGAATCGTGATACACCATAAGCTATTGTCCCTTCTAGCGGATGACTGTCCACGGAATCCCCGCCCAATCCACGGAGGGAACTCATAAACGAAGAATGAAGAAGAAAGCCCATAGGGAGAGGTGAAAAGAAGGGTACTCTTTTGCACTGTGGAGAAGGGACACACGAGCGATGGGTAATAATGGGGTGCGGTGGACCGAACCCGCGTTCCCGCAGCCCACCCATGGACTCCTCCCCCAAAGACATCCATATACCTCGCAAACTCGTCAAATGCGGTGGCCCGTACTACACAAAGCAGCACACAGAAGCATGGAACGCATAACATAGGACAGAGAGAACCGATCCCTCACACCCTCTGAGCAACCAAACTCATATAAATACCCCAGAGCAAGCCAACAAAACTTAGGAAGACAATGCGCCGGTTGACAGGCACGAAGCTGAAGCTGATAATAGACGCAATAGGCCAGATCTTATACCCGGCCACGATAATCGGGATGGTTTCCTATCATTTCCCAATCACATCAGCCAAGTCGCAGGGAACAGGAGGAACAAGAGTATATACATACAGTCTGGATATTATACCAAATCTGGCTCCGGTCCTGCCCTTTCATGAACCCCATGATGACAAGGAAGGCAACCGTGTTGAAGATGGCGCCGAGGGTGATGCAGTCGACGAACCACTTGGTCAGCGTGTTCTGCAGGCTGAACTTGGGCTGCTGCCCGGCCGACGAGGCCTCGTCGTGCTTCTTCTCGGCCGCCAGGGCCGCGTCGACCGGTTTCATCTCCACGTCGCTCAGCCGCCGGCTCGGCCGAGACGACGACGAGGACGGAGACGGGTACGCCGGGAACGTGCGTTCCAGGAACTGCTGCCAGTGGTAGTTCGGCGGGGCCGTGATCAGGGAGAGCGTCACGAAGCGGAGGAACTGGATGATGTCCAGAGAGAAGGGGCGCTGAGTAGTATTTACAGTGTCAGTGGTACTTCGTGTCCTTTTTCCTGTCTAGTTTCCCTTGTCTCTTTTTCTGCTGGGGTTCTGAGTCGTCGGGCTATGGATCAAGAAGGGACAAAAGAGAGATGGATCCGAGGCTCTCTTGATGAGAACGAGATCGAAGGAACAGAGAGTGGATTGTGAGAGGGTCACGTGATATCGTGATGCTGGGGACCCAGCGAGGCAGGGGACGAAGACGGGCGGACGAGGAAACCCGGGTTGGCCCTAATCAAAACAGAGACTCGTCAAAACAAGATTCTATTCGCTTCTCCTGACCTTGTTTTGGTACGCCACAATGATTTGTGCGCAGATATTGGAAGCCGATGATAAGACCGTCGCTTGAAGCGTGGCCGTGACGATGGGAGACGGCATCTTAGGGATTGAATGCTGAACGTATGCACGGGGAAACAGAAGAAGAAAGGAGAATGAACAGCGAAAAGAGAGACAGACAAACGCCGGTATGAACAGGATGAACAAAGTATGTTTCCAGGTCTCGGTCCGTGGTCTCAGGTCGTCGTCAAAATACCAGACAGGTTTACGAGACAGAAAAGCGGGTAGCCACGTCACGTGGACTTGTATGTGTTGGTCGACGGTCATCATTCGTGAACCCCTGAGCCCTTGAACTCCTGAACCCCTGAAAATCCTGACCCCCCTCGAGTGTCCCCCATTTCCATCACACCACACACAAGTACAAAGACCAACATTCTCCGTCAACCATAAGAGTCCAAGCAAAGACACATTAATGCGTATAGATTTGGCTCGTTTTCTTGTTTCTTGCACTCGAAGGAGGAAAAAAAAAGAGAAAAAAAGAGCCGCTACTAATCAAAGACAACTCATTCCATCCCAGCCCGCCACCGCGCCAAAACCCCCTTCAACGGGTTCCGTCCCCGAAACCGCAACCACGTCGCAAAAAAGACCACAGCGTAGTTGAACGCAATAAACCCGCAAAAGACCCCAAAGTCACGCCAGATGTTCCGGTAATACACGCTGAAGCTGCGTCCAAACTCGTCTCCCGTCGCATACTGGCAAAACTCACACATGCCGTCGTCTCCCGTCCGCACGTACCCCATCCCCACCTCTTCGATGTAGGGCTGCACGTACTCCTCGCAGCTCATCCCGTCGGGGGCATCGAACCGCGCCAGCTCGTCCTGCGCGCATCGGACCGGCTGGTCGTGTATCGCCGCCGCCAGGAACGCCTCGAGGAGGTAGTGGAACGGCGAGAGCCAATACATCCAGCTCCGCCAAAACGTCGGAAGCTGCGCCGGCGGGACCACCACGCCGCAAAAACTGACCACGAACAGGAAGAAGACAGGCACCAGCAGCGACGCCAGCAGCTGGTTGGGCGCCAGCGCCGCGATGGCCTGCCCGAAGCTGACGTAGTAGAGCTCGAACAGGACGACGAGCAGGAACGCGAACCCCGAAGTGAAGGACGACACCGCCGTTCCGAAGACGCCGAACCACCAGCAGCAGTAGTAGACGGCCCCCGCCGCGATCGCGTAGGGCACCTCCGCCGCCACGGCGCCCGTCACCCACGCGGCCCACGAGTAGATCTTGGCGCCGTTCTCGCGCGACTGGAAGACGTTGCGGCTGTGCAGGAACACGGGCTGCAGCTGCTGTATCAACGGCGGGGCGATGGTCAGCGTCATGAAGATGGAGAAGAGCCGGTTCTGGTAGTCGACGCTCGAGTATCCCAGCTTCCAGAACGTGAACGTGTTGAATAACCCCGTCAGGATGTGCAGCATGAACTTGCCCACGATGTAGCTCGGCGATCGCCAGTATGCCACGAACGGTCGCTTCACCACCTGCGCCATTTGCGTCCGTAGCGGCGTTGCGAATTCGCGGTCGTCTCGGAGGTTCGCTGCCGGTTCGACCTCCCGCCGCTGCGCGATCATCGCCTCGATTTCGTGTGTTCGCGCCTGCCGTTGCTGTGATCGTTCCCATACGTCGCCCCAGTCCGGCCCACGGTAGTTCGGGTCGCCCGCACCAATGGTCTCGAGCATGTACTCGGCCGGGTTGGCATGGGGAGGACACTTGGGAGCCCCGTGCGATTCCAGGTACCCGATGAGCTCCTGGCTGTCTTCACCCAGGGGCCCATGGTACGCGATGCGCCCGCCAGACTTGAGGAGCAGCAACTCGTCAAAATGCTCGAATAACACGGCCGACGGCTGGTGAATGGTGCAGAGGACCGCTTGCCCGGCATCGGCGAGCTTGCGGAGAAATCGAACGATATGGAATGCGGCTCCGGAGTCGAGACCCGATGTCGGTTCGTCGAGGAACAGTAACAGGTCCGGTTTGGCCGCGAGCTCCACTCCGATAGTGAGCCTTTTGCGCTGCTCAGGATTTAGCCCCTCGCCGACCTTGCCAATCGTTGCGCCAGCAATATCACGCATTTCCAAGAGGTCAATAATGGTCTCGCAGTAGTCGAGCTTCTCCTGCTTGGGCGCTTCCCGAGGTTGTCGGAGCAGGGCCGAAAACTGTAGAGCCTCCCGGACTGTTGCCGTGGGTTCATGCACGTCCATCTGTTCGGCGAACCCGGTCGCTCTTTGAAACGATTTAGGGAGTGGTCGTCCGTCCACAAGGAACTCGCCCGTCCCTGTACCGAAGTCGAGACGCTGCGCCAGAGCGTTCAGCAACGTCGTCTTTCCCGCACCTGTTACAGAAGTCAGTAAGCCGATGCGCATGTGAGCCGTCATTCCACGAGGCCACTGTACCTGAAGCACCCATGAGGGCGGTGAGCTTTCCGGGACGGACATAGCCTTGGATGTCCTTAAGCAGCGTCCTCTCGCCCTTTTCGTATGGTATCGTGTAGTTAACGTCCCGAAAAGTGAAGACGGTCTCATTCCTCGCAACTCGATTAACAGCACTATCGCTCTTCTCAGTTTCCTTCTTCTCCTGAATGCCATTACCGTCGGGCATCGTTTGCGCAGAACCCGCAGCAAGGCCTGACTCCACATCGGACCCCTTCCCGTGCCGCCCTCCGGTTTCGATGTTGTTCTGGGTCGACTTTGGGACCTGACCCCTCTTGAACACGGTAATCGCACCTCCGCCGGCGTTCGGCTTCATCAACTCCATGCCAACCGCACCCAGGAGGACGAAAATGACAAAGAAGGCCCAGAGGAAGCCGAAATTGCGCCACAAATGCGCCCGACTGTACGTGAAGGATTCCTGAATGTAGTTGGAGCCCGCGACGGACGTCGAGCCCGGCTCGCTACCGCACAGCTTGCAGGACTGGTACGGCGGCCGAGCCTGGGGTCCCAGTGGGACCAAGTAGGGCGGTTCGCATCGAAGGTCGAGGTTGTAGAACTCGTTTGCGACGAGGCATTCAAAGCCGTACTGGAGCCAGTTGATCCAGCGGAGCCAGCTGAACCAGGGGTGCATAGAACTGGGTGGGATGAGATAACCAGTGTAGACAATGATAACCTGGACGGAAATACCGGTGAAGCGGGTGGCAACGTCCATGGTCTTGCACCAGGCGGAGATGGCACGGAAAAAAGCATACGTGACCATCGTGACGAGCCACAGAATCAGACAGGCGATGAAGAACTGCGATGCCGTCCGGGCTAGATTAGACATGAAGTAGATGATAATGTTGAAGAGCATGACTTGTACGAAGATCAAAGGTACGTCGACAACAGTCTGCGCGATCGCATAAGCAGCAGGACGGTAGAAGGAGAACGACTTGTGCTTGAGCAAGATGGGCTTGGACTCGAAAGCGGCGGTCTGCTCAGCAAGCGCGAGCAACGCGTTGAAGAGGAGGAGGAAGAACAGCGTGCCCCCGCGAGGGAACGCCCCGGCGGCGGTGGCCGGCAAGTTGAAGAAGAGACTGCCGACGATGAGCCCCTGGAAGACAAGGCCGCCCCATTTACCGAGCAAGGAGGCGCGATCGCCTGCCATGATGAGGAATTGGCGCTTCGTACAGGCAATCACCTGCTGATGGAAAGGAAGCGTGTAGTTTTTCTTCTCCGTCTCCTTCGTCACGGCAGCCTCCCGTTCCTGGACCTGAGCCGCCAGGTGGGTCTCAAACTCTTCCATGTCGGCCTTGTTCCGCCGGTAGGCTTCGCTGCGGCGGAAGGCGTCGGAGAATTCGTCGGGGGACCGAGGAATTCAGTCTTCCCAGCCGGGGCGCACGCTCCGCTCGTGTTCGTCGCTCACCGAGGTCAGGAAATCGGCGGTAGTCCAGCGCTCGGGGCAGTCGAAGCCCAGATCGAGGAAGTACTGCTTCGCGTTCTCGGCCGGGCCAAAATAGAGACACTTTCCCTTATCGATGAGAAGGACCTTATCGACGAGCTCGAAAAGGGGCTCGCCGGCCTGGTAGAGGGAGACGGCGGTCGAGATATTGGCCATATTGGTCATGGCGCGGATGGACCGCACATACTCGAGCGCGGTACTAGCGTCGAGACCCTTGCTGGAGTTGTCCCATCCCTGGACGGAAGCTCGCGTGACCATAGCCTCGGCGATACTCACCCGCTTCCTCTCGCCTCCCGAGACGCCCCGAATGAACTCGTTGCCAACCTTGGTGTCGAGGGTGTGCTCGATCCAGAAGAGTTTGGCCACGACCCGCATGAACTCGTCGACGTAGTCCTTGCGGCTCTCCCCTTCCAGGCGGGAATGCTTGCCGGGGGTCCGGGTCTGCAGGGCGAACTTGAGGGTCCGCTTGACGGACAGCGTGGCGTAATGAAGGTCGTCCTCGGGGTTGTAGATGACTTCACCCCGAAACAGCTTGGCCATGTCTCGGGCACTGGTCCCGCCATAGGTGACCTCTCCCTCGACTGCCTCGAAGCCGGAGCGCTGGTTGCAGAACGCCTCGAGGAAGGTGGAACAGCCGGCGCCGGGACGACCGAGGACCAGGAGCAGCTCACCTGGGCGGACACAGCCGTCAAAATTGCCGATGAGATCTCGGACCGGGGGTCTGGCAAAAGCAGCTCGTGGGCCTTTGGTGAAGAGGGTTCTGAGAGTTCGTGGCAAGGCCATGAAGATGTCGCCGACGGTGGGTTGCAAGCTGGCACCGAGTCCAACTCCCTTAACGGTAAGATGCCGGAAGACGACGCCACTATGGCGAGTTTGGGCTTCCTCAGACTGTTCCTGTCGTGTCTTTCCGAATAGACGGGCCATGAGGATATTGAGTTCCTCGGTTTCCTCTTCGAGTTCCTCGGCGGCGGGCGCAGTGGCACCAGAAGTACGACGGCGGGATAGCATCTTGAATAAGTCGTATTCGGTTAGGTTGGTACGCTGGTGCTGTAATGCTGGTCTCTCGGTGTTGGGGCCAGGCTTCAGAGGGACATGTTCGATGGTTCCCGTAGAGGAGTGATGGGAGCTGCTGGGGGTGACAGGACCGTCAGAAGAGTGTGAGGTAGATATGGCTGCATCATCTTTGTATTCGTCCGGCAGTCCCCTTGCTGATTGAGGGGCCGACATGGGCATCGTTGGAGGAGCTTTACCGTCTTTGATGCTTGGATGCTCCTCTCTAAGCATGGTGCTGCTATCAGTAGAAGGGCGCCGTGACTGTGGGTTCCCGGATGTCGAACCCTTCTTTGAGGTAGTAATGGGGAAGTAGGTGCCGACATCATGTTGTGAATTTCTAACAGAGATGGAAAGGTCTGTTGAATTATCGACAATGTGGTCATCATGTTCTTGGTCCTGGTCCTGGACAGGAGTTGAATGGTTACCAGTGGAAACAACGCTGGGAGTGATGGGAAATCCACCTGGGATATCGGTAGCCTTTGGTGTTGATACTTCATCCATGGTGGCAGAGTGTTGTAAAAACAGGTGGGAAAGGGGATAAAGAGGCTATTGGGTTATGTAGAATGAAGTTGTGGTTGACTCCCAGCGACCTTTACCCCTCTATTGTTGAGGGCGACGAAGCAAAGGTGATGCCGAGAGGCGAGGGTCCCCAAAGGAGATGAGATAACCTGCCACTAGATTGGGCACAGGAAAGGGACTTTAGCAAACGAGAATAGAAGCAATGCAGGTAGGTCATAAAGAAGGGGGGGGGGAAAGAAAAAGACGGCGGGAAGAGGCGAGGTGAGAATGGAGGATGCCTCATGGATACGACAAACACTGTGGCCTCTGGGACGAATCTGGGATTCGGGAAGACCCCAGGCGAGATGCCAAAGCCTCCAACATGATGAGATGATAGAGATCCGAGAGATCCGGATCCGTAATAGCGGTGAGATTGGTAGGTTTTCTAGTCCAATATGGCGATGGTGCGTGGTTGATGGACGCCTTTCGACAGTTGCCGTAGTTGACTCGAGGTAAGTATTATGGGCAGGCGAAAGTTCCATGACGTTGGGGACGGACCTTATGTACCTTACCTTACGTACCTTACCTATACCTTACCTTACCTAACTAAGGTACCTTAGGTATCTGTAATTACAGCGTCCCACTACGCCCAAATGGTGGTGCACTCAGAACGGAGTACGTACCTGAAGTACAGATACCGTCGGCCTGGACCATCCACTGCCACTGACGGCTTCAGGAATCTATTGCCCGATGTACACGTATGAGATCGGAGTCCAATAGGGCAGGGCGGCTTGATATGAAGAATTGAGCCTGCATCCGGTATTCGGAGAGACCTTCATTTTGCAGGGACGGACATCATTGATTACATCGACATCGACTCACTGAGAAGTCCGATCCGAAGTGTAAAGATCCGAAGTGTACTTGAACTTCCAGGTTCTCTGCTTCGCACAATTACAGGTAAGGGAATATCGAAACCCTTCAATTTTGTCTGTGTATCCAAACCTAACTGCAAATCCCCATTACCAATAGCTAACACCATCCCTGATAATTGATTTGCTCATTCGTCTTTCTTGTTTGCTTGTTCTTTTCTCCGCAGACCATTGCTCTACCTAAGGTACCTAAGGTAATGGCCCTTAGTATGTTGCACTATCACAAGTTACGACAGGCTGTAATGCCAGGGCCAATTCAAAGCATCTCAAAGCTCTCTTTTCCAGGACAACAAAAGATTTCTTCAGATTCTCTTTCATGAGTTGCATCGAGCTACACTAGCTATCTTCTATGGATATATGTCCAGTGTGAACAGATTGCCTAGCCCCTTTAGGCACAGGTTATCATGATGGGTACCTTCCCCTATACACAGGGGTGTGGCTGGGGGGGTTCCTTCTTCTTGTTACAAGATCGTGATGACACTCCAAATGTGAGTACCTTATGAAGTACCAACCTTCAGGATGCATATGGGCAAGGACTAAGGTACACAGCCCATCGGTCAGCTTCCGTCCCGTCCTCCTCTTAAGCAGCAACAGCAGAGAACTTCTTTGATGCCTTCTCTTTCCTCACGTGTAATATTCCCTTCTTTCTTTTGTTGTTTAGAAAAAGGTTCTCACCCCTTGAGATCTTCCACTTGATGCAATTCGGTATCTGAACCTTAAGGTAGGCCATGCGGAGCTTTTTCTTCGCTTCCCTCCTTGAATATCAACAGGTTCTGATATATTTCTATTCTGCTATTCTTTTCCATCCCCCATCAGTCTAAACCAGACGCCAGAAGAGTCACGACAACCAGCTCGATCCTGCCATGGCTGGCCGCTCATCCGATCCGCCCAGGACTGACGACGGCCTCCACGATGTTCGGGACTTGGGTCAGCGTCAACTCCCCAGAGTCCGAATCAAGGTGGAGTACGGTTGACCTCGATCCTTCCCGTCATGCCGGTTATCTCTTGGGTCTAACTCTAGGTTGGAATAGAACTACGAATGTGGCGGGAGAGACCTGGAGCTGCGATATCAGCTTTGAGAATCCGCAGCCTGTACACAATGATCTGATTCAGGAACTTCGCAGCCTCACCACAAAGTTGCTCAAGATGTGAGTCTCTTGTTGGGTTCTGCGTTATGTTCTCCGCCACTTCTTTCCCCTGTCCAACATCATATCTGATCTATCTTCTTCGGCACAGGGAGACCATCCGCAACATCAAGCGTGTTGCCATCGTGGAGGATGATGACCACCACACCGCTGGTAGGGGTGGGAATTCTGTTGGTTCAACCAATTCCGCCTCTACTCCTCGGAACTCCCCTACTAAGCCGACCCTCAAGTAAGTGCACGGGTGCCATCTTCCTCTACGTCGTCAATTCTTTTCCATTTTTTTGCTTTTCAACTTACTGACGGAAGTTACTTCCAGCCCCAAGGCCCGCCCGTTTTCACCCGTAACTGGATCAAAGACTTCCGCTCGGATCGTCGACCCTCCCGCCAAAAAAACCGGAACCGGAGTAACCCGTACCATCAAGCATACTCACGCCAATCCACCAAAGCAGGAAGATGCTACCAGCTTTGCCGTTGAGCGTCTAAACAACATTCTCTCTTCCGACACTCTACTGCGCGAGATGCTGATGAAGAAAGGGCACAAAGTCTATGACTTTTACGATGTTGATGAAGATCTTACTGAGCCGGGCCATGTGGAATCCGGGAGGAGTGACATGACGAACAACATGGAGAAAACCATGGCACACGTTGCCGAGAAGATCCAGAAGGCTGAGCTCGATAGCAAGAAGGAGGTTGTCTCTAACAGACGTGACGCCGAAGCTGCCATCACTCCAACTTCTTCTGCCACCGTCCAAGAAGGCGTCAATAACGATGGCGTCAAAGACGACATGAAGCGTCATGAGGAACATCACTCTCAGTCTGAGCCTGGACCCTCTCACACTCCTACGGGTCCGAAGAAGGCCATAGAAAAACTGATCAATTTCGACGAGGACGTGGTCGTTGATTCCTCATCCAAGGTCCAACAGCAATCCGGCCACACTGCCTTCGTATCTTACCCCGTTAGTTCAAAGCCACAGCAGCCCACGCAAGCCACTCGGAAGATTCTTGACCCCCTGATTTGGAGCCAGTTTGAGAAATTCCAGCTCTCCATTACTGCCAAGAAACCAGAGGCGGAGAAGGATGCTGCTGATACTTCCGCATCCGTTGCTGTGGGTAGCTGTGACCCTCAGGCTGACGATGCGAAGAGAGATCCGCCTCACCTGTCGGTTGGACGTGATGTTCGCGAACCCGATTCTCGTTCGTCTCGAGGTACCCGTACTACGACCGAAACGCGGCCTCGACAAGCCGAAAAGCCTCGATCGGCAGGTTCCGCGCCAGGTTCCGCGTCAGGTTCTGAGAAAGGCGAACGGATGGAGACGCGGCTTGCTTCGCGGCGGGCTCGGAACCCACCAAGTCTCCCCCAGAAGGGGCAGTCTCGCCACAACAAGCGCCCTTCAAGAGTCGAATTGCCTCCCAACGACATTGATACTACCGTCTGGCGGTCGGCCCGGGCCAAATCCCCGCCTACGAAGGTGATGCCTCCTCGCGGATTCTGGTGAGAGACGTGAAACGGATTTCCGGGCTCCGGGACTTGTCTGCTCTCGTTCATAGACACACCTTTTTAGCGCGGGGGTATTTGCTATTAAGTTGCATCGTCCATGGATATTGGGATACTTCTGCGTTGATTTGGAGGGAGCTGGTCTTGTGGAGGTTGCAGCATACATGATACGAGGGGTTCTGTAGAACAGACTGGGAGATGCACTAATAATGAAAGAACGAATTGCAACTATTATATGGCCAGCGCTAGTCATGTTAAGAATGAAGTTCAAAGGTCGCACAGTGGAGGGTTCTTGTGGTGCAGAGCAGAGCTGACTTGGCAGTGACGACCGTATTGTGACCTTACACAATCTGCAAAAGCCCAAAGGAAAAGAATCAGTCGTGAATGCACAGGTTTATAAGAATGGTTTATTTGAATATCAAGCACATACGACCATACCCACTGGAAAACTCGGGATCCCGTCCGCTCTCCCCTAGATAAGCCAGTGAGGGCCGGATTAGTAGTTGGGTCGGTGACGACCAGCGAATACCCGGTGTTGTATGTTTTTTGCTTCTTTTCCCCCCTGTCCCCCCTTTTTTTTGCCCCTTTTTTGGCCCCGTGTCGTTTTAAACGTAACACGGCGCCACCATCTCAATCATTTTCTTCACATGATGCCCTCAAATAATTACGGGCTTGGTTCTTCTTTACGTTTCGAGGACATCTTATTAATAATGGTCCCTTACTGAAAAGACTGAGCATTGCCACCGGAATTGCACGGTTTGACAGCCATTTCCCTCATATACGGGGTATGGGTGGTTCTATTGACCGACTCCTGAAAAGCTAGAATGTGTGCCACTTGGATCGCCTTGCCGTGCTGAGAGTCAAGGGAGGTACGTGGTAGTATCAATGCAGGGGGAACCCGTTCGCTTGAAACCGCGTCTACCTTTAGGGAGAGAACATGAAGTGAATAGTTGTAATCAAGCCATGACGGGCCATGGCGACCAGTCGGCCAACTGTGAACAAATAGAAATCTCGATGAAGACGCTGAGAACAGTCTATATACGTGTATTAGTTCATTTTGGTTGTTTTCCAGTCTGGAGGAAGCACGTTTCGCTCCAGATCCTGTGCGGCGCAGCCGTGGTCTTTTCGCCTTTCAGTCCCGACTCCCTGCTCCGTGGAAGAAGTCTGAAGCATGATAAAGTTCGAGCCACAACTTGGAAGAGCGAGGACTGATTGCGTCACCGCGTGAAGCCGACGCTAATTAGAGTTCAGGGGGCGCTCGTTGAGCTTCGATCCCAGTCTTCCTCCCATTAGGACAGAGAGCCTGATCATGTATAAATAAAGCGGCCGTTCTTCCTTTTCTGCGGTTTTCTTCCTCCTTCTTTTCCTCTTCTCATCCGACTTTCCACTTTCCCCCCCTCACCACTCATCCTGGCAGCTCGAGCCACTCTCGCGGCACTTCGACTCCTATTCTTCCACTTCTTCGCCCCTCGCCTCACCTGGCTATGGCAGCTGCTCATACCTGACTGCTCTAGCTTCCCTCTTCTTGGCCTTGGCCTGGAGGAATCTGGGATAGCAGTAGCTTTAGGCGAGGGGCCGGGAAGTCGGGAGTCAGATTTACCCCCGAGGGTGGCTCAGGCGGGTCAGGCCCGGCGCACACTTTAGAAGCTCCTTGTCCTATCCCGGTGTTTGTTAGACATGAGAATTTGCACATCTTGCATCAGTTGTGGCTTCACCATGTTCACAATTCCATGTCAACGATCTACTCTCACGCCGGGTTGTCGGATCGGACAAGGAGCTTCGATCCACCAACGAATATGAATCATACGTATACGTGTATAAATATTCAAAAACAATTAGGGGCCGGGATCAGGTCGCATTCGGTCTACGACAGTTGACCCCGAGGCGGGCCGAAGGGTTTTAACTTATTAGTGACGCGGACCAGCTAGCCTGCGAAGCCCAGACTGAGTCGTCGCGTCACCTCAAAGGTTGAATGGTATTGCGATCTCGACACCCCAGTTCAGGCGGAGTAACTTCATCCGAGTCGGTCTTTCAGAGAGGTCGCCGGGGAAGATAGAGTGCCTTGATAGGGGGCGGTGGCAAGCATATTCCGTTCATAGGTTCATTAGACCGGTCACCGGTAATTCAACCTGATTCCACCCTTAAGAGCTGCTCCGAGACTCCTGACAGTGACTACTGAGATGTCGATGCTTGTCGTCTGTCCGAAGCCAACCGGACGAGACTTTGTCGTAGTGATGGCTTGTGAGGAGGGTTTACTGACCAAGTAGAGAAATCACATGGTCACAGCAAAGCCCATTACTGTCTCGTCCGCTTTCCCCCCAGCACCAGATATGCCACAGCTAGTGCCCTGGATAGGACTCTATTGCATTGCCATCTTGAGCATGCGTTTTAAATAGAAGCGAATGTTCTTTGTCGTACCTGCGATGGCAAGATCACTCGCGCTACCTTATCTCGTCTCTTCTCCCCCTTGCGGCTAGGTATGTAAAGTGCCTATGACGGTATCTCATTATGTTTATTGACCTGACAGACGAAGGATGACTATTTGAGAATGGCCTAGGCAGCCTAGCAATATCGTGGTCGTGTTGCGAGTCAATTCGTATACAGAGCAACTTTGTCAACACAGTGAATTATCAGTGACAAAAAGTATAGAATGTATAGATCGTATCCTTAGATACGCGTTCCTTTACTGTCCCTTTGTTGTCCCATTTTCCATTAATCCAGGAAGAAATAATGCCAAGCAGATACGAGAATTATGACACCCACTGACTTTCGCGCCTTGGGAATAATCAGCCCATTTCGTCGTCCCAGTTCTCATCGCCGTCGCCGTCGTCCTCGCCGTCCTCGTCCTCACTCCTGAACCCATCCTGTAAACCCGACCACGATTGGATCATCTTGCGTCTTTCGCAAATAAGATCCTCGCTACAATAATGGCCCGCGGCGTAAATGTCCAGGTACTGGAGAGCGAGACGTCCTATCTTGCGATCGACGGGCAGTGTCTCCAGCATCTGGCGAAACATGTCATTCCCCATAGCATCCCGTACCAGCATGAACAAGAGGACATTCGCGTCTCTGAGGTCGTCTGGCAAAGGTTGACTGAACAGCCTTAGGATGGGAGGCAGCCAGGTTTTCCAGCAGAGGATCGCAGTGCGCAGACCATCCAAGTATGTCTCGTTGGGGAGCGGTGAGAAATCAGTCGTCGTACTGACAATCTCTTTGGCCATGTCCGCAAAGCAGGCCTCGGGGGTGTGCGACGCGCTGCGGAAAGGCCACCGCGCCACCAAGCCCAGGAAGTGCTCCAGGGCGCGTTGTCCCTTCTCTCTCTCAAAGGCCGACGCAGCGCCGTGCTTGACGAGGCACTTGACGGCGGTCACGAGCGAGTCGGCCACGTGTGGCCTCACTATCCACGGCGGCAAGTAAGCCCACTGGAAGACAATGTCGGACATGAATCGTTCCCAGAGCCCTCGACCTTGGGAGTCTCGAGAGGCGAGCACACGAGGGGTCAGAAGCCTCTCGTACGCGAGAGGGTCCAGAGCCCGTGCACAAGCGGGATGTTCCGTCAGCTCAGGCATGTAAGCTCTTGTGAACACGAGATCGACCTTCAGCCAGTTGCTGGACCTGGGCGCAAGAGCTTGAGGGGAGTAGGCATTGTTGTAAGCGAGGAAGATGGTCTCTGCCGGCGTCTTCCCTTGTGCGTTGATCTCGGGAGGTCCGCCTGACAGAAGGAAAGCGACCAATTCTTCGGTTGCTGCAAAATTGAGGCTGTGAAGTGCCGAGTTGCCTTCGCCGTCGGCGCCGAACACGTCGAGACCGGCCTCGAGCAATCCCTGGGCTAGCTCTAGGCTGCCCCATTCCGCGGCTACTTGGGGGAGATGCACGGACGCCGGGGCTCGGACAAAAGACGGCTTTCCTTTGGACGTCTCGAGGAGGAGCAGAGCAGCTGCGTAGGGAGGACGGCGTCTAGAGCGGCCCCCATCGGCCTCCATCGACCTCAGGTCCTGGAGGGGGAACGTCATGGCTTTGGCGATCGGAGTATAGCCCGAGTTCATGCAGGCTGCTCTGTTCGCCTGCCCATTTGGGTCGTTGGCAAGGAGCCACTCGAGAAGATCGCAGTCGTTGTTAGCAGCGGCAATGTGCCAGATATTGTAGCCATCTGCGTCGGTATCCGTGGTGTTGGCACCGTGCTGGATCAGGAGCTCGAGCGCCCCGATCGACTCGACTGCTAGGATCGGCGTCTGGCCCCCTTGGTTCCGAACATGCACGTCCGCGCCGGCGTCCAGAATGTCACGTATGAGCGCCACATGGTCGTCCCCCACTGCCATGTGCAATATAGTGCCCTGGGACTCGCGAGTGCCGGGACCATGGGTGTTGGGATCAAACCGAGGGTCTCGGATCAAGCGGAAGACCACTTCGCGCTCATGCAGCTGGACGGCATTTCTGACAAGCGCCCGAAAATCGGCGTCGTCAATGTCGGCGATGCGGCGACAGTAGCGAGGTTTCTCCTTCACCATGTCCAGTCCCCACTTGCGCATGACGACCAAGAGATATTTGAGTATGGAGGGCCTGTGGAGCTCGTCGTATCGGGCGACGTGAAAGTCGAAAAGACAGGGGAGTACGGAATTCAGGAAGGCCCAGGCCCTTTTGGACGGATGTTTAACCCAAGGAAAATCCTCAAAGTTGAAAAAGATGAGCATGTCCCAGAAAGAATCATCCAGCTCGAGGTGCGGGACCATGCGAAGGAACGAATCGCCGTTGCCGAGGCGGAGGCAGGTGTAGAAAGACAGTGTGGCCAGTGGGAACGGCTCCGCGGGGGCGGGACCTGGACCCACGGCCGTCTCGCGGATGCCGCGGATTATGGCTGGACGGGTGAAGAGTTCGATGGTCTCCGCTTGCGCGACGCTGCTGCAAGGCAACTGGACGAGGAGGGTGGGATTCTCGGTGCGGGCCAAGAAGGCCTTGGGACCTACGAGGGCGCAGTAGAAAGGGGTGCCGATGGGGCTGTACTGCAAAGGGTCTGCGCCGAGATCGATGAGGTGCTCGCAAAGCTGAGCCAGGCCGAGGGCGGCGGCGGCGTGAAGGGGTGAGAATGAAGAAGATTCGGTGACGGTGAACATCAGCTGAAGAGTGTGCGTTGGGGTGAGGGCTTGGTCCCCGTAGACGTCGGGCCATTGTTGGCGACAATACTCCAGGACCCAGTGCTCGAAGCTGGATGGCTTGTCAGGATAAAACAGTTTCGTGACGAGGTGCTTGCATTGAGGCCAGAAGACTTCGGCATAGCCCGGCCACACGATGGCGCTCTTGCTGTACTCGTGGCAATTCTCCGCCCTCGTCTTGACTGTTGCACAATACTCGTGGTAGCTGCTGATTCGCGTATTGAACTGAGGGTCCAGGAGGATCTCCAGTGCGCGAGAGAAGGCATCGAGGGATTCCTGGTAAGTCTGGGGGCCATGAATCTGATCCGAATTGGACGAGTCACGAGGGCAGGTTGCGGACGGTGAGAGGGAGGGGGATGGCTTAGTGGAGAGACACCGCTCGAGAGCTGGGAGCGATTTGGCGTGCGAAGCGAGATCGAGCTGGATTTTCAAGGTCTGGAAGACGTCAACCAGACTAGAAGCAGACGAGTCGGCAGCATCAACTGGGCCGTGGGTGCGGTTGAGGAGGCTGGACAAGCCATCCAAGGCAGAGTGGCAGGCTGCAAGGTGGGCTCGGTTGCCCTGGGTCTTGTCCTGAGGGTCCTGAGGGTCCTTAAGGTCCCGGCATGATGAAGTCGCGAGCAGCTCTTCGGAAAGCAGCAACGTGGAGTGAAGTTTCCCGGAAAGAGAACGAAGAAGCGGCCTGAGTTCGGAACCCAGGTTGCCTAGACCGTGGTCCGCAGCCAGGAGCGTGTGATATATGGTGTCCACATGGCGCCTTACACGCGTCAGGGCCGCAGGGAGGGCAGAATCCATATCATCTGTCGGCAGAGTAAGTCGGTGGCCCAATCGACTCTGTAATGAGCGGATGCAGGGTCAAACTGGCATGGTCTGTCTCCATTGAATGGCGGAGGCCGAAGATCGGGACTCTCTGAACAGAGAAGAGGATCATAGAAAACTTACCGCAAATGAGGAATAAAATGCGACCAGCAGACGGACCATGAGGGTAAGGGGTTGGAAAGTTCAAGATGTTTTCTGGAGGTTGAAGAGGGACAAGGAGGTCTCCCTCGGTGATGTGGTGATGATGACGACTCGTTGGTGGTGGTGCTGTACTAAGTTTTAGGGGCGTTAGAGGATAAGCAGCGGATCATACTGTGTGAATGTATAGAATACTGTTATCTCCACTGTACATTGTTGGGTTTGTGTACGGCTTTAAGATGATCCGACCGAACCATTACTAATGCTCACAAGGTGATTAAGGTAATTACATGTACTTTCCTTCCTTATCGTGATTCTGCGAACTAATATTACGTGAAGAAACGGGCAATATGGGTGATATAATAGGATATAATAGAGGAGAAAAGTAATAAAAAAAAAAAAAAAAAAACGAGAAAAACCGCTGTCTGGGGTATCGTCGCCTTCTGAGCCAGTGATCGATCATTACACGTGAAAAAAAGGAAGGAAAAGAAGAAAGAGAAAAGGAAGAAGAGAAAAGGAAGAAGAGAAAAGGAAGAAGAGAAAACAAGCATGACACGACTTACATCGGCAACAGAACGAGAACAACCCACTCCACCGACCCTTCAACATCCTTCAAGGGCGTCCAGAAGCTCGCGACTCTTTCCGCTAGACCCGTCTCTCCCCCAACAAGACCCGACACCCCGGTTCGACTCAGCGGACGGCTGGGTCTCCTCTCCCTCACAGCATCCCCCACATCTTCCCTTGACCGAGACGAGAGCGCAACGCTCGCCTTGCGTCGCGAACACGACGACGACGACGACGACGACGACGACGAGGACGCCGCCGATGCCGATGCCGGTGCCGGTACCCTGCCCAGGACGAGCTCCATCGATGCCGGCTTCCCTTCCTCCAGCACCCGCTCCCTGATCGCCGAGCGGAATGCTTTCGTGATGGAAGGCGAGCTCGCGTAGTCCGAGAGCGCGGTGAAAATGTCCTTGCCCGCGAGGGCGTCCGGGGGCATGTGGTGGTGGTCTAAGCCTAGGATCGAGAGGGCGGACGGAGAGGCAAAGGCGACTGAGAGGCGGGAGGAGGAGGAGGAGGAGGAGGAGGAGGAGGAGGAGGCGGACTTTTGCTGCCGGTGCATGTTGGAGGCTGCTGAAGACGGTGCCCTGGGTCGTGTCGGCGTCGCTGTCGCTGTCGGCCGTACGTTCTTCAGCACGAGGTAGTGGGTGTACGGATTCGGATTCCCCGCCGCTTCCTTCCTCGACTCGGAGCTGCGCGTCGTGCTCGGCGAAGGGGGCGGCGATTCGAGGATCGGACTGCTAATGCAGCTCGTGCTGATGGACTGTTTCTTGAACGGTTTGAAGAAGGACCTGGTTGAGCCGCGCGTCGAAGGCCGCCCATTCGCGTGTGGGTGTGGGTGTGGGTTTGCGTTTGCGTTTGCGGCTGCGCTCACATTGACGTGGGTGCTCAGGCTCGCTCGTCGGCCGTCTGCCCTGGTAGTGGCGTTGCTCTGCCACCTCTGCGTACGGGCTTCCCGGTCTTTGCCTTCCTCGTGGTCTGGGTCGTACCCCAACACGCGGAGCACGTCGTCATCCTCGCCAACGGCCTCCGAAACATGCATCTGCGCACCGAGATAGAACCGCACTGTCCCGTGCTGGTCGGTAAGCGGGAAGAGGTGCAGGAAGTTCCAGAACGGCCAGCTGTCTCGCCTGTAATTGAGGATCAGCTCGACGGCCTCTTCGCCCTGCGCGATGGCGTTCCGGATCCTCCGAGTTGAACCCGCGTCAGTCTGGGGGCCCTGGAGGATGGAGCAGTTTCGTCCCGCAATCTCGGCCCTGGTGTAACCCGAGAGGGAGAGAAAGTCGTCTGACGTGAACTTGATGGCATCTCCATCCGGCGCCGCCTCGGTGAGGCAAAACGAACTTCCGAGACCCGGGAACCCGTTCTGCCGGGACCCGTCGTTGAGAAGGGCCGAAGTGACGCAGGTGGCCAGTTGATTCTTCACGAAAGCGGGCCAGATGTCACTTCGCACGCGCTGCTCGACGTGCTGGGTAGATTCGGTAAACAAGTTCTCGAGCCCCGGGATGACCGAAGCCATCATGTGCCTCATGTCGGAGGCCAAGCTCTTGGCAACGGGAAACGGCAGGCCTGTCGGCTTCGGGACGAGGACGGCTTGTTCGATAAACTGGTCTAGCGAGTGAGTGTAGCGCTGCACGCGCATCAGGAACTCGACGTCACCCTGGCGCTCTTGTTGCTTTCGCGCGAACTGAAACAGACGACGATAGATGTGAGGATGGCCCAGCGCGGCGTGAAAGGTATCCCGGCTGAAAAAGTCCGGCACGGGAAGGCGGGGTTCGGAGTCCAGATACGTCGCGGGGCGGTCGACCGTCGTCGTCATCGTTGTCGTCGTCGTCGTCGTCGTCGTCGCCGCATTGGAATGCCGGCGGATGGGGGCTGACGCGACGCGGTTGATACTGCCCCATTGTATCGGGGGGAAGGCGGGCGTCCGCGGAGACCCGTCCGAATTGTAATCCGTATATTGCCTCAGCGCATCGTCATTGGTATGGAGCGTCAATCCTGAACTGCTCCTCAGACGAAGAGACGAGAGGTCGTCTGGTGGGCTGAATACTGGTGTCAGTGGCGGTGAGGCCAGAGCAGTGCGATTTCGCGCAGAGTTGACAGATGCCGAACCATCGCTCGCAGTCCCGTCCGCCCTGTACCCCATGGAAAGCCGGCTGTAATGTTCCGTCGTAGGAGGGGTCGGTGGCCTGGTGTAAGTGGGCGACATTATTATTTTTCCTCCCCCTTTTTTTTTTTTGGTTTGTTCGTTCCCCTGCCGGTCGTCCCCCCTGCCCGCGATGATGGCTTTGCTCTGGTCGCAGCGACAAAAGAAGAGTGAAATGAGCAGTTCAGTGAGAGTATGAAGTGAAATGGAGTGAATCTGAGAGAGTGGCAGAGATCAAGATCCTAGGAAACGAAACGATTGTCGGGATCCGAAGTCCATTTCGGCCCCTTCTCGGCAGCACAAAGGAAAGGAGAGGGCTCGAAGTTGGCGAGGACGATTGACAATTGACCTCCTGAACACGCACGAGCAAGAGCAAGGACACTGGAGAACTAACACGTTAAAAGACGGGGGAATAGGGGGAGGAGGAGGAAGCGAGGCAGGGGGCTGCCCTCGTGACAGGGGTTGGCCTTTAATATGTACACGTACTTGGTCAAAAGGCAGATCGAGCATCTAGAACGCGAAGTGGAGAGAAATTGAGAATCGCGTGGACCTATCGTGGCGCCATTTAGTCGGTGAGCGAAGCTGAGGTTGTCCACTTCGTCCCTTTGTCCACTCTAGTTTCTTCGTCCCGCTCTTTTGCTTCCCCGACCGCTCGACCGCTCAGTACGAGACGAAAACGGGAACAAGCGCGCCCCTCGAGGTGCACGACCATGTTTTAGTTCGACGCTATCGTCTTCGTTTGCGGCAGCGGGAGTGGGCCGAGCAGGGCGCCGCGGTCCGCTGAGGGTCTCAGTTGAGGCAACGTGATGGATCACGGCCATGGTCTAGGATACTGTCTGTTATAATTAGTGAGGTTGTTAGTAGGGCCCATGACTATCGACCACTGGTGTCGATGCGTACGAGACCGATCAAAGACAAGTTGGTGTTGGGGCCAACGAACTACTACGAAGATGCGTGTTATTTTCGGTCGCCAACTGACCTAACCAACCCTGAGTGAGCCAATGTGAATCAATTCCAGGAGAGCAACGGATCGGAGTTGGTTGCGGTAAAGGTAAAGCATTAATAGGACGGCTTCCTTGCACAAGACTGAATAAGGGAAGAGGGAAGTTGGGTTTCTGCATCTTCCGTCTTTCGTCACGAACACTACAACACCACACTATTAGCACCGCTTGCGCAGGAACAAGCGTGTAGTGGAGTAGTGCTTCGTGCTTCGTGCTTCGTGTCGTCTCGTAGGTATGCAGGGTCTAATACGGAGTTGAGTATAACGTAATTCCACGGCAAACCCCATGGCCCCATGCTCAGCTGAAAAAAGAAAGCTCACAGATCTCAGGAGACGCTTTACCCTGAAGAGTAACGAAGTAACGACCATTATGGGGCTTGTTGCTGGGCACGGATGGGGTTATGAATTATCCCCGAATTGTGTCTCTCGTGGATGCAAGGCGATAAGATGCTGTATCGTATCTGTATCCTGTGTGTGGTTTCATGTTGTATTACCTTAGTAATAAAAGGTTCAATGTTCGCTATTCGTACACGTACTTTATACAGCATAAAAGGTAAGGTAATTGAGCTTTTCAGCTTCTCGGGCAAAAAGGAAGGGAACTTGAAAGGAAAAATGGGGCTTCGATTATGATCCTTGACCAGGAGGAAAAGGGACCATTTCCTGTACTTTGGTTCCGTTTTTCTTTTATGTATTTCTTCCCCTTTCCCCC